GATGTTAACTACACGGCGTTATCAAATATGCCAGTTGCCAATCAATCGGCAATCGACACGACTGATAACAAATTATGGACGACTTTCGAAACAACACCCATCATGTCTACATACTTGGTGTCTTATGCCGTTTTGGATTATGGATACATCAGTCACGGGGACGAAAGATTCAGAGTTTGGTCTCGCGAAGATGATCCTCGTGATACAAATTATGCATTGACTCAAGGGGAGTCGATGTTAAAATATTTAGAAGAATACACGACGATTCCGTATACTTTACCAAAAATGGATGAAATTTCTATACCGGACCCTTCCGTTACTACTTTTGAAAAATGGGGCTTGATTATCGGCAGGTAATATCATAAACGTTGGTTGATTATATAATTTCCTCTTAATTTTTATCATCAATTCAGAGAAGAAGAATTGCTATACGACGACAGCGTAGATACGACAGTTACAAAACAAACTGACACCCAAGTTAGTGCTGATGTAATGGCTCGTCAATGGTTTGGAAATCTTGTCACTGCATCCTGGTGGAAGTATTTTTGGCTGAATGAAGGCTTCGGGGTTTATTTTCAATATTACGTCACGGACCAGGTAAAATTTTTAAAAACTGTCCAACTTCATCATTTAATTAATGATATTTAATTGCTTTAGGTGGAAGACAATTGGCGCTTTATGGAACAATTCGTAGTTCGTATTTCACAGGGAAGATCCTTTATTGCTGATTCTTCCGAAACCACTCGTCCCTTGAATCAGGATGTATCAACTTATGAAGAAATTAATGCACTTTACGATTCAATTACCTATGGCAAAGGTATAACTGTTTTTCAAAAATAATTGATTTACGAAAACAATTATCAAATAACGCTTCTCTATGCACGTAGCGGCTTCTGTGATTCACATGATGTCCAATTTCCTGACTCCCCAAGTCTTTCACGATGGACTCATCAGATACTTAAAGAATAAGTAAGTTTCTTAACTTTTAACACATTTATGATGGCCCTGAGCTCATTTCTCAAAATTATTTACAGTGCCTATAAGGCGGTCACGCCCGATGACCTTTGGAGCGCCTCACAAGAGGTATCTGACGAATCTGAAATTCTGCCCCCTGAGATTTGCCTTAAAAAGGTGATGGACACTTGGGTCGAGCAGCCTGGATTTCCACTGATCACTGTCACCAGGAATTATAAAACTGGAAAAGCTCATATCAGTCAGGAACGATATTTTCAATCTGGTGCTAGTGGTGACGGTACCAGATGGTGGGTTCCTATCAGTTACACAACTCAGTCTGATCTAGATTTTTCATCAACATCGCCTTGCGAGTGGATCCCTCAAGCGAAAAATAATATAGTCCTAAGAGGATTTGACTCAACTGATTGGACTATTTTCAACATACAACAATCAGGTAAAATAACCCTTATCAACTTATACCAATGGATGTTGCACTAAATACAAAAATTACACGTGTCGATAAACTATTCGAAATCAATCAACAGGTTTCTACCGGGTCAACTATGATGAAACAAATTGGAAATTAATAGCTAATTATTTGGACAGTGACGATTATGTAAACATTCATCCCGTCAATCGTGCACAACTCATGGATGATTCTTATAACTTAGCTATTGCCAATCGTATCAACTATTCAACATTTTTGGATATTTCGACTTATATTCGTCGTGATGTCGATTATATTCCCTGGTATTCGCTGTTGGGCGCTGTTGATGATTTGTATGCAAAACTAGCAAACACCAGAAGTTTCTCGTTATTCAAGGTACACATTTTACTGTGACATAATTAATGTTGAATGACTCAATATACTTTAATCTGCCTTCGCTCTCAAACACACTAGCTAGTAAAGGCCAAGAGTCATCATGATTGTAAATGATACTAAACAAACGTACGCTACCCAGTAGAATAATGCATCTAGCTATGCAGTTGTCCCTTTTCGATGCAACAATTTCATGGATAAATTCGGCCGTCGAACGAAGGAGTCCCTTATCAACCCTCTTACGGAACAGTTATCCTCCTAGAGTGTTGAGTCAAATATGGTAAAACTTTTGGTGTCTTCGTTTGAGAATCAGCTCTGACTAAAACAACAACATCAGAAATCGACACTTGCTTCCGCAGCAGAGAAAGAAAATACTGTAGTACTTGATACTTTTATTTATGCAATAGATGTATTCTCATCGAGGAGGATCATTCCAATAAATGATAATTCTGCATCAACGTTCTGTTCCATCTTCAAAATCTTATCCTTTTTTTACTACTCTATCGAGAGGCCTCTTCACGGCCATAATAGACCAGGTAAGAATTTATAACTATTGCAGCTGCCAATGATACTAACATTGGCGCAGAGTCGGCACCCAAGATCGGGTGATCATTGGTTGAGTGTAAGAATAATAACAATGGACCAATCATCATCCGGCACTACTGGATTCACGTCATTTCCATTGTGTATCGACGTTGGTCCAGTACCTAAGACTGAGCATTGACAAAATGCTGGCTATTAATTGCACTCGACAATTTCAACTCATGTTTACATTTTATTAAATTGTATGTATTTAACATAGAAAATGTGTATCATACCGTTACACATTGGCAAACCTCTCAGGTACTCCTGTACTCGAAAGTCAATCCGCTGAAAATAATAGTATAATAATAAATTCTCAGGAGGGCACAGTGATCTTCCTCCGAAACTTCAATTGACGCCATTTCGTTTTGATCTATTATTCTCGCCTTGATTCGTCAATTTGCACGTAGTGCCATACCAAGAGATTTGTGAGGAATCTCTTGAACCTGCTGATGCACTAAAGACTGCAGCGATGATTACAAAGTTTTTCGAGCTGTCATCAAATTGTTCATGACATTTTGCGAGATGAAGATGAGCGCGAAGCGGTATCGTGTCTTATTTCTTATACGTATAATAAAAAAAGGGCTGTGTTCGAAATCACAATCCAACATTGGATGTGCAGTGCCAATGCTGCACCCATTTTAAGCAGTTGGCACCATACCACCAGCTAGAATTTTTTCGAATGACTATTTGTCAGCAGCAGGTTGTCCAGTTTGGAATAGAGTTTTGGCATTCGATCTGCCTCAGAAGCACAGGGTTCCACACAGACATTCTTTCACTAATAAACCTAGACAGCTGAAGCTGTTCATTATCGTTGTCAATACGTTGGCTTAGGAAAACAGAATAGCGCACAAAAAGAAGGGTTCAGATATTGTTACTTATTTTGAGATGTTGAAAGAGCATGTAACAGCAAAGCACGTTTTATGGAAATAATGCCTATAGCTGACAGCTGTGGTGACACCTGTACTGACATATTCGAATATAAACCCGGATTCAAGAATAGAAAACTCAAACAATTGAACAGCAAACGTAACAATGTTTTGTGGCCACACGTGGCACGCCAGTTCCAAGCCCTTACAACCTGCCATTAGGCTGTAAATGTTCGTAAACTTTAAGTTTTTTTTATTATATAGTCCACGTCAACAACAATATGAATATTTTGGACCTACAGGTTGCACCACGCCTATTACAAGCACAGTGTGGCAATGTGAAACAGTATGTCCACTAACTGTACCACGTATTATACACAGCGGTGAAACAACACTAAGAGGAGAGATTGATAACAAAAATGTTAGAATGTTGTCACAGATGCACGAAAGTACTTTATCAGCAACGACAGCTATGCTGACTTCGTGTCATTTCATAATAACTGTTGATACAGAAGTCCCAAATACGTATACTAATTATATATACATATGAAATATTGTTATGAACGAAAAAGACAAAAGATACACGTTTCAAAAACAACATTTTCTAACTCCAGTAGCTTAAAGGAGAGTTTCTAGTAATTTCGTTCACACGTATATCGTTCGCCTACTGAACAGGACAGGTAAATAATATACATTATAATTATAACTAATTCCGTTTATAATACGGATTAATATACAATAAAACATTACTTTATTCATTCCTTTTTAATTTATGATATTTATCATAGAATAGCAGGTCCAAAGAAAACTCTTATCATGAAAATTCTTCTGGGAAGGGTCCTACTGTTGGCTGCCGCATCTACAGCTGCCCTTCTAGATGGCAACAATGCACAAAGAAAACTCTTATCATGAAAATTCTTCTGGGAAGGGTCCTACTGTTGGCTGCCGCATCTACAGCTGCCCTTCTAGATGGCAACAATGCAATTGTTGACAATGCCAATACTACTAACTATAGATTGCCAAATAATTCAGTGCCAATTTCATATTCTATCAGATTGATACCGTACATCATCGTAGACAATTTTACATTCGATGGAGAATCTACGATTAAACTTGAGGTTCTAAAATCAAGTTCTTCGATAACTCTTCACATACTAAATCTTACTATAGACGAGAGTGCAACATCCTTGGTGTCCAGTGGTAATATAAAACACAAAATAGCCAGTCATACTTACGACATCAAAAAACAATTTTTGATTTTGAATTTCGCCACCCATTTGTCTTGGTGTCCAGTGGTAATAAAAACCACAAAATAGCCAGTCATACTTACGATACCAAAAAACAATTTTTGATTTTAAATTTCGCCACCCATTTGTCAACTGGATATTATACCCTGCATTTGAAGTATGTTGGTATCCTAGACAATGAAACTTTGAGTGGTTTCTATAGAAGTTCTTATACCAACGACAATGGTGAAACTGTGTATGTATATCAGTATTGTATATTAGTCTGCATTATTTAATACAGCTATATTATTTTGTACAATATATTTCCAGCTGGTTGGCTACCACACAATTCGAACCAACCTCAGCACGTAAAGCTTTCCCGTGCTGGGATGAACCTGGACTCAAAGCCAACTTCACTATTTCTATTAAACACGATGTTAACTACACGGCGTTATCAAATATGCCAGTTGCCAATCAATCGGCAATCGACAAGACTGATAACAAATTATGGACAACTTTCAAAAGAACACCCATTATGTCAACATACTTGGTGGCTTTTGTAGTTTCGGATTATGGATACGTCAGCAACGGGGACAAAAGATTCAGAGTTTGGTCTCGCAAAAATGCACTTCGCAGTGCAAATTATGCGTTGACTCGAGGAGAGTCGGATTTAAAATATTTAGAAAAATACACATCGATTCCGTTTGCTTTACCAAAAATGGATCAAATTTCTATCCCAGACTTTTTCTTCGGAGCTATGGAAAACTGGGGCTTGGTTACCTATAGGTAATAATATAAACGGCTGTTGATTATACAATTTCCTCTTAATTCTTATCATTAATACAGAGAACCAGAAATGCTATACGAAGACAGCGCAAATATATCACTGACAAAACAAAATGTTGCAAAAATTATTTCTCATGAATTTTCTCATCAATGGTTTGGAAATCTTGTCAGTCCATCCTGGTGGAAGTATCTTTGGCTGAATGAAGGCTTCGCATCTTATTTCGAATTTTACATCACGAACCAGGTAAAATTTTAAAAAATTGTCCAAACACATCACTTAATTAATCATATTTAACTGATTTAGGTGGAAAAGAATTGGCGCTTTATGGAACAATTCGTAGTTCGTAGTGTACAAGAAGATGCCTTTACAGCAGATTCTTCCGACACTACCCATCCTTTGAACCAGGATGTATCGACTCCAGAAGAAATTAGTGCACTTGTCGATTTCATTACCTATCAAAAAGGTACAATTGTTTTTGATAAATAATTGATTTACGATAACAATTATCAAATAACACTTCTCTATGCACGTAGGGGCTGCTGTGATTCACATGATGTCCAATTTCCTGACTCCCCCCGTCTTTCGCGCTGGTCTCACCAGATACTTAAAGAATAAGTAAGTTTCTTAACTTTTCAACAGAAAAAAAAGTGGAACACAATTTGGATGATCCTGAGCTCATTTCTCAATATTATTTACAGTGCCTATAGGGCGGTCACGTCCGATGACCTGTGGGGCGCTTTACAAGAGGTATCTGAAGAATTTGAAGTTCTGCCGCCTGAGATTTGCCTTAAAAAGGTGATGGACACTTGGGTCGAGCAGCCTGGATTTCCACTGATCACTGTCACCAGGGATTATAAAACTGGAAAAGCTAATATCAGTCAGGAACGATATTTTCAATCTGGTGCTAGTGGTGACGGTACCAGATGGTGGGTTCCTATCAGTTACACAACTCAGGCTGATCTAAATTTTTCATCAATATCACCTCGCGAGTGGCTCCCTCAAGCGAAAAATAATATAGTCCTAAGCGGATTTAAGCCAACTGATTGGACCATTTTCAACGTACAGCAATCAGGTAAAACTACCCTTATCAACTTATACCAACGGATGTTGTATTAAATACAAAACTTACATGTGTTGATAACCTATTCGAAATCAATCAACAGGTTACTATCGTGTCAACTATGATGAAAGAAACTGGAAGTTATTAACTAGCTATTTGAACAGTGAGGATTATATAAAGATTCATCCCGTCAATCGTGCGCAACTCATCGATGATTCTTATAACTTGGCTTTTGCCAATCGTATCAACATCTCTATGTTTTTGGATATTTCGGTTTATATCCGCCGTGACGTTGATTACATTCCCTGGTATCCGATGTTGAGCATTAATATTAATTTATATCAAAAATTAGCAAACACCAGAAGCTTCTCGTTATTCAAGGTGCACATATGACTGTGATATAATTAGTACTGAATATCTCAATATACTTTAACTTGTTACCATTTTATTTATAGAAATTTTTTGTGGAAAGTTTTGAAAAATCAATTGCTGCTGTTGGATATGTCCAGCACGATGACGATGAACATCTTATAAAGTTTCACAGAAGAAATATGTTAAAGTATGCATGCATTCACGGCAGTGAAGAATGCAGATCTAATGCAACTGCGAAGCTGGTTGCATATTTGAAAGATCCAATTGCAAATCCGTAAGTTATTACGTGATAGGTATAAGGATTTAATTCCATAAAAATCTTGTAACCTATGATTAATTTCAGGATATCACCTGATTTGAGAGAGTTTGCATTTTGCGGTGGACTTAACAATGCAAATGCAACTGTCTGGAACATGGTTTTAGATCTTTACGCCAAGAGCCCTTCTCTCACGATAATTAATTATCTTGGTTGTTCCGAAAACGAAAAAATCTTGACAAACTACATGTCACTGGCAACAAAAAACAATTCGACGATACTCAAGAAGGATTCGTCTGATGCGTTCGCGTCCATATATGTTGGCAGCGGTGATAATATAAACTTCGCCTTGGACTACCTTATCGACAATTTCGACAAATTATATGCATTGTAATTAATTTTTTACATACTACCTTCTGAGATCTATAAATAGAAGTATACAAGCACAAACTTTTTACTTTTTTCAGCTGGGACGCACCAACAGATAAGATGACTGGGCATATTTCTGCGCTTGGTAACCTCCTAACAACAAGAGAACAACTCACGAAGGTTTTTATCATCAACAATTGTGCAACCAGTCATGTGATTTACAGCATACTAAGTATTACTCATTCTTTCTTTTTTATGAATTTTTCAGTTGAAATCTTTGGTCGAAAAGCACAATGATGTATTCGGATCTGATGGGCAAACTGCAATCGCCACTGCAGAATCTAACGTTAAATGGGCTGAAACTTACGAACCAGTTTTCCACAAATGGTTTAGTAATTTCTATAAGCTGTAAGACGAAGAAACTACTTCCACTACTGGTGTTAACACTGACCATGACCAACACTCCAGCTAGTAAAGGCTAAGAATCACCGTGATTGTAACCGATACTAGATAAACATGCGTCACCCAGTAGCATTATGCATCTAACTATGCAGTTTTCAATTCAAAGTAGAACGAAGGAGTCCCTGATCAACCCTCATACGGAACAGTTATCCTTCTGGAGTCTTGGGTCAAAGATGGTAAATCTTTTAGTGGCTTCGTTTTAGGATCAGCTCTGACTAAAGCAGCAACATCAGAAATCCACACTCGCTTCCGCAGCAGAGATAGAAACCACTTTAGTACTTTATCTTTTGATTGATGCAACTGAAATAATCTCATCGCCGCGGAACATTCCAATAAATGATATTTCTGCATCAACATTTTCTTCGATCTTCCTAGTCTTATCTTTAGGTACCGCTATATTTTTTACTACCCTACTCACAATCACAATCTAACTGTGGATGACGTTCAGATTCATTATTGGACCAGTACTGGACCCATGGTCTACTAGCGCTGGATCAACTGCAGACAAATGACAGATAGACAATCGTCGCAGTGCCAACGCTGTGCCGATTTTGAGCAGTTGGCACCATACTGGAGTTTCTACATGGGAAAGCACTTGACACCAGCTACATCTTTTTCAAAAGACCAATTGTCAGCAACCAGGTTATCAAGTTAAGAATAGGGTTTTGGATTTTGATCTGCCTCAGAAGCAGAGACCTCCGTACACTCATTGTTCAGATTTAGAAGTTCGACTTCTAATAAACTTAAACAGCCGAAGCTGTTCAATATTTTTGTCCAGATGTTGTCTTACAGAAATGCAAATGCGGTCAAAATGAAACGCCTGTATATGGAAACAGTGCCTACAACTGACAGCTGTGGTGACACCTGTACTGACATATTCGAAAATAAACCCGGATGCAAGAATAGACAGCTCAAACAAGTGACGAGCAAACAGAAGAATGTTAGGTGGCCACCACACGTGGCACGCCATTTCCAAGCACGTACAACCTGACATTAGGCTGTAACAGTTCGTAAATTTTTAGTTTCTTTCCTAGATAATCCACGTCAACAACAATATCAATTTTATAAACCTACAGGTTGCACCACGGCTATTCCAAGCACAGTTTGCCAATATCAAACAGTATGTCCACTAACTGGAAGACGTATTATGCACAGAGTAGAAAAATTCCTGAGCGGAGAGATTGATCACGAAAATGCTAGATAGTTTGCACAGTTGCACGACTGTACTTTATCAGCAACGACAGCTATGCTGACTTCGTGTCATTTGACACCAACTGTTGATACAGAAGTCTCAAATACGTATACTAATTATATATACATATGAAATACTTTTATGACCGAGATTGACAAAAGCTACACTTTTCACAAACAACGTTTTCTAACTCCAGTAGCTTAAACGAGAGTTTCGAGTAATTTCGTTCACACGTATATCGTTCTCCTACTGGACTGGAGAGGTAAAGAATATATTATAATTATAAGTAACTCAGTTTTACATCATGTTTAATTATTAATCAATGAAACGTTGTACTGATCATATTTTTTAATTTATGAAATTATTTTAAAAAGCAGGTCCAAGGAAAACTCTTATCATGAAGATTCTTCTGATAACGTCCCTGCTGTTAGCCGCCGTAACTACAGCTTCTCTTCTGAATGACAGCGATGCGATTGTTGACAATGTCACTACTACTAACTATAGATTACCGAATAATTCAGTGCCAATTTCATATTCTATCAGTTTGATACCGTATCTCGTCGAGGACAATTTTACATACGATGGAGAATCAGCGATTAAACTTGAGATTCTAAAATCAAGTTCTTCGATAACTCTTCATATACTAAATCTTACTATAGACGAGAGTGCAACATCCTTGGTGTCCAGTGGTAATAAAAACCACAAAATAGCCAGTCATACTTACGATACCAAAAAACAATTTTTGATTTTGAATTTCGCCACCCATTTGCCAACTGGATATTATACACTGCATTTGAAGTATGTGGGTATCCTAGACAATGAAACTTTGAATGGTTTCTATAGAAGTTCTTATATCAACGACAATGGTGAAACTGTGTATGTATATCATTATTGTATATTGGTCTGTATTATTTAATAGAGCTACATTAATTTATAAAATATGTTTCCAGCTGGTTGGCTACCACAGTATTTGCGACAACCGCAGCACGCCGAGCTTTCCCCTGCTGGGATGAACCTGCACTCAAAGCTACCTTCACTATTTCTATTAAACACGATGTTAACTACACGGCGTTATCAAATATGCCAGTTGCCAATCAATCGGCAATCGACAAGACTGATAACAAATTATGGACGACTTTCGAAACAACACCCATCATGTCTACATACTTGGTGGCTTTTGTCGTTTCGGATTTTGGATACGTCAGTAACGATGACAAAAACTTTAGACTTTGGACACGTAAAAATATTCTTAATACTACAGCTTATGCATTGACTGTAGGGCAGTCAGAATTTGCATATTTAAAAGAATACACATCGATTCCATTTGCTTTACCAAAAATGGATGAAATTTCTATCCCAGACATTATATTCGATGGTATGGAAAACTGGGGCTTGGTTACCTACAGGTAATATCATAATTAAACGATTGTTCATTATATAATTTGCTCTTAATTTTTAACATCCATACAGCGAAACAGAATTGCAATACGTAGACGGCGTAAGCACAACATCTGCAAAACAAGAGGCTGCTACAATTACTTCTCATGAATTTGCTCATCAGTGGTTTGGGAATTTAGTCACTCCAAAGTGGTGGAAATATATTTGGCTAAATGAAGGCTTCGCCACTTATTTTGAATTCTACATCACGGGCAAGGTCAAAATTTTTAAAATTTTCCAAACTTATAATTTAATTAATCATATTTAATTCCTTTAGGCGGAAAAGAGTTGGCGCATAATGGAACAATTCATACTTCGTATTGTACAAGGAAAAGCCTTTATAGCAGATTCTGCCGAAACCACCCATCCCATGAATCAGGACGCGTCAACTCCAGAAGAAATTATTTCACTGTTAGATTCAATTTGCTATGACAAAGGTACAACTGTTTTTTAGATATATGTGGTTTACGTAAATAACTGGCAAGCAACACTTCTTTATGCACGTAGGGGCTGCTGTGATTCACATGATGTCCATTTTCCTGACTCCCCCCGTCTTTCGCGCTGGTCTCACCAGATACTTAAAGAATAAGTAAGTTTCTTTACTTTCAACAGAACCGAAGAGGATCATAATTATGATGATCCTGAGCTCATTTCCCAATATCATTTACAGTGCCTATGGGGTGGTCACATCCGATGACCTGTGGAGCGCTTTACAAGAGGTATCTGACGAATATGAAATTCTGCCGCCTGAGATTTGCCTTAAAAAGGTGATGGACACTTGGGTCGAGCAGCCTGGATTTCCACTGATCACTGTCACCAGGGATTATAAAACTGGAAAAGCTAATATCAGTCAGGAACGATATTTTCAATCTGGTGCTAGTGGTGACGGTACCAGATGGTGGGTTCCTATCAGTTACACAACTCAGTCTGATCTAAATTTTTCATCAACATCGCCTCGCGAGTGGATCCCTCAAGCGAAAAATAATATAGTTCTAAGCGGATTTAAGCCCACTGATTGGACCATTTTCAACATACAAGAATCAGGTAAAACAATCCTTATCAAATTATACAAACGGATGTTTCACTAAATACAAAAATTATAGGCGTTGATAAACTATTCGAAATCAATCAACAGGTTACTATCGTGTCAACTATGATGAAAAAAATTGGAAATTAATATCTAATTATTTGGACAGTGACGATTATATAAAAATTCATCCCGTCAATCGCGCACAAATCATCGATGATTCTTATAACTTGGCGGTTGCCAATCGTATCAGCTTTTCTATATTTTTGGATATTTCGGTTTATATCCGCCGTGACGTTGATTACATTCCCTGGTATCCGATGTTGACCATTGATAATTATTTGTATCAAAAATTAGCAAACACCAGAAGCTTCTCGTTATTCAAGGTACGTACATGACTGTGATATAAATAATGTTGAATAACTTAATATACTTTTAATCTATTAAAACTTTTCATTTATAGAGATTTTTTGTGGAAAGTTTTGAAAAATCTATTGTTACTCTCGGATACGTCCAGCACAATGACGATGAACATCTTATAAAGTTTCACAGAGCAGATATGTTAATCTATGCATGCTATCACAGCAGTAAAAAATGCAGATCCAAAGCAACTGCAAGGCTGGTTGCATATTTGAAAGACCCAATTGCAAACCCGTAAGTTATTACGTGATCGATATAAGGATTTAATTCCACAAAAATCTTATAACACCATTTATTTTAGTATATCGCCGGATTTGAAAAATTGGGTATTTTGCGGTGGACTTAACAATGCAAATGCAACTGTGTGGAACATGGTTTTAGATCTTTACGCCAAGAGCCCTTCTCGCTCCTTAATTTATTATCTTGGTTGTTCCGAACACAAAGAAATCTTGACAAAGTACATGTCACTGGCAACAACAGAAAATTCAACGATACTCAAGGAGCATGCATCTGATGCGTTCGCGTCCATTTATGATGGCAGCGGTGATAATATAAACTTCGCCTTGGACTACCTCATCGACAATTTCGACAAATTATATGCATTGTAATTAATTGTTTACTCTGTACCTTTTTGACTACTATAAATATTATTATACAAGCGCACATTTTTTACTTGTTCCAGCTGGGACCAATCAGCAGATAAAATGACTGGGCATGTTTCTTCGTTTGGTTACATCCTAACAACAAGAGAACAACTCACGAAGGTTTTTATCATCAATAATTATACAAGATAGTATGCATTACTTATTTCTGTTTTTTAATTTACTTTTTCAGTTCAAAGCTTTAATCCAAAAGCATAATGATGTATTGGGATCTACTGGAAGCACTGCAATCGCCAATGCAGAATCTAACGTCAAATGGACTGATACTTATGAACCTGTTTTCTACAAATGGTTTAATAAGTTTTATAAGGCCTAAGCCGAAGAAGCTACTTCCACTACCAACGTTAAGCCCGTTGCGACGTCACCTCCCTCTCCTTGGTCCTTTCCGTACCCAACACTGACCAGTACCAATACTGAAGCTAGAAAAAAGCCAGTAGCCAACATAATAGTAACCGGTGTAAACCGAACATGCGTTATCTAGGGTGAGTCATAGATATACAATAATTCAAGGAAATCTTTGCATGTTGCGCCATACTCGACTTCTTGAGAGCCCGAATCTTGAGAGACTCAAAATCTTGAGAGCCCGAATACCCAAGTAGGAACAGCGCTGATCAGCTGATTTTAGTTGAGATGCTGCAACCAAGATAAGAGCTGCTGCTCCCCGAGAGAAAAATATTCTGCTGCAACAAAATCTGTTGGGGTCACCACGGTATTCGCGAGTTCGCTTAAAGACTTCAAACTAAGAACAGTTCAAGGGAAGTCCAGGCTGGTTTGCCGCTGTAGAGTACACTGTACGCGTCTGGTCTTGTATTGTAAAATCCTTCATTTTACTGGAGTGGAATAAATAGACGATACATACATTACGATACATTATTATATATACTAGCTGAGGCTGAACAGACAGTGGTGCAGAGAGGCCAGATCTGATGCCCAACGCTATGTTTGGGTTTTCAGCAAGTTGAGGCAGCCCGAGGATATTTGCTGCCTACGGCCGAAAATACATCACATTCTGTACGAATCGAAGGAAGCATTTACAATAACTTACTCAATTTCGACAATCTTCAGTTTAACGCCGGCTGATAAATGTCCGATAAGATCTGTTCTAGAAAGAATTAAAAATCCTCTGGAATGATTGTCTTCGTAGAACTGATAGATCATCCCGATACCTTATATCGTGTAATACATTTTCTTAACAATCAAAATTATAGATTGAAGCACATATACGTGTTTTTTGAAGTACAATAAGATGATAAGATTGGCAAAAGTTACACGTTTAGCGGACAATCTTTTCTAACTCCAGTAGCATATAAGAGACTTTCGAGTAATTTCGTTCACACGTATGTCGTTCTCCTGCTGGACAAGACAGGTAAAGAATGCATTATAATTAGAACTAACGCCATTATACATTAACGATTATTATCAATCAATAAGACATTGCTTTTAACGTATTTTCTTATTTATTATATTATTTCAAAATTCAGATCCAAGGAAAACTCTTATCATGAAGATTTTTCTGGTAACGGCTCTGCTGTTAGCCGCCGTGTCTGCAAATCCTCTTCTTCATGACAGTGTGGCAACTATTCGCAATAACAATACCGACAACTATAGATTGCCAAATAATTCAGTACCAATTTCATATAAAATCGAATTGATACCACATATCAATGAAGACTATTTTACATTCGATGGAGAATCTGCTATTGAACTTCGAATTCTCGAACCAAGTTCTTCGATAACTCTTCACAGTCTGGACCTTACTGTACACGAGACTTCACTATCTTTGGTGTCCAGTACTAATGTGAGCTACAAAATAGCCAATTATACTGAGGATGAAACAAAACAATTTTTGATTTTGAATTTCGCCACCGATTTGCCAACTGGATTATATACGCTGTATTTGAAGTATATTGGTTTACTAGACGATGAAATTTTGAATGGTTTCTATAGAAGTTCTTATATCAACGAAAATGGTGAAACTGTGTACGTATATCATTACTGTATATCAGTCTGTATTATTTAATACAGCTATATTAATTTGTACAATATATTTCCAGCTGGTTGGCTACCACACAATTTGAACCAACTGCAGCACGTAAAGCTTTCCCCTGCTGGGATGAACCTGCACTCAAAGCCACCTTTACCATTTCTATTAAACACGATGTTAACTACACGGCGTTATCAAATATGCCAGTTGCCAGTCAATCGGAAATCGACGAAACTGATAACAAATTATGGACGACTTTCGAAACAACACCCATCATGTCTACATATTTGGTGGCTTTTGTAGTTTCGGATTATGGATACGTCAGTAACGCCGAAGGAACATTCAGAGTATGGACTCGCAAAAATGCTATTAATACTACAGCTTATGCATTGACTCTGGGAGAGTCGGAGTTAGAATATTTACAAAATTACACGATGATTCCGTTTGCTTTACCGAAAATGGATCAAATTTCTATCCCAGACTTTTCGGCCGGTGCTATGGAAAACTGGGGCTTGGTTACCTACAGGTAATATCATAAACGATTGTTCATTATATAATCTCCTCTTAATCTTTTTTTATCGTCAATACAGAGAAACAGCGTTGCTATATCAAGAGGGCGTAACTAGCTTATCGTCAAAGCAAAGTATCGCCACTGTTATTTCGCATGAATTTGCCCATCAGTGGTTTGGAAATCTTGTCAGTCCAGCCTGGTGGAAATATCTTTGGCTGAACGAAGGCTTCGCCACTTATTTCCAATATTACACCACTGACGAGGTAAAACTTTTTCAAGCTTTCCAACCTCGTCGTTTAATTAATCATACCTAATTGTTTAAGGCTGAAGACAATTGGGACTTAATGGAACAATTCGTAGTTCGCGTTGTACAAGCAACTGCCTTCGTAGCAGATTCTTCTGCAACCACTCACCCCTTGAATCAGGATGCATCGACTCCAAATGAAATTAGTTCACTGTTCGATACAATTTGCTATAACAAAGGTACAACTGTTGTTCAAATGTAATCGATTTGCAAAAACAATTGACAAACAGGACTTCTCTATGCATGCAGGGGCTGCTGTGATTCGTATGATGTCACATTTTCTGACCTCCAATGGCTTCCGCACTGGACTCACCAGATACTTAAATGACAAGTAAATTTTTTAACTTTCAAAAAAACCGAAGGGGATCACAATTATGATAATCGTGAACTCATTTTTCACTCTTGTTTTCAGTGCCTATGGGGTGGCCACGACCGATGACCTTTGGACGGCCTTACAAGAGGTATCTGATGAAATGAGAGTTTTGCAGACTCACGTTTACGTTAAAACGGTTATGGACACTTGGGTCGAGCAGCCTGGATATCCAGTGGTCACTGTTATCAGGAATTATACAACCGAAACAGCGGTAATCAGTCAGGAACGATATTTTCAATCTGGTGCTGGTGATGACGGTACCCGATGGTGGGTTCCTATCAGTTACACAACTGAATTTAGTCAAGATTTTTCATCAACGTTAGCAAAGGAATGGATCCGTCAACAAGACGATAGTATAATCGTAGGCATATTTAAATCAATCCATTGGCTGATTGTTAATGTACAGCAATCAGGTAAAACAACATTTATCAACTTATACCAACAGATTCTGTATTAAATAGAAAAATTACGTTTATTGACAAACTATTCGAAATCAATCAACAGGTTACTATCGTGTAAACTATGACGAAACAAATTGGAAATTATTAGCTGATTATCTGAACTCTATGTATTATATAACCATTCACCGCCTCAATCGTGCACAACTCATCGATGATTCTTATAACTTGGCTCGTTCCAATCGTATCAGCTTTTCTATATTTTTGGATATTACGGTTTATCTTAAGTATGAGACTGATTACATTCCCTGGTATCCGGGGATGGTTGCTATTTCTCAATTGTATCCAAAATTGGCAGACACCAAGAGCTTCCCGTTATTCAGGGTACGTATATGACTGTGATATAATTAAGGTTGAATAAGTCTGTATACTTTAATCTGTTATCATTTGGTTTATAGAAATATTTTGCGGAACGTCTTGGACAATCTCTTTTTTTTCTTGGATATGACGAGAAGGAATACGAAAAGCATGTTCACAAATTTCACAGAATAAATACAATAAACTGGGCATGCAGTCTTGGCCATGAAATATGCAGATCTGTTGCAACTTCTAAGCTGGTTGCATATTTGGAAAATTCAACTGCAAACCCGTAAGCTGTGACGTGATCGATATGAGAATTTAATTCTAGGAAAATCTTCTAACTTAGGATTTACTTTAGGATATCGACTGAATTTACCGCATGGACATATTGCGCTGGACTTAGAAGTGCTAATGTTACTGTGTGGGACAAAGTTTTAGATCTTTACATTGAGAGTCGTTCTACCAGTATACTCAATTATCTTGGCTGCTCCGAAGATGAAGAAATATTGGATCAATACTTGACATATGCAACAACGAGAGACTCTGACATATTTTATTACGATGCATATTACGCATATGCATCTGTTTACAATGGCAGCCCTCAGAACATTAATTTCGCTTTGGATTACTTTATCAATGAGTTTGAAAGGATAAGCACATTGTAATTAATTATTTGCATTGTACTTTCTTAGTTCTATAAATAGAATTATACAAGTACGAATTTTTACCTTGTTGCAGCTGGTCCTCATCGGTTCAAACGTTGCAAATGATTCTTGCCGAACTCGGTAGCAAGATAACAACAAGGGAACAACTCCAGAAGGTTTTTATCGTTGCCAGTCATACAACTGGTTATTTATTTTCTTTCTACTATGTATTATGTATTTTTATTTTTCTTAATTATATTTGCAGTTGAAAGATCTAATCGCAAGGGAGAACGATTTATTCGGATCTGTTGGTAGTTCTGTAATCGCCAAGGCTGAATCTAATGTCCAATGGACCGATACTTACGAACCAGTTTTTCGCGAATGGTTTTATAAATTCTATGGACTCGGAAATGAACAGACAAGTTCTACTACCAGTTCCCCTGATCATACGGAACCGGCTGTAACTACAGAAAGCCCGGATGATAATGGCAATAGTGCAGCATCAGTTCGGTCGTTCAACTTTATTTTGATTCCGTTGACTATTGCATCTGTACAAATATTTCAAAGTCGTATTTATTGACATTCTTTGATGACAAGTAAAATATTGCACTTGGAACAATAAATTATGATGCTTTAAATTCGTTGTGCAAAAGTAATGTTACCGTTTATGTACAAAAACTAGTTTGAAATAAATATATTACTTAAAAAAAGATAATTTTTTTTTTCTCTTAAGGTTCGGCCTTTCTTATGATTATCACTTTACAGAATTCTTTTGGGAGTCAATCAATTTTTAAAGATTGCAACTGCTTCAAAGTTTATCAAGCGGTCTAATATGTAAACCAGGTGGACAGTTCTTAAACGATAAAAGAAATACTTTTGCTTCCTCATAGAGGAAGCTATGTTTTCATGAGAAAGTTTTTTTTCGAGATTTTCATGTTAGAATACAATAGAATAGAATAGATTTTCATGTTAACATAGTCTAAAACGTCAAGAAAAGTAACTTAGAAAAAATGTCCGTATGTATGTGTGTGTGTGTGTGTGTGTGCAGGGCTTCGAAAATTCAATTGCCTCTTACTCAGTAACCGTTAGAACGATCGGACTGAAATTTGGCACGCAAGTAAAGTAGATACCCTCTTTAAATGGTGCGATTTTTAATGAAATATATGCAGCCATTCAGATTTTATGTCATTTAAAATTTTTTGAAAAAAGGGCGTGGTCGCTCTAACTTTCGTAAAGGTTCGACGATTTAGCTAAATAGTTCTTCATAACTGAAGATACGTTCAATGTTGTTTGGTATTAAATTTCGACAAGTTCTCTAAAGCGGTTCAGATTTTACGTGGTTTTGAAATTTTCAAAAAATTATTGTTATTGCAGCATCAGCTTCCGCAAAATTTAAGGAAGTGAGCCAAAACTTTGTACATAATGAAAATATGATGCAACCGTGTTTGTTACGGCGTTTCATAGCCGTGTGTAACGTGGCTAGTTCTTTTAGATTATACATTTTTTATTTTTTATTCCTGTAAGTACCAAAGTTCAATTGTACATAACTCGCGAAAATAAATCAAAGAACTTCCTCATGGTGGTGGCTTTGTGAACGAAGGAAAAGAATCAAGAAGCAAAGTGTAAGATTCTACTTTGCATCATTGTGATAGAAAAAAACCAAGTAAAATAATGAGGAAGCAATTTGCAAGGTTCTACATTGCAGCCTTTTTTTATATGTTGGATCTTTGAAATTCTTAACATATACAGGGTGTCTCACCAAAAGTGCACACCTCGATTTTTCCGTTACTATTGAAGATACGTGAAAAAGTTTCGGACGAAAGTTGTATGGTTTCAAAGGAGTCGGTTTTAAATCCAAATGATTTTTTCTTTATATTCATTTGATTCTAAGATACAGCACGTTGCATGTATCTCTTTAATGGAACATCATTTTTTGTCGATCGCGCAATTATGCACGCGAACCCTAAACGCTCTAGTGACGCTACATATATAAAATTTTCAATATTTTTCAGACAGTAGTAATACTGACTTACTAATCAAATTTGATAACCCTCAAAGAGTTATGTATTCCTTTACAGTAAACATATAATTCTTTGAACTTCTCTACAATTCTCTGTAAATTGTCAAAAATTAGTTAAATTTATCCAGAAGCATTGGTTCCGCCCATAAAATTCATTTACGAAGCCCAAACGTAACCCAATATAAATAAAAACTAATACTTCAATTTTAAAAATGACCAATAACCATAAATGAAACGATAGCACCAAAAGATTGCGCAAGTGCGCAAGATAAGCATAATAAAAATGTTTAATATCAAAAATGATTAGATTAAATATTGAAGAATTGAAGGGTGAGATAGACTTCGCTTTTGAATATAACACGACTGGTATCACTTGGCAATTGCTGGACGAGAAGATACCAGACCGTACGACAACATGGACGATTTTAAGCTTCTCTTTTTTCTTCTTCTAGCAAGTAAGTAACAATATATAAAACAAGTGCAACAAATCGATTTTATATTATACACTTAATCAGGTACAATAAATACATAAATAAATTATTATTTCAGCTATCAGCTCTAGCCGGTCCTCGCCTATATTTTTCGATCAAGATGGTGTTGCTTCAAGAACCAATGCCGACTACAGGCTTCCAACAAATTCCAAACCAATTCACTACGTCATCAAGTTGAATCCACACCTGACTAATGATAACTTCACTTTCACCGGTGAAGTCACAATCACTCTTGAAGTCGTTCAAGCCTCCACTAACATCACTCTTCACTCAAAGGAACAAACTATTGATGAGAGTAGAACTTTTTTGGCACCTTATAATGATAACACTACCAGATACAGCATAACACATAATTATGATACCACCACCGATTTTCTCATACTCTCTGCCAACGAGACATTACCTGTTGGCAATTATACATTGATCATCCACTATACTGGTGATCTGAGGGATGACATGATAGGGTTCTATAGAAGTTCCTATACGAACTCAAATAATGAGACTGTGTAAGTGTTTAGATGAATTGAGGTTACAATAATTCGAGAAAAATATCAACGTGGTATGTTTTACGGTTACAGGTGGATAGCGACTAGCAAATTTGAACCGACTCATGCACGTTATGCTTTTCCATGTTATGACGAACCTGCTTTGAAAGCAACTGTTGACATATGGTTGAAGAGAGAACAGTCTCAGCATGCTCTGGCCAATACTAATATATATACCGAAAAGAAGGACAAGTAAGGAAATATATTATATACAGATATATTACACAGTTTTTCTTGAAAAAATGAAATATCGAAATTCTTTCATTGTTTCATATCATTTTATTAATCTTAAGATCGTTAAGTAATAATAGATAAAAAGTAATTATATATATATGTATATACATATATATATATTCATTCCCTGGAGACACTATCTAAACTATCTATACCTCGTTCACACTAACAGAAGTATTAAAGTAATATATATCATTAATCCTAGGATCAACTGGAATTATGATTAAACTATGAAATGACACCAAATAAAATGTTGTACTGTCATGGATAAGCTTAAAAAATATTTCTGAAATAACATCTTAGTTTTTTATCACAATTCTAAGAATGACTAAATCATATGGATTTTATTTCTTAATTTTAGTTCTGATAATAAAACATGGAGTATTTTCGAAACAACGCCATTAATCTCAACGTATCTAATAGCTTTTATTGCTTCGGATTTTGGAAGTATCAGAAACGCCGATAATACGTTTGGTGTTTGGGCCCGATCTGACGTCATAAGCACGGCTCAATACTCTTTCGATTTTGGTATTAAGTCCCTGGAACGATTGGAAAATCATACAAGTGTTAAATACTATGGTTATAGTTTACCTAAAATGGATCAAATCGCTATTCCTGATTTTGCATCCGGTGCCATGGAGAACTGGGGTCTCGTAACGTACAGGTAAACCAAAACCATCATCGAATCATAATCATCAAGATCCAATTGAACTCGTAAGAAAATATATTTATCAGAGAGAGATATTTGCTCTATCAAGACGGCGTCTCGACCAAATCTGATAGACAAGGAATCGCTACCGTTATCGCCCATGAATTTGGTCATCAGTGGTATGGCAACCTTGTCGGTCCTGAATGGTGGACATATTTATGGCTGAACGAAGGATTCGCCACGTATTTCGAGTACTTCAATGCTCATGAGATTGAAAGTACATGGAGACTCGACCAACAGTTTCCTGTTGTTGAATTGCAAGCAAAGGCATTCGCTGTCGATGGCCTTGGCACTTCTCATGCGATGAACGCAAACGTTAAAAGTCCAACGGAAATCAGATCGATTTTCGATTCGATTTCCTACGCGAAGGGTAACCGTAGTCCATGAAGTTCTAGTAAAATGAAATATCCATTGAACAGATTTAAAATGAGTCTTTTACAGCCGGCAGCGTAATACGAATGATGGAACACGTTATTGGTACACCTGTGTTCAAGACTGGATTGAATAATTATTTAGTTGCTAAGTAAGTCTAGTTATAGAAAAAAAAAATTAATATCCTCATTCACCATTGTATTTATTTTATGTTTGCTTTTTATCCGCAGTCAATTCAATACTGGAACATCTGATCTCCTTTGGAAAGGTATACAAACAGCTGTTGATCAAACTAATTTGAATTTGAATATCAAGCGAATAATGGATACCTGGGTTACGCAACCTGGATTTCCTGTAATAACCGTAACGAGAAATTACGACGCCAAGACTGCGCTAGTCCAGCAGGTAAGTGAAAAGTTTATAAAATTATTGGCACACTGCAAATATACACTGTGATAATAATATATGCCACGTCCACTCGGTTATCGGTCAGTAATTGTTTAATCAGATAATATTGTTTTTAATACTTTAGGAAAGATTTTATCTTGCTGATGCAGCAACCTACAATTCTACTTCCTATTACTGGTGGGTTCCTATCAATTACGTTGTTGCTTCCGATATTGACTTTACTGATACAGCTCCCGAGACATGGATTCCTGCCACTGATAATATTTCTATTAGTTCGTTGAGCTCGAATGACTGGATAATTTTAAATAGACAACAAACTGGTACGATATTTTTTTTATATTTTAAAAAAATATCATCACACGATTTTGTCATTGATCTATGATGATCTTAATTTCAGGTTACTATCGCGTGAATTATGACAAAACAAATTGGAAATTAATAACGACTTATCTGAACAGTGAAAGTTATAATAATATTCACGTAGTTAATCGTGCTCAGCTTCTTGACGATGCATTCAATTTAGCAAGAGCAGGCTATATCGATTATACAATTGCATTGGACCTAACGACTTATCTGGCACAAGAGACTGATTACATACCGTGGTACTCAGCTTTTACCGGTTTAAATTATTTGTACAGATGGCTGGGTAGTTCCGATTCGTACGACTTGTTCAAGGTAATAAAAAAAAAGGATTAACGAATTATCGATATCAGTTATCACCCGAGCAGCCGTGATCTTCTATATAATTCGTGATACGTACTGAATCTGCTACTATCATAAATTGTACAAGATTTTTATCGGAAACGATAACAAAGTTTAATTGACGTATCCGATGACTCAATCGATTAACTCAATCTTATAAATAGATACATTTTCATATGTATGCTTTTACGATTTTCTTCAGGCGTACGTTTTAAAACTTATTGCCAAGTCGCAAGAAACTTTAACGCTAACAGAGCTAAGTGACGATGAACATGTGGAAACATTACATAGAACCAATGTTCTAAGTTGGGCATGTAAATTGAATCAGAGCAAATGTCTGAGCACTGCAGCTGAAAAATTTTCAGCCTGGTTACTCGATGGCTATGGGACGGCGTAAGGATCGTTAGAGTATAGATAGGATAAAGGAAATGAATTATTACTGATTTTTGAATTTTTTTTTTTTCTTTTCAGAATCACGCCAAATCTAAAAACTGTCTTTTTTTGCTATGGAATACAGCAATCGAATAGTACCGTTTGGAATGAGCTGTGGAAAAAATATTTAGCTACTGATTTGTCATCTGAGCAAAGACGAATTTTAAGTGCACTTGGATGCACCGAGGACGTAGATATACTTAATCAGTAAGTATCGATTAATGATTGGATAATTTTATTTTCATCGATATTGATTTGTAATTTGTCTTTTTTTCTAGGTATATGTCTCTTGCAACCACTACAGGTTCAGGAATACGTGCACAAGATTCTACTACGGCATTTTCAGCTGTTTATACCGCAAGTCCGAAGAATGTCGAAGTTGCATTGGATTACATTATCAACAATTTAGATTCGATTTACGAATAGTATGTAATATACGAAATTTTATGATTTTTATAATCGCGTAACGGTATGTATTATTTTTTTATTTTTCTATTCATTAGCTACGGCGGTACGGGTTCCATTGCTACTTTGTTGTCTGGAATTGGTCTACGAATTACAAACAATGAATTGCTTGAGAAGGTTCTTTTTTTTGTACATCTACTTTAATTCATTCAGTTTCTCTAAAGCCAATTATTACTATTAAATGCATTGTACATATATATTCACAGTTGGTCAAGTTCTCCGAGCAACAATCAAGCATTTTGGGAGGGGCAGCATCCACTGGTATCGCCAATGCGAGACGAAATCTGGCGTGGATTGAAAAGTACGAACCCGTAGTAGCGCAATGGCTGTCTGAAGAACTTCCGGAAAATGAAGGTTCCGGCGCTGCTTCAACAATAGGCAGCATTACTCTACCAATTGTATTTATATTCGTGATGCGATATTTTCAATGAAGATTTAACTGTGACTGTACAATCGAATAATGATCGATAAAACATTTATCAATAAATTAGTCATCTGTTGATCCATCCATTGTACAAATAAAAATGGCAATAAAACAAATTGATATTATTTCGTGTTAACTGACATAATAATGTATACTATACATATATATTATATATATATATTTTGGATTTAAATATAAAAAAAAACCCTACGAATCATATTTTATTTGTGAATGCATTATCTATGAGCATATACGTATATATACGCATACTGTTCATATATAAAATAAATATGATTTTAAGTAAAATTAAAAAATTAAATTGCACTGGTTCGCCGCGATTTCTTATGATATCCAAATTATAGTTCTAAGCCGTGGTACAGATGTTCAATCAAATCTTGAAATTTGCGGGAACGATTTGATTATACATTCTACGAAATTGTGCACAATATATCTTTTTAGGATATCTTAAAAATAATACTGTCATTGGTCAATCGGAAGATAAGATAGAAGCCAATCTTATAAAATAGGTTGCAACACCCAGTGGTCCTAGGACCACTAGGCAACCTCACATCTGACAGGTATGTCCAAGCTGTCACATAATTTTTCAACTAAGTATTACAGTGTGCGGCTTCTTGAGTAGTGAACAGGTGAAATATCCACGTGGTGCAAATCCGTAATTAAATATTCAAAATGTCAAATTTATAAACGCGAATGCGCCTTTCGCAAGATATTACGTAATTAGCTGTTTTATAGCTACAGCTAGTTTTTTTTTTTTACTACTGTGCCATAGTATACTTCAAGAAAAAACAGATGAAACACAGTTCTTCGTTGTTGCATGCAGTAAACAGTAGTTTATCAATATTTCAGATGTCTTTTTTGTATTTTGAGTATGACAATTTTTTGAGATTTATTGTTCTATAAATTATTTCCTATCACGTGAAGATTTGAAGAGTCAAGTTATTGTCTTCAATACGCCTTTGATGATTGATCTTACTAATCGTACGAATTAATGTTATCGATGAAATACATTATAAAAAATAGCACCTCGACAATTTTAAACTGTTATCAATTTCAATAAGTTTACATATCCGAATTGTATTAACGTCTTTGTCATACTCTGTAAATTGCGAATTTGTAATTTTTTGTTTTCTGATAACACCAAAAAATCGATAGATTGTTTGTTTCTCAATTCTATGAAGTGTATCTGTATCACAGAATCAATAATGATTCATCGTCATTAATCTAATCTCCTAACTACCGCATTAACTTAAAATTGATGATAAATAAAAATTCTTATCTAACACTGTGCCATCGTCCAATAGTGTTCCGCATATTTGAACAGTGATGGGCAATCGGTGATTAGCACGAGTTGTTTAGACCTTATCACACAATGAGATTTTATATTTAACAATAACAATATATCCACGTTTCTTCATTGGGTAATTAATGATGTCTCTGATACGTACGAATTAGATACAAATGCCAGATAGGAATATCCAAAATAAGCCTGACGTTTTAGATTACATACGATCCAACGATTAGCCTATGATTATCGGGCATAGAACGCAATGATTTAACATTCAATAATCATCCATCGACCTGGATCAATTGAATGTACCAATAAATTGACGAATGATTTAATACGCTAATAATTTTTATTATTATCATTCCTTCTTCTTACAGTATGCAGTTCTCCTGGAGCCAAATCCTAGTGACTGCCTTCGTGGTGATACTTGGCCCTACCAGAACAACATCTAATTTGGTGGAAAATTTTGACGATCATCATCATGCATTACTCAGAGTTGATAACGACGACAAAGTCATCGATTATAGATTGCCAACCACCTTATCGCCTGAAAGTTATACGGTCCTACTGACACCGTACTTCAATAATTTCACATTTGATGGCGATATTTTAATTATAGTAAACGTCATCAATGACACTGATACAATATCATTGCATACAAAGGATTTGGTCATCAATCAAATTCAGATCAATAACACAGCTGGTGCTACGTTACCAGTTGCTGGAACCCAATGGGATTCTGTTACTGAAATTCTGACAATCAGCCTCAACAACACTTTGTCATCAGGCACGTCAATTTACGTGGGGATGACTTTCGTCGGGACACTGAATGACGACATGGTCGGATTTTATAGAAGTTATTATACCGATGCAAATGGAAATACTGTTTGGATCGCTGCCACTCAATTTCAACCGACCCATGCCAGACAAGCTTTTCCCTGCTTTGACGAACCTAATTACAAAGCAACGTTTAGAATTAGCATCAACAGGCCTGAAGAACTTCATGCACTGAGTAACATGCCGTTAAGGAGTTCAAGTGCAGTAAGGTAAGACTATGATGACTGATGAATTATCAAGAATTATTAAATTTCTTTGCCATCGGACGGTGGGTAATATGAAATACTCGAAACAACAGATTGATCAATAAATCTGAGATAAAAATATAAATCCTGACACTCAACAAATCCTTGGATTTAAATTGCGAAGTGAATATCTGATGGAAAAAACTCAATGGAAAAAAAAAAAAAACCGTAAGGAACCAATGACGTATCTTTTTGTTTTAGGGATGGACGCATTACGGATGCCTTCGACGAAAGTGTCCCCATGTCGACGTATCTTGTCGCTTTTATTGTTTCCGACTTTGAGAGCATATCTTCTGCAAACGGAAACTTCAGTGTTTGGGCTCGTTCCAACGGCATAAATCAAGGAGAATACGCATTGTCCTTGGGACCTAAATTGCTTTCTTACTTCACTAAAACTCTTGGGCATGATTATCCAATTGAGAAAATGGATATGGCGGCCATACCTGATTTTTCATGGGGCGCCATGGAGAACTGGGGTCTGATAACTTATAGAGAAACAGCAATGCTGTATGACGATGATCATTCTTCGTCGGTAAACAAAATCAGAGTCGCTACTGTCGTTGCTCATGAATTAACTCACATGTGGTTTGGCAATCTAATTACATTAGCTTACTGGGATCACGCATGGTTAAACGAAGGCTTCGCTAGGAGATTCCAGTATCTAGCTACTGATTCGGTAAGGCATACAGTCATACGAATTATCATTATGTCTATCAGGAACAATTGTTCAAATTCTTTTCCATCATTTTAGGTGGAGTCAGACTGGAATTTGAGTTACCAATTTGTAGTGACCAGTCTTCAAAGGGCATTGCTATCCGATGGATCATCGTCAGCTCATGCACTTTCAACTTCCGTTTCAACACGAGCAGAAATCAATGCGCATTTCGATACTATCTCCTATGATAAGGGTGCTGGAGTCATTAGGATGATGGAACATATCCTCGGTCAATCAATATTTTTTACAGCACTCAATAATTATATCAAAGCAAAGTTGGTGTACTACTTTAATTCATGCTTTATTTTAATGACTGATTATTAATTTTTTTTTTTTATTTTTTATAGCAAATATGCTAACGTGGTACCTCAAGATCTTTGGGACGCTATTCAAGATCAGGTCGATGCCCATGATATATTTTTGGATAATCAAAGGATAGAGACGATTATGAATACTTGGGCTACTCAAAGCGGTCATCCAGTCGTTAAGGTTGATTTTGACGAAAATACAGGAATTGCCAAAATTTCTCAACAACGTTTCTTACTGAAGCCATCCAACACGACTCCTACCAATGTAACGTGGTGGATCCCATTGACGTTCGTCAGTGCGAGCAATCCTGATTTTGAAAATACAACAGTCACACACTGGTTGGGCGATGAAAGTAGAACTATTCAGGTTAATGACGGAGTCGATGAATGGATACTGTTCAACATTCAAGAACTTGGATTCTTCCGTGTGAACTACGATGAGAAAACATGGAACCGACTAATCAACCTTCTCAACAGTGATGACTTCGAAATCATTCACGTACTAAATCGTGCGCAGATTATCGATGACGTTCTTAATCTTGCCAGAGGAGGTTACATCGACTATTCGATTGCATTGGATGCAACTAAATATTTAAGAAGAGAAACTAATTATTATTCTTGGAAAGCTTTATTCAATGGATTCGATTATCTTACTCAACATTTCCGAGGGCAATCTGTCTGGGTTCTTTATCAAGTGAGTATAAATATATGTATGTTATAAAGCGATCGTTTTAATTATTCGGCATTGTCAAATTTTAACATTCAATTATTTCAGACTCATCTTCTCAGCATTATTGACAATGTTTATGTAACTCTTGGCTTCAACGAACGCGAGAGTGATGACTTTCTTGATGGCTTGAACAGACAACAAATTTTAAAATACGCATGTAGTTTTGGTCATCAGGGGTGCATATCAAATTCTGTCAAACTTTTTGCTACATTCAAAGCGAATAGTTCGGCGCTGTAAGTTGATGAGCGATTGGACGACAACTTTTATTTCTCTTATATTTTTAACTAAATGCTATTTATTCTTTTAGAATCTCAGCTAATTTACGGGAAGCTGTTTACTGCACGGCGATAAAACATGGCGATGAAAGTGATTGGAATTTTCTCTGGAAACGATACTTGAACGCTAATGTAGCTGCAGAACAAAGCGTTATACTGTCTGCACTTGGTTGTACAGAAAATCCAACAATCATTAAGACGTATCTTCATTATGCTATCCGTAATAACTCCGGCATACGGTATATGGATAGTAGTACCGTATTCGCAGCAGTTTACACATACGGCGGTGTTGTAGGCCTCGAAACCGTAATAGACTTTATCGCAGAATATTATAGAGAAATGGAAGCATAGTAAGTTCAACTTTCAGTATACTTTGATATCATGACTTTTCAAGTATAGTTATACAGCACAAAAATTTCAGTTATGGAGATTTAAGCAAAGTATCCAGCATTCTTGCTGGTGTGGCAGGAAGATTATCAACTTCGAAATTAATAGAAAAGGTAATATAACGATTGGGGAAAAAAAATGGTAATTTATCAACATCAATAAATGTGCAATACATCATTTTATCTTTCAGTATGAGATCTTCGTTGAAACTTACGGTACCAATTTGTCATCTATAGAAAGTAACTTAAAATCCCAATTGACAACTGCCAAGCACGACTTGAATTGGTATCATGAAATTGAAGAGACAATTGTAAATTGGTTGACCAAAGAATACTCTTCGGAAACAATTGATTATCGTTTACCAACGAACATTAAACCAACTGCGTATAGAATTTTGATGATGCCCAATCTCTCGAATTTCACATTCAGCGCAACTGTTAAAATTGTAGCGACTGTTGTCAAAGAGACTAATCAGGTTGTTTTGCATTATTCACCGGATCTTACTATAATTACGTATACCATTATTACTGGGACAAGAACAATTCCAATTTTATCAAGTGTCCATGATCCTATAACTGAAAAGGCTACGTTCACACTGGCTCAAAATCTAGCAGTTGGAACAAGTATTACCATATCTTTCGAATACTCAGGAATTTTGAGGGACAGTATGGTTGGATTTTACAGAAGTAGTTACGTAAATGCAAATGGTGAAACGAGGTAACTTTCTTATCATTAATATAAATAAATATTTATTCTATAATAAAAAAGCAAACATTCTTACACAAAACTCTGTTACTTTCAGATGGTTAGCTGCAACGAAGTTCGAACCCACTCATGCCAGAAAAGCTTTTCCCTGTTTTGATGAACCAGCTTTCAAAGCGACGTTTGTTATTCGCATACAAAGAACAAAAGAGTATTCCACTATCAGCAATATGCCATTTTCTTATCAAACAATTTCGTGAGTAAATGGTGTTTCAAAATGAAACGACATTAAAAAAGCTTTGTTCCTTTTAAATTCAAAATTAATTATTATTTTTTTTTGCAGAGGATCTTACATATGGGACACGTATAAGACTAGCATAGAAATGTCCACGTATCTTGTGGCTTTTATAATTTCTGATTTTTCTTATCTGTCCGCCACTACTGGTTACACTTTTGAATTCAATGCTTGGGCCAGACCAAATGCTATTGATCAAGCTAATTATGCTGTTACCTATGGACCACAGGCTCTTCATTACTTTGAACTTCTCTTTAATCAGCAATATCAAATTGATAAAATGGATATGGTGGCGATTCCTGATTTCGCAGCTGGCGCTATGGAAAACTGGGGTTTAATCACTTATAGAGAAACTCGTATGTTGTACGATGAAAATCATTCTTCAGTATCTGCACAACAGGCAGTCGCTGCTGTTATCACTCACGAATGTACACACATGTGGTTCGGAAATCTTGTAAGCCCCAAATGGTGGAATGCACTTTGGTTGAACGAAGCTTTCGCCAGATACTATCAATACATTGCAACGTCAAAGGTACGTTTTTATAGATAAAAAAATATTTTATATTTTTTTTCATAAACATACAAGGAACACAGATAACGTTTTTACATGAACTTTAAGATTGAGGTCGGTTGGAAGATTGATCAACAATTTGTTGTTGAACAACTTCAAGTTGTCTATAACATTGATGGACTGGAATCATCTCATCCAATGACGTATACTGTTTCAAGTCAATCAGAAATTGCTGGAATATTCGATTCCATTACTTATGCAAAAGGTGCCAGTGTTGTTAGAATGACAGAACTCTGTTTGGGTACAAGTATCTTCAATGCAGCACTGCATAATTATTTGGAAGCTCAGTAAGTGTTGTTTCATTGATAGTTAAATAAGAACAGACAGAAATAAAGAAATTGATTAATGAAAAATTAATTTGATTTCAGTCAATACGATGTGGCCGAACCTGATGATCTATGGGAAGCAATTCAGAGAGAAGTTGATAGTAATGGCCTAGTCCTTGGTAGTACAGTAAAGACAATCTTGGAAAGTTGGACAACGCAAGCCGGATTTCCGGTGTTATCAGTCAATATTGATAACGGAGTTGCTACCTTGAAACAGGAAAGATATTTCCTGAGAAATCTCAAATCCACTTCCGCTGCTGTTACTTGGTGGATACCAATAACGTGGACTTCTGCAAGTAATGCTAATTTCAGTAATACTGCTGCACAATATTGGTTCTCCAATGAAAGTGCAAGTATTAATATCAATGATGGAACCGCTGAATGGATAATCTTCAACGTCCAAGAATCTGGTAAGGATAAATATCTTGAAAGTCAATATACATATGTGAATGTAAAATTAATAAATGAATGATTTTCCAGGATTTTATCGTGTCAATTATGACAATGCATCTTGGTATAGAATTATTATGCAACTGGAAAGTGAAAATTTTGAAGTTATACATGAATTGAACAGAGCGGCCATTATCGATGACTTATTGAATCTTGCCAGAGCTGGTTATCTGGGTTATGAGGTTGCACTTGATGGCCTTCAATACATAATCAAGGAAACGAACTATCTTCCATATAAATCAGCATTTACGTCTCTTGCTTATCTAAATCGACGCTTCGCTGGACATAGAAATTACCACATATATGCCGTAAGAAGATATTTGATTTTGATATGAATAGATTTTTTAGTTTACAGCATCAAACGTCCTGGAAAAAGTGTTATCATTTTTTTTAATTATTCTTCAGTATCATATGCTAAATCTTATCGAAGAAACGTATGACACTCTTGGCTTTAATGATAGAGTTGATGACTCCTGGCTTACCCTTCTCTTAAGACGCGAAATCCTTGCATGGGCATGTCGATTTGGACATGAAAATTGCATTAGCACGTCGCTCCAGTACTTTGCTAATTGGAGAGCCAACAGCTCTAGACCGTAATTAACTGATGATTTATTTTTATTTTAATTGCACATTTCTCATTCCTTAATAACAATATTGTTTTCTACCAATCCTTAGAGTTCCCAAAAATCAGAGAACCGTAGTTTATAACACGGCGATCAAATATGGCTCATCGGATGATTGGCAATTCTTATGGCAAAAATATTTGAATGCAAATGTCGCCGCTGAACAAACTGTCATTTTGACAGCGCTCGGTTGCAGTGAGAACGTGACACTGTTGGAAAGGTTAGTGTTCCAATATTAATTACTCACACGAAAGATAAAATAAAAAGTAAGTGAAAAATGAAAAATTTAACATAAAATTGTACCATCAATATATTTTGTTGCGCAGGTACTTGTTGTACGCCATTACGAGTTATAACGAAAGCGGAATTCGAATGCAAGACAGTACTACTGTTTTCACTTCAGTTTACAGTGGTAGTCTTGTTGGAGCAGAATACGTGCTTGACTTTGTTGCACAATATTATATAAAAATGTATGAATAGTAAGTATCATCAATTATTTCTTAAATGCACAAAAATTCGTAATACCATAAAGAATTTTTTGCTTTCAGCTATGGCAGTTACACCCAGATCGGCAGTATTATCTCAGGAGCTGCTCAATATCTTTCTACTGAAGAGCTTGTGAATAAATTCGAACTTTTCATACAAATTCACCAGATTAACTTATCCAGTATTATATCAACCTTGGAATCATCGTTGACTTTGGCACAGTACGAACGACAATGGTCAGAGAATAACTTGATTACCATTATAACTTGGATTAAAAACAAATATGGTTCTATGATCGACGTTACCGAATCAACGACCGTTACTGTCACTGTAACAAGTTCAGCTGACAGTGTCTCAAGTACCATAAGTGATGACATAACAACATCCACAGCAACAACACCCGATGATAGCAATGGAACAACTGCAACCACAAACGGCAGCACAACAAAGGCACCTGATAATAGCACTGAAACAGTTTTAACCACAATCGACACCACAACAAAAGCACCCGATAGCAGCACTGAAACAGCTGTGACCGATACTACAACCACAACAACAAATTCTGATAACACTGAATCAACCGACGATTTTGATAATACAATTACTACTCCATCACCTGCAAGTAATGAAACTAACAGTGAAGACACAAGCTCTACCACGGACTACAGATTGCCGACTAAGATCCTACCAAGCAGATACGATATTTCTGTCATCCCCTACTTAGAAGATGGAAACTTCACTTTTGATGGCACTGTGCAAATTGGAGCAGTTGTGGCTGAAGCAACGAACACTATTGTACTTCATATAGACCAAATCACTTACCACGATGTCACCGTTACGCTTGGTTCAACCACACTTGACATTGAAAGCATATCGAATTCCACAACCTATCATTTCCTAATTATAACGCTTAAGTCAACGTTGACAGTTGGTAGCCACATAACTATTACAATCACATATCAAGGAACGTTAAATACCGAGATGCGAGGATTTTACAGAAGCTCGTACGTCAATGCCGCTGGCACAACACGGTTAGTAAATTTCATCAAAGATCAAGACTATTAAAAGAGCAATACGTATGATAAACTATATTTATCACATTTATAATCAACAGGTGGTTGGCCTCTACGCATTTGGAACCAGTTGGTGCTAGGAGAATGTTCCCATGTTTCGATGAACCAGCATTAAAAGCAATCTTCCAAATACGTGTATCCAGACCAAAAGATTATGTCGCTGTCAGCAACATGCCATTGTCAAGCAGTTCCGCTGCCGTGTACGTTGATAAGAAAAATCAGTAAAACATTAATCTCCTACCGTACAGGCAATAATTTTTTTCTACATTTTTCAGTAACGGTCGCGTCTGGGACACTTTCGAAGATACTCCAATAATGTCCACGTATCTGGTTGCATTGATAGTATCTGATTTTAACTATTTGATGGATTCAACGTCGTTCTACAGAGTGTGGGCCCGTAAAAATGCCATTAATCAAGCAGAGTATGCCTTATCTATAATCGACCCCCTTGTAACCTTCTTCGAAAATAAATTGAACCATGAATATCAGTTATCAAAATTGGATATGGCAGCTCTACCAGATTTTGCCTCTGGCGCAATGGAGAACTGGGGCCTTATAACTTATAAAGAAACGCGAATGCTTTACGATGAAAATCACTCATCGATTATTGATAAGCAAATAATTGCCAACGTTATATCGCACGAAATTTCTCATCAGTGGTTTGGTAATTTGGTCAGTCCACTTTGGTGGAAGTATCTGTGGCTTAATGAAGGATTTGCACGTTACTTCCAGTACCACGCTATGGCTCAGGTAACGATCATTGAATTACCACAATGATCGTATGTGATGTCAACTAATCTATTTTTCATCAATTGCTATTTTTTAGGTCGAAAAAAATTGGGGATTAGAAAATCAATTTGTAGTGGAACAACTGGAGGCCTCATATGCTACTGACGGTCTCACTTCCAGTCATCCAATGACTCATGACGTGTACACCCCGACAGCAATCAGAGGAATCTTCGATACTATTTCATATGCCAAAGCCGCCAGCGTCATTCGCATGGTGGAGAAGACGTTTGGAACAGAATTATTTAATAATGCCCTACACAATTACCTCGAAGCTCGGGAATATGATGTTGCCACACCCGAGGATCTTTTTGATGCGTTCCAAGCCCAAGTTAATGCAGCTGGTATCAAACTGAATACAACTGTTCAAGAAATCATGAACACCTGGACCACTCAGGCTGGCTTCCCAGTTGTGTCTGTTGTTATTGCGAATGGCACGGCTACGTTATCTCAGGAACGTTTCTTGCTTCGCAATTACGTGAATTCTCCAATAAACGTAACATGGTGGGTACCCATAACGTGGGCCACGAAAAGTAATCCTGACTTTAGTACAACGACGCCGAAATATTGGTTGAAAGAAGCGACTGGTTCTGTGGTACTGCGTGCTTCGGATGAGTGGGTCATCTTTAATGTTCAAGAAGCCGGTAACGATACGGAATTTAATTTAATGATATTTCATAATTAATCACGATACAATCGTTTAACCAAATTATTCATTTCAGGTTACTACAGGGTTAATTACGATACTGACTCCTGGCAGCGGATTATTTATTTACTTAAGAACGATGATTTGGATATCGTTCATGTACTGAATCGTGCCTCGATCGTGGATGATCTTTTCAATCTTGGTAGAGCAGGCTACGTGCACTATTCTACTATTTTTTCAGCGACACAGTATTTGACTCGAGAGACCAATTATCTGCCATGGCTGTCTACATTTAATGCTCTTGTATACTTAAAGAGACGCGTGGCCGGCAGACATCTTCAGGATCTGTTGCAAGTGAGTGCCCTTGAAATTTTGTTATAGGATGGGATGATGAACCGTTTTGATTTTTTTAAAAAATTTTTTTTTTCAGAGTCACGTCTTGACCATCATACAACCCAACTACGACAGACTTGGTTTTCATGATATCGATGGTGAAGATTATTATGACAAGTTGCTAAGACCATACATACTTAATTGGGCCTGTGATTATGGTCACGAGAAATGCATTTCTACTTCGCTGCAATTGTTTGCTGCGTGGCGTGCCAATTCTTCCGCACCGTACGAAAATTTATTGCCTGGCTTACGTTATGTAAGAATATCGTTTGACTTGAGTGTCAAATTAAGATTATGCTTTTTTTTATAGAATTCCAGTCAATCAAAGACCCGCAGTCTACTGCACCGCCATTAAGCATGGAGCAGCCGAAGATTGGAAATTCCTATGGGAGCAATATCTTAATTCTAATGTTGCCACCGAAAAGATCACGATTTTGAAGGGCTTGGGTTGCAGCCAAAACACTGCTATACTACACGAGTAATTGCAATGATAATTAACGTCACGGTAAAACCGACGGATCCACTTGATACATTTATTTCTTATTTCAGTTACTTGAAATCGGCCATTACCGAAAATTCTGGAATTCGATTCCAAGATAGTTCGACTGTCTTTAGTTCAGTCTATTCTACGGGTATAACAGGTGCTAATTACACTTTGGACTTCATCGAGGAACATTACAACGACATGTACGATTAGTGAGTAAAAGAATTGTACGAGATCAAAATTTTCATAAAATTTCTTTAAATGGCAGACAAAAATTAACAAAACAATGTCTTTCAGCTACGGAGATTTCAGCAAAGTCCGATCGTACCTGAGTGGTCTTTCTCTGCGATTGTCTACGAAAGAGCTCGTTGAAAAGGTACTTGCTATTTCAAATACCGTCTAACCAAAAATCGTATAACTATTTTTCATAAATTACTTTTATACAATTGCAGTATGCAAGATTCATTGACAACCACGGCTCTAATTTAACGTCGATCGTAAGGTCATTACGATCATACTTAGCCAGAGCTCATTACGAACTGAACTGGTACACCGAGTATTCGCCACAAATTTACGAATGGCTCGATACAGCCTATCCCAGTAAAAGCCACAGATTGCCAAGAACAATTTATCCATCGAGTTACGACATATTTGTTACACCTTATCTCGAAGAGGACAACTTTGTCTTCGATGGCAAAGTTACGATAATGATGACGGTTGCTGAAAACACATCAGCAATAATTCTTCAAGCAAACGAGCTAACGATAAACAGCATTATTGTTTTTAAAAATTTGATTTACCCACTTAAAGTATCTAGCTACACCCTGAACCCAACAACTCATCGCTTCAACATTTATTTGGACAGCACTGTTGTTGCTGGTACAATACTGTCCGTCTACATCTCGTACAGTGGTATTTTGAATGACGATATGACAGGATTTTATCGTAGCTCGTATAGGGACGAAGATGGTAAAACTCAGTAAGACCTTTTTTTTTTATTTACAACGTTAATTTTTTTTTTCGAATTTTGCCTAATTGCAACAATTGAATTTCAGCTGGATCGCCGCCACACAATTCCAACCAACCCATGCTAGAAAGGCTTTCCCGTGCTTCGATGAGCCATCTTTTAAAGCTAAATTTAGTGTCAATATAGAGAAATTAGAGTCTTATGAAACTCTTAGTAATATGCCACTGAGATGGTATGATACGTCAGATACCCCAGGTCGTATATGGGATGCTTATGAGGAAACTCCAATCATGTCATCGTATCTGGTTGCCTTCGTCATGTTCGATTTTGAACTGATGGGGAGCCATCACGATTTCAGCATATGGGCAAGACCTAACGCCATTCAGTATGCCGATTATTCGTTTAAAGTTGGTCAGGAAGCTTTAGGATTTCTAGAAAATTATACTGGCGTTGCGTATCCATTACCAAAAATGAGCATGGTGGCTATACCCGACTTTGCTTCAGGCGCTATGGAGAATTGGGGTCTCGTAACGTATAGGTGAGTATTTTATACAACGGTATTGACGTAAAAGGTTAAAAGCTCTTTGTTTGAACTCTTCAAGCATTATAGAGTTTGATGAAAAATTGAGAAACTTATGCATTCATTAAGGAGGCGCTATGACAAATCGTTATTTGACAAATAATATTATTTGAAGAATATTAAAAACAGCTATTAGTATTCTTTGTTATATTAAAATTTTTCTTTTTAAGGGAATACGGTCTTCTGGCAAGTGATAACGTGACGTCAGCGACATACAAAAAATATATGACCAACATAATTTCTCATGAGCTTGTACACATGTGGTTTGGTAATTTGGTAACTTGCGACTGGTGGGACTATACTTGGCTCAATGAAGGATTCGCACAATATTTCCAATGGATAGTCAGTGACTCTGTGAGTATAATAATTTTTAAGATAAAAAAAAATTAAAAATGAATAAATCACCTTTTATCCCCGCTGTCATTAGATTCAACCGGAATGGAACTTACTCCAGCAATTTGTCGTCTACCAACTTCAAGTAGCGATGCAGGCAGATGCATCTGCGACGATTCATGCTATGAATCATGACGTATCGTCTCCTGCAGAAATTTCTAGCGGATTCGACACAATAGCTTATGGAAAAGGTGGGTTAACACCGATAACGAAAAATCCGAGAACTAACCCACGTTACCTTTGGTTGTCCACCCTTCGGTCAGGCATCCGCAAGCCAGGCGAACGCTAGCCAATTATTTTTTCACTGGAAATTAACGAGCCGGTATGACCTGGGAGTTGGGGTGGAACAGGCCCAACTCCGCCAAAACGAGAGCTCGGACGGAACCTATCAGATAACTTAACGGATCCTGTAGATTTTTTGGGGACGCGTAAAATCGAGAAACGCAACCGTAGGTTCTGATCTTTGGGGTCGCGTAAAATCAGCAAACTCAACTGGATGCACGAACGAGAGCGGACGGTTACGGAAATGCACGGCCGCTCAGGCTGCTAGGTTGAGCTAGAGAGGGTCGGAGTAAGCGTCAGGCAAATAGTGCGAAATACAGAGAACAATTGATCGAGAACGCAAACGAATCAAAGCTGTAAAATCGAAATCCCTCAACCGATTAATAAATTGAGAGCACTCACCGGAGCTGGTGCAGCTGATCCGTGAAGGCCGAGAACCGCATCCAGGAGACACTCGGGGGGGCACTGCACTAGGACACAACACTGCACTCCCGGAACACTCACAGAAAATCCATCGAATTTCTTGGACATCGCGAGAGCAACGCGAGAACTACACAAACGAAAGTACTTTCTATACCGTATCGAAATACGGCTAGAAAAACTATAAACAGACAGCACGGGAGCGCGACGCAGCTCGTGACACGTCGGTCGGTGTCCCGAGACGGACTGCTTTTACAAAGTAGCCAAATTCGAGAACTAATCATTCCGATCATCTGATTGGTCGAGATCCTTATAGGCGTTAACTCTTCCATCTCCCTCGAGTCGTCCCTTTAAACCAAATCGAGAGCGTTCCTTAACGAATCGGTACGTAACTTTTGGAGATCTTCAACGGCCGCTTCCTCAGGGCATCGGGCGACAGCTGGGCACCACGTCCTTAACTCGGGTCAGGGCGTTCCTCCCCTACCCTTAAACGTATCAAAACTATAATTCCGCCCGCTGTACAGCCCTTTGCCCATCTCCAGCAAGGTGTCGGTATCTCACCCGGACCTCTGCCGATCCGTGGAGACGTCTCCGTCGGGTACTCTCCTCTGCCGGGCAACTCGGTACGTCGAGACTATCTCCCCACGGCAGATTCGAGCACCTCGACCTCAACTACACAATAACGAAATCTTATGAGAGCATTGGCGTAACTATAGGAATCAACCCGAGAACGTAGCTTCTCAGCAGGGTGGTGACCCGAAGGGAACCAGAAATCGAGAACGTTATCTTTATCGTAGCCGGAGTTGCCTTGTGACCGTGAATCGAAAAATGACGTCACAAAATATATATATTATCACAAGAGAGAAATATTGCTAAACAAAAAATTTCATTTCAGCCGCCAGTGTGATCCGTATGATGCACCATGGTTTTGGTTCAAACGTCTTTACTAATGCCTTGCACAATTACCTGGTGGAACATCAGTACAGTACTGTACTACCTGAATACCTGTGGGACGCCATGCAAGCTCAAGTTGATAAATACCCAGTATCGGATGAGTTCGATGTTTCTGTATCTACGATCATGAACTCTTGGGCAAGTCAATCCGGTATGCCACTAGTTCATGCCACCTTGGACTACGGAGGACTGACTCTGTCACAGGTACGTTAAAAAGAAATATTCAACACGAACATCGGGCAACTGAGTTATAAACAATAATTGTACATTTTGTATACAGGAACGCTTCATGTTTAACCGCAGCCTGTCTTCGTCGTATAATTATACGTTCTGGATCCCAATAACGTATACAACAGCTTCCAGTCCGAATTTCGAGACAACAACGACAAGAGATTGGTTCTATAAAACGGAATCGATCTTCGATGTAGGAATGCCCGATGAATGGTACATTTTAAACATCCAGCAAGTTGGCTATTACCGAGTGAATTATGACGAAACCAATTGGGCGCGTTTGATAGCTGTACTCAAAAGTAATCAATATCAAATAATTCACGAGATGAATCGTGCGCAGATCATCGACGATCTTTTGAACTTGGCTAGAGGAGGATACGTTGACTACAGTCTTGCGTTGAACGCGACTGAATATCTGGCAAAGGAATCGAATCATCTTCCTTGGAAAGCACTTTCCAATGGTATCGCTTATTGGACGTATCGCTTTGAGGGACATTTGATCAAGAGTACCTTCGGTAAATACATTCTCGAAATTATTGATAAAGCTTATCAAGATCTTGGCTTCGAAGATTCCGAGGACGAAGGCCAATTAGAACAATTGAACAGACAGCTCATTCTCAAATGGGCATGTCAATATGGGCATAAAGAATGTATTGAGAGATCGAAAGAATTATTTGCGGCTTGGCGTGCTGATAACACGAAATGGTATATATACAATTACAATCGATGGGTCGTTAATTTATCAATTTTTGTATTGATCTAGTTTCTGATATCTATTTTATTACAGGATAAGTCCCAATGCCAGACCAACTGTCTACTGTGCAGCATTGAAATATGGTTCTCACGAGGACTGGTTGTTCCTGTGGAATCAATATTTAAAATCGAATTTTCAATCCGAACAAGTAGTCATTTTGAATGCACTTGGTTGTACGCAAAATAAAACGATACTTGAAAAGTATGTTATAAATAAGTGAACGTCGGTTACGTAAATTATTATGGTTGCGATTAAAATATTAAATTTTATTGTATTTCAGCTACCTAAGCATCGCCATAGCCCCGGATAATGTTATTCGAAAACAAGATATTTCAACTGCCTTTTCTTCGGTCTACACAGCTGGTCAATTTGGATTGGAAGCAACACTTAATTTCCTTTATGAGCACTATACCGACGTATACAGTTAGTGAGTGTCTCGTCGATTATCCCAATTATTATTAATCGCCATAAATAATTGATACTAATAATTTTTTATTACAGTTACAACACGTGGAGTAGCGTTGGCAGCTTATTCTCCAGTGCTGCCGCATATATTTCAACTCAAGAACAAATAGAAACGGTACGTGTCCTTTTCCTCATGTAAATTTAACCTTTTAAAAACAGAATCCAACGCGAAGATTCATTATGGAAATTTTCTTTAATTCAGCTGGAAGCCTTCATCGCTGCTAATGAAAATAACATTGTGGAAATCATCGCAACCCTAAATTCAGCAGTTAGCACAGCTAAAATGAATTACCAATGGTTTGAAAGCAGCTCGCCAGATATATTAGCTTGGTTGGAATCGCGAAGTCATGCCAACGAGGAAATACCGGCACAACCCGATATAGAAGAAAGTGGGCTCAGTCGCAACACGCAATTCATATTGATATCACTGTTAACGTTATTAATGGTAATAATATTGGTAACATTGATTTGCGTAATAATTTACTGTAGAAGAAAGCGACGATTCACAAAGAAAATAGTTAAATAACAATAATTACTGATATCATGACTTGTGATATTCAAATTTCGCATATAGCATACATATGTAAATATAGTATACTAACTTGATTTTAATAAAGCTCAATCAAGTATCCACATGCGTTAAGGAATCGCCCAATAGAAAAGTGTGTTCTGTGATTATGGGATTTGACGTCACGAAGGATGAATTATCGTAGGAACAGAATGAGAAGAGCGTCGTACAAATTAATACGACTTTATTATCGCGGTATCAATTGTAACATTGTATGAACAATACAGTGTCAAAATTATGTGTACGAAAAATCGTGGAGCGTACAATAATTGAAACACAAAAAAAAAACTATCATCAATACCAGTCATGGCATATGAAAGTTTTCGATAACTTATTATAAGAATATGACAATTGAGAAATACTTAGAGTTATCGTCTTCAAGTGTCAGAACGACAAAAGGAATGACAATAAGTACATGTGAAATCCAGCGCGAAAACCAAATACGTTTTTTAAAATAATTTTTAATTAAAAATTGTGCGTTTTATGGTTCATTATACAATCACGTCAACACAATCCATTTGGCCTTTGAACTCGAATCAATTGTGAATCCAAGTGTTGTTTTTTCGAAAAATGAACGAAGTATATTTTGAGCACATTGAGCGCAGGTAAAAGACGTTTCACTTAGATTGGCCATAGTTTTTATATATTTCTCTATATACGAAAGACAATTGTATCCGCGTACCGAGATGAAAATTATGAAAATGTCAATGAAAATTCTAAGCGGCAAGATATCGCCGAATTTCTTAATAATTCTTAGATTATAGCATAAATTAGATTTTAAATATTCATATATATATATATATGGGTGTATATATATATATATTAATATCCCGCATGTTTATATGTATGTACCATGGATATACATACATATATGCATATTATATATTTACAAGTACTTACAAGAGACTTATGTGTCTTACGAACTCCATAGACATTTGGCAATTATTGACGATAAGATTAATTGAAAGTTGAGATTCCTCGACGCGGTACGACAGTGGGATAGAAAAAGGTCAACGAGTTAGCTGGACTCTGCACAAGAAAGGATTTCTGCTCCCAGCCTATCGATTTCGCAATTAAAACTTGTGCGTCAAGGTTTATGCTGTGTTTCGGTTCAGCCACTCGCGAATTGTTGCGTGATTGCGTTCCAGCCACCGTATATTGGCTTCGGCTTGTTCCATAGCCTGTTGAACGGTTCTTGTTGCAGTTCCCAATTCCTCTCTGTGTTCCGTAACGAATTCCAACAACTGCGTGTCAACCAATTGCAGGTTAAAAATCAAAGTAAAAAAAAATTTGAACAAACAATTCAACGATGAGCTTTACTTACGTCCTTGAGCTCGAACCTGGTGTTCATTCTCTTTGTGGACGATTTGACGATGTTGTTGATTGTCAACAGTGACGTACCAAAACTACAACAAACAATTATTTTTTTTTATGTTTAACAAACACAACAACTTTAGCATCACGTAATCATACGTCTCGACGAACTTACTATTCTTTAAGACGCGCCCACTTGTTGCGCAAGAAGTTGAAGGCCAACGGTTGACCAATGACGTTGTTCGCAACCGAACCAAATACGCGAGCCGCGTCTTGTTTTCTAATTCCGGAATTATCGGTAATTGCCCAATCCAAGTATCTACTCAATATCCAAGTTTCTCTCGTGCATCCAAGAGCGTTAAGCAAGAGATCCTTTTCGGAGCCTACATTTGTTTTTAAGTAACGTTGCCAAGCAAAGTCCCATTCAGCTTCGCCACCGGCACGCATAGCCGTACAGTAAACGACGCTCTTCAAATTGGGCGAAACTCTGTAAAGACAGTGATGAAAAGTTTCATGATAAATTTTCGTTCTTCCATAAACACTGGATACCTACGGATTGTTCTTGTCGGGATTGGGTGCGTTGCGCCAATTGTGAAACTGGGTGACTGCATTGCGTACACAATCTTCGTGCCCAAAACTGCAGGCCCAACTTAAGACGTCGATACGAGTGAAGACAGTCAATTGTGGATCCCCTGGTGTATCTTTGAATCCAGTTTGTTTATATACATTGTCCAATAATTTAAGGGCATGAATCTGCAGGAGGATAGATTTTTTAGAGAATTTATAAGATACTAAAAACCTTTTCGATATTTACCCTGAATTTATCGTAACCCGGAAATTTGATCAACATGTTATCCAAATAACCCATGGCTGTGAGTGCTGCCTTCCATGGAAGATATTCAGTTTCATGAGCAAGATAAGACGTTACGTCCAGTGCAGTTGTATAATCCAATCTTCCGGCTCTGGCTAAATTGAGAGCATCGTCTATCAATTGGGCTCTGTTGATCGTTCCTATGTCACGGAACATCACGTTGTTCAATTGTTTAATGATGAGCTGCCAGTTTGTTTTATCGTAATTTACTCGATAGTACCCTAGAGAGGTGTAAAAATTGTGATAAAATATTACAATCAACATGGAGCAATAATATCATTAATTACTTACCAGTTTCTTGGACATTGAAGATCACCCACTGTGATGAGTTTGCACCAAGATTAGGAAGTGTCAGAGACGTTTCAGCTTCCATCCAATGAGATGGCCGTGTAATTCCGAAATTCTTAGAACTTTCAGTAGTGTAAGTTATCGGAATCCACCATTTTGGTTTTTCTTTGTACTCCACGACTGTTGTACCATTCCGTAGCATGAATCGTTCCTAAGCGAAATTTTGTATGATGATATTATAATTTGTTCGATTATTAAAAATGCTCAGTGCTCAGAAATATTATTGAAATTCGTCTACCTGAGTCAATGAGGCGCTGCCCCTGTTGTAATCACGAATAACAGTGACAACTGGGAATCCAGTTTGCAAAGTCCAAGTATCCATAATCTCCTTCACAGTTTTGTCCGAACTGAGCACACCGTCTTTGTGCGCTTGTTTTGTGAGAGCTTCCCACAAATCATTTTGTTCGGCGCTCCGATAAGCTCTGTTAAATTAAAAAAAAGTTTTTCAAAAATATTCGAAAAAAAAAAAATTCTTTACACTTATACTCACTTGCTGTTCAAGTAATTGGTTAGGCCGCGTTTAAAAACTTCCGTAGTGAGGAAATGGTCCATCATACGAATAATAGAAGCACCTTTCCCATATGAAATTCTATCAAAAATTTCGCTAATTTCATCTGGATGTCCAACCTCGATAGAAATCGGATGCGATGACTCCAGGGCATCCAGACTGAAGACATTTTGCAATTCGTGTACGACGAATTGTTCCAAGACCTTCCATTTTGGTTCCACCTTAATGTTACGTCACGTGATACATTAAAAATTTGCATAAAATTACGCAAATGGTATTCAGTAGCTATGTGTATGTATAAAAATTACCGCGTTCATTCCAATGTACTCGACGTAACTGGCGAAACCTTCGTTCAACCACAAATCGGTCCACCAACTTGGCGTCACCAAATTTCCAAACCACTGATGAGCAAGTTCATGGGACACAACAGTAGCGACGCGCTGTTGATTACTACTGGTCGATACACCTTCTTGATACAACATGGCAGTTTCTCTGAAATTAAAAAAAAAAAAAATCCCAATAAAATTTCATGTCCCATACGCTTATCAATGTTCCGTATTACTGTTTTACTTTTACCTATAAGTGATGAGACCCCAATTTTCCATAGCACCGGCCGAAAAATCAGGAAGAGCAACCATGTCCATTTTGGGCAACGGAAACTTAATCTTGAAGTAATCTTCGAAATACTCTAAAACTTTGGGTCCAATATCCAAACTGTACAAAGACTGATTGATAGCCTCGCTACGGGCCCACACACTGAAATTGCCGGATGGGGATCTCAAAACTTCAAAGTCAGACACAATGAATGCTACCAAGTAAGTGGACATTGGTACAGAGCGTTCGTAATGGTCCCATAGATAGTTTGGTATGCCAGATCTAGATAAAAAAAAATCATCATTGATAATATATATTTTTAATACGATCGTATTATCGCTATCAATGTTACCCACACTGGCTGAGGTTCTCCTTTCCTGGGCATGTTCGAAATTGACGTCATGTTCTTTGGACGAGCAATGCTAATCTGGAAGCTGGCTTTAAGGGCTGGTTCGTCAAAGCATGGAAAAGCACGGCGTGCATCCGTTGCCTGAAACTGTGTCGTGGCTATCCATCTATAATGCAGGCACGTTAAACCATGAGTAAACAGCAACAGAGTCGAGTGAAGTGGATGACATAAATTCCACGTTGACTGTTGAAATTCTCTTTTTTAGGGTCATACAGTAAAAAGCCCTTACTTGGGATCAATAAGAAAGTAATGATTGCCTTTGATCGATCGGATATTTTTTTATCAAATTTTTACCTGGTCTGATTTCCAACGGTGTACGAACTTCTGTAGAAGCCTTGAAGATAGTCGTTCAGGTAACCGGTGAATTTTAAATACACCGTATATTGTTTGCCCTTTTTTAGCGTATCCGTTGTTTGTATAATATGAAATTGTCTGGCAGTGTCATTTTTTTGACAGTCAATTTTCAGCGTCCTGTTAACCGAAGCACCAGCCGTCGAGGAGTATTCCCTTATGCTCGTATGATTTTCATCTATCTTCATGTCAACTGCATGTAGAGTGACATTTTCCGTATCTTGGGTGACGTTCACCAAAATTCTCACCTATAAAATAAAATTTTGAATGAGCCAAGCTTCGCGAGGAATCGAATAAAATTATGCGATGGATAAGTTAAGAAAAGAAATTCGTCCAACTAATTATGCGTACCATGTGATATTTTCAATAGGCATATTAATTAATAAAAATAACTGTTGGTACAGCTTACGTAAAATTAAAAAAATTTATTCATTATCGTCGAAGTACTAATAATGGCAGACTAAATGAATAATAAAAGCAAGCCACTTTCTAATTCCAAATCGCTCCGAAACAACTTTAAGTACTTTCACCGATCTTAGCAGGAGCTCAAACTGGTCGTGAAATATTGTTAAGTCCTACGATTGGATATATCATCGATTCTTCAATAGAAAGTCAACGACAGGGATAATAAGAGAAAAGAATTTTTTTTAATTAAGAAAAATTCGACTTACTTCCCCATGGAAAGTGAAGTTGCCTTCCCAAATGAAAGGAATGAGCTTCAACTCGTAGGAATGTGGAACAATGGATCTTGGTAACCTGACGTCGATCTTCTTCTTGTTCGCTGTGGAGGCTGAAAATGATCTGGCAGTTTCCATCATGGTATCGTCCCGGGGATCATTGCTGCCATTGATCGTTACAGAACGGCCGTTCAAGCAGGGTGCGAAGTGATAAACCAAAAGTCCAGTCGCTACAAGACACAATACGAAGAGTGCACCCAGAAGGAATCCTCCGCATCTTGATATTGTGCAACCCCTCTTGCGACCGAATGTTGTTGTGTGAGCGTCCATCATTGCCAGTACCTCGCGGGACTGTGTCATATCATGCGGACAACTGTGAAACGTCAAAAAAATTATATTAAATAATATATACAGTCAAGTATAATTTAAGTAATCGACGTTTCATGGTACCAATAGAACAAAAAAATTACACGAGCACAAAATTATTGTCACTTATGATTCTTGGTGGTTGAAAAGAGATAGATCGAGAAAATTAAATTCTAAAAAGTCATAGTGTTGCTTTTGTCCTTTTTTTATTGAATTACGGTATAATTACGACCGAGAGTCATTCGGCTGGTTACTTGAGGATAAAGTGCGGTATCAGTTGCTGCAGAAGTACATGAGAATTTATAGTGGGAAACGGCGTCAAGGACTATTGCGAATCGCTGGAATTGCACAACGGATGCGTACATTTTTCCTTGTGACGAATGCGAAATTCATATTGAATTAACGTTGGTCGTTTTGTCTTTGTATTTTAGGAGAATTGGTAGTAGTAGGAAGATTTTATCCCGGAGTCAAGGTAACGGTATCGGCATTCTTGGCATTATAGTAGAATTTATAACTTTCCTGAGGAGCGACCAGACAGTGACATTTTCACTAAGTGCAACTTCCTGGTCGACTTTAACTCATGACAGGAATAACTCTAAATTCGTTTTGGCTAAGTTTCCACGATTACGTATTATTTATTACGCTCACGTACGCGGAAGCAGGACTTGCTCTATCCTGCTGTATTTATTGAATAATAAAAATAGTGTAGAAAGTAACGAAAGCAAATCTACCAATGTACCTAAATCCGTATCTGTTTTCACATTTTCCGTTAACCGATGCAGGTATTTCGTATGATGAACGCGATAGGAGATTAATAAGAAAATAAAATGTAATTAAAAATTTTTTTTTTAAATAATTTTAAAAAAAACAAAGTAACGGAATTATCGTTAAAAGGATTTCCCTAGTGGAGGCACCGTTACGTCGTTAAAATTCCTAATGAAATTCCGTTCATGGGTTATAAAATGATCAAAGACAAAATTCCAACAACCCTTTTAAAAAACTCAACTGATCGGGATTTGTGCAAAATCACACTAATTTTTATAGTCAAAATTTATTAATAACAACAGTAAGTATTTATCTTTACCCTCTTCAAGATCAGGATTGGTTTCTGATCTCACAACGTTGCACAGAATAACCAACTAACGTTCGAGCAACACCTCCACTCAACACGGCAGTCAGCACGGGACTGTCACCGTCCAAGACTGTACTATGCGGCAGCTTTATTCTTTCAATTTTACACTGCACACAGCTCTTGACCGTTACTATCAAAGAACACGGTGCCCCCATGTAGGTATAACCAGTTCCTACGTTCTGAAACTCTTCCAAGCTAGTGGAAACAGGAAGAGTTGTACTGCTGGTATAAAACCGGAAGTAATACACTATGACAGAATTCAATTATCCTTAGGCTTAACTGAATGGACCGTAATCACGTAGAAGGACCAATTTAAAGCTTAACAAGTGATACTAGACGCGTGTGATGGTGTCGAATATATTAAATGTTTAAGAAATTACAATTGGGAAGACTGAAGAAATTACAATTGGGATTACAATTGTCGTCTGATTATATTTTTATATTGGAAAATTATAATTCTCGCTAGCAGCTATCGTAATCTGTAACGCCTACGTTCTGATAAAAAAATTTGCAATGGTAGGACCGACGAAGAATAAAATAAATTTATTCCAAAAAAAAAAAAAAAACAGTTGCCAAAAACACTGATTTTGGGTCATAACAATAATAGTCTACTGATCATGTTATGAACGCAATCTCTCACGTCCTCGAATATATTGAGCAATGGACCAGTAGTACAAGATCGTTCGGTTTGATCGAATTCCAAGTTGTTATCGATGTCAATAACGATCTTTTAATTATAAATATATAGTAACAGTCACTATATTTTAATTTTCAAAAATGATCTTGCATACTCATACCGTACCATTGAATATATATGTTACCTTCACGTGATATTGTGTGTCATTAAAAAATATTTCAAAAACATTTCGTTGAACAATAACATCTTTAAGAACATGAATTAACAATAGATTTCATTTAATAGGTACCATCTTGTTATGTGATTCATGCGTTCCGTCATGCGATCGTGATGTCTGTTTAAAATATCACAAATGTATTCCACAAGTCGATGAATAATGTATTGGTCGATAAAAAAGAGCGTACAATTATCTGCATGGAACGTTCGAAGTTTTGAAATAGAAACAAAAAAAAAAAGTGTGGCGAATAATCGAAACCGTTTTTTATGCACGATTAAAAATTTGCATATCGATCCAAAATTAAATATTACGACCTCACTTTGATTTTTGTTTTGGTATTCGTATCGCTATACGTGTATCGTGTCAGTTGTATATATAAATATATACAGTAAATACATATATCCGACACGTTCGAGAATTCAGGTCGCGATTCGAATTGTACTATTGACATTGCGTAATTTTACGCACGAGCAGGGACGTCTCCAGTGAAATATAAAATTTGCATTCGATGGCCGCAATCGTCTGGTGCCATCAGATGGGCCAGGGTCAATCCATTTTTGGACAATTGACCTGTTTGATAACGTACCAACCAATATGCACTTGCATATCATTCTGATCTTAGATCAGTTCCACAAATTGACATTCTTTTTTGAACAACGATAAAATCTCGAGAGTTGGTACTATTTTGAATAAAACTAACAATTTTTAAATTAATTATATACACATGAATTCATTATCGATTTCGTGGAATATAACACTTTTTTTTAATTATCCATCGAAACCTTTGCACAGCTTGCAAATCTAAAAAAAAAATTTACGACCGCACTTGCACAGATTTGCATATCGTTATGTATTTATTTTATTTTACAGTACAACCCAGATGGTAAATAACGGAAAATTGAAGCGGATCGTTTAACAGTATACTTTAATGTCTACTGTTGGCTCAGCAATCATTGCACGAGAAACCATTTTGAAATCCTATATCTCATTAACACTTTTACAGTTAAAAATATTAAGCTGATATAATTCTAAGTACATTTTAAGTACATTTGCTAATACAGGTTCACTCTAATTACCCATATAACCTTAATAATTCAACGTCCAATTGACTTGCGCACTTCCTCAAGGAAAATCCCTTTAAAGTCCCAATTTGCGTTCCTAAGAAATCCCTTTGAAGTCCGAAGTCGAATAACGCAGAGAAAAATCCCTCCAAGATTATCGTCCACGGAATGCCTTAAAAATTCTCAAGAACCTAAGAACATCCTGTAAGATCATAAATCCTTAAATAGGGGCGATACAAAAATCAGAAAAAAACGTAATTCGAGAAGGCAGGACGTGCACGTCCTCGAGGACTCCAGGCTTAAGTTACTTCATTGTGGTGTAGCTTTACCGGAATTGGATAGCGTCATCGGCCATTGTGCGCAAAAGTACTGCGCAGAGTTGAGCATAAAGGTTGCTCGACAGTGTATAAACAGGTAGTCAGACGGTATCAAAGGCGGTGGGGTTTCTTCGTACCGGAAAGGGTGAGCTCACCCTTTCCGGTGATTGAATAAGATCGCTTGGAAGCCCTCGAATCTTGGTAATAAAAATTGCCAATAAATTCGTTATGATACGCATACATAAATGTACATTCCTAATGTCAATCCTGTTGAATCAAATAAGCAACGTTCATTGGAATCCATCATTATCCACATGCCTACGGTATGTACATGGTATGTACACTGGCCTGATTAATTATGTACTATCATTTGATACATAAGGAGAATAGTAAAAATAAATTACATAATTAGTTAATGACGCAAGAACACTTCGGTACACGTTTTTACTATAGCTGTAAACCCACTAGAACCAGGTATGATGTTGCCACACCTTAAAATAAAATAAGCGTCCAGGACTTTTAAATGGTTGGAAATTATCGAAATGGCCTGGTGATGATCTCTGTTCCTTTTTATTTTTGGTAGACGATTTTTGTAAAAGTAATTATTAGCTGATCGCTTAACTAGATTTAAAGAAAAATAAAATAGATCTCATATTTTAGGTCTTCGGTACGTGTGTCTCTCTCTGATGCATTTGTACGACGATAACTCTGTCTCTCTCCCACTCACGCGAAGTATGGGAAACCCGGAAAAATATTAATTTTTAAACTAAACTCTCTCTGATGCGTCACGACGTCCTAGATACGTGCGAAACGAAAGCGAAAGTAATTGTTTATCATATTTTATAACTGGTACCTGATTGGCTCCATTAAAAATATCTTAAATCCCTACTAGCCAAACTACTACTACTACTAGTAAAACTACTAGCCAAACGCGATTAAGTTATCTAATCGTTGTTCAAATATGAAAATTTCCTTTTAAAGATTAAAGTATTTTCACAAGCCACACCATACGCCACGAATCGTCAGTTTTCATTAAAAGGAAACATCCATCCATGTCCCGTGTGTCTCAATTTCAGTATTGCCTGACAATAAATTCGTCTGACAATGTCAGAGGGACTTGTCCACTACAATTATTATTGCCAGCCAATGAATTCACTGTGTGACACCTTGCCAACGTATATATAGAGAAGTTGCGCAATATTTCACGGTTCGACGTGCTCCAAGGCTTAGAAAATCCATTTAAGCATATTGGATCATTCGCCTAGAGTTACTACGCTCAGACTATCTCGTTAAAAATCCAATATCGCCAGGATCGTCTCTTGCTAGGAGCGTAACCATCATTACCGTGGACTCAATATTTCTCATGAAACTGTTTAAACCAAAATCCACTACTATACATATAACGTTGAAAATGAAGCTTAACGAGAATCGCTCTATTATAAAACATCCAAGCGATTTCCACTTTCGTTTTGTTTTTATCTACTCGAATTTTCACTTAGCACGTGCATTGGACGTGCACGTGACATTTTCGTGGTTCCTCAAAGGTGAAAGAAAGTAATATTAGGATTTTCACTGAGACAGTTCCATCGTATATCTTCCACTTGTAATTGTCAACGATATAAAGTCACTTTGGCAGATCCGATCCGGCCGGACAATTTCAATGTAAAATTTGTCGATTCGCGAATCGCCGTTGTCACTTTGACGAAGGCTGCGACCATCGTGCTTCGGTTGCTTGGAAATTGAGATGAAGCGTTATTGAGAATACATGGCAAAATCGACCTGCGAACGTAAAAACGTTAGCAAAAACCAGTTTAGAAACTACATGATCTTGGGTGCTCTAAAATTTTTTTATTTTTTAACTTTTTTTTTTAATTCCTTTAATTCTCACCGAATGGACTAATGATCGATTTAACAGTGTTGCTGCCATCTTGTGTCCGCGATGACGCAATATTATTAATTGCTGGGAGGCTTGGGAGATCAAATTAGTTTAACTGCTTTGTACATGGTAAAGTATGAAAATAACAAAAAATGAATGGCCTGTATTTTGTTCATGATTTTTTTTTTTTTATTATTATTTCCTGTAAATATTCATTTCTTATGTCACTTTGCTTCGGTCCTAAGTCACGAGCATGGACTATGACTAATAGCTATGAAATTGCAAGTACGCGTGACGCTTAATCTGCTTTACCCAGGATTCCTTATCTTTAAAGAAAAATAAATAAATCTTTAAGATTTATCGACTTTCTACTGCTTAAGTCATTATCGCTACTCAAATATATTTAACGGTTATGCATCGACGAGTCTTACTGAAGTTTCCGCACGAGTAACAATTCAACGATACTGAAAGCCAATTTCGTAGGAATGCCAAAAAAAAAAGGAACGAAGGTATGACATCGATAAATATAATTAGAGATTTTCAAATCTATTAATAAAGATTATTCACGAGCTTCCAGATTCGAGGCGTCCTCACATCTCCCTTGTGCACCGAAATCTATAAAATAATATAAATATCTGAAGTCGGACCGATTGAAATTTAAGTTTTTCAAAAACAATCAAATGGATCTGAACGATATTGAATCTGTCATTAATTTTGATAACAATTTTTAAAAAAATTCCACTCAATATCTACATGGTCCTGCACAACACTGCACGAGTTTTAATAAATGATACGTTAATTACAATTACATGTTTTTGGTGCGATATAAAAATTAAATCGAGTAACCAATATTTAATTGAACACAACGAATAACATTGTGACTGAACGTATCAGCAGCTACAGCAGATAAGATGTACCAGACCGTTACTCAAACTGTAGCTCAATGTAGATCAAGTGTTCGTAAAGTGAAGAGTACATATTCAGTAAGAAAAACAGTCAAGTAGAATTTCCTAAAAATTAAAAAAAAAACGTCAAATTCCCTTGCACGAAGAATCGATCAAAGATATTTCATGAAAAGTTTTAAAGCGATTAACTGACACGTAAATACGAGCCTGTGAACCTCTGCCAAGATTTCCTATCTAAAGTGCACACGTGTTAGAAGCAGCGTTCGCAGAAACCACAAAAAGAATTGCATTCTCCCGTCATACGTAGCACGAAGCGCAACGAATGTACCACTTGTCTTTTTAACAATTGCTAATGTAATAGTGAACAGCGATAAGTGAAGAAGCGCCACAACGGTGATAACGTCTGTATAAAATGTGTTAGCATACAAACTATATGCTGTAGTTGAAATTAAAAATTGATTCGTATAAATAGCCCGAGTGATCTTCCACTACGTGAATAATACGACAAACACTGTCATATGAAACAGTGGGCGACACTGAGTTGTCCTAAATAATAATTACGAGTATCAGTAGCCAAAAGATCGTAACACTTAAATGAGTCAAGTGGCTGACTGGTAAAAAAATATAATTCCAGACCGTGTGGGTCGTCGTACGATCTAAGTAGCGTCAGTACGACTAGAGCGACGGAATAGAATGCAGAAAGAAAATATAAAGAATTCGGTGGAGTTTGCGAAAGAAACTAAACACATTCTCCTCGATCGCGTCCGCTCGTGGTGAGGTTAGTAACCCAGTTATCCAGTTGACCGCGGCACTCCGACTTGCCAGTACACGTTGATCGCGTCTGGCGTTGCAGAGTTGTTTATCGAATTAACGGGGAAACGTGGTGCACCGAAACCAGTGGAATACCGATTGGATAGGAGTCGCCGTGTGTCGGAGGAAGTGAGTGAGTGAGTGAGTGAGAGAGAGAGAGAGAGAAACAGTGTCAAGTAGAGGGAGTTGGAAGACAAGACAGAGAGAGAGAGAGAGAGAGAGAGAGAGAGAAGGAAAGAAAAAAATATCGGGAGACAATAACGCAACGTAGAAGGTACGAAGAAAAGACATAACAAAATGACGAACGTCGATAACGAACTGGATGATTTAATGTCTCATCTGGGAGATTTTGGTAAATATCAAGCACGACAATTCGCCCTGCACATTATCGCAGCGCTAACGGCAGGCCTCCATATGATGACGCTACTAACGGTGGCAGCTGTCCCGCAGCATCGCTGCGTTATTCCCGGATTGGACGTGATAAACGGAGAGCCGACGGGAGTCTCTTTCGAAAATGGCACTGGCGCGCTCGAGGAATTGCCACGTGCTTCGGGTTCCTGTAGCTATATCACGGCGGAGAACGAGACGTTGACTTGCGACACCTGGGTCTACGACACGACTTACTTTCAATCATCCCGCGGCATCGAGTGGAACTTTGTTTGCACGAGGCGATGGATGGGCGCGGTGGCACAGTCGGCGTACATGTTTGGTGTATTCGTCGGCGCGGTGACTTTGGGAACAATGGCTGACAAATATGGAAGAAAGAAAATATTTTACATATCCTCCGTGGCGCAATTGATTCTCGGTGTCATTGTGGCATTCATTCCTGAATACTACACGTTCCTGTTCGTCAGATTCTTGTACGGGGTCTTCGGCTCGGCCGGTGCCTACATAACCGGGTTCGTCCTGACCATGGAACTCGTCGGGCCTACCAAGAGGACCATCTGCGGGGTTATGTTCCAACTGGCTTTCGCAGTCGGATTTATGCTGGTCGCAGCTTGGGGTGCCGTTATCAATGATAGAATGTGGTTACAAATCATTTACGGATTGCACAGTGCCCTGCTGGTCGGACACTGGTGGTTTATGGATGAGTCGCCGAGATGGCTCTGGGCTCAAGGTCGCGTTCGGGAAGCCATTAAAATCATCAAGAAAGGCCTGCTTATTAACGGAAGCAATATAGAAGTCGATGTCGCTCGTTACGTGTCCAGGAGCAAGATACGCGAGGCTGATGACCGGGACAGACAATTTGGCGCCCTGGATCTCTTCAGGACACCTAATCTACGAAAAAAGTCGTTAAACGTCTGTCTCAATTGGTTCGCCAATTCCATTGTTTACTACGGTCTATCCTTGAACAGCGGAAATCTTGTTGGCAATCCGTTCCTCACGATGTTCCTCATGGGCCTTGTCGAACTGCCTAGCTATTTCTTGACCAGCTACCTCATGGATCGTACCGGAAGACGCTCGCTGATCAGCGCATACATGCTAATTGGCGGTGTGTGCAGCATCTGCGCGACCTCGATTCCTCAACAATATTATGGCGCATCCGTCGCGACTATCAGCATCGTTATGCTCGGCAAGGCCTGCATTGCCAGCTCGTTTGCTATCATTTACAATTACACGGCTGAACTCTTCCCCACTGTACTTAGAAACACTGCCCTAGGGATCGGATCGATGTGCGCACGTTTGAGTGGTGCCCTCACGCCAATGATCATGCTACTCGATACCTTCGATCCTAAAGTGCCTGCTACGCTTTTTGGCTTCATCGCCATTCTCGCTGGCTTTCTTGCGCTTTACCTACCGGAAACTCTTAATCAACCTATGCCGGAGACTCTGGAGGACGGTGAGAATTTTGGAAAGGGCGACACCTGCTTTGCGTCTTGTTACGCCCGGGGTAATCGACGTAACAAAAAAGTTAATAATATTGTCATGGTACCGGTTCCTGACAAGGAGGATGATAAGGGGGACTGTACTTAGGGATTTTTGTCAGATCCTCCAATTAAATTTGAAATTTATTTATTTCAAATTTTTTTTCTTTCTTCAACACTTATTGGACAAAATTACGCGATGGAACTTATAACAGGATGTTAGATTGATTTTCAGTGATAGGTGTTACTTTTTGACTATAGACTGTTCACGGTTTTTTTTTTTTTTTTTTTTTTTTTTTTTTTTTTTTTTTTTTTTTTTTTTTTTTTTTTTTTTTTTTTTTTTTTTTTTTTTTTTTTTTTTTTTTTTTTTTTTTTTTTTTTTTTTTTTTTTTTTTTTTTTTTTTTTTTTTTTTTTTTTTTTTTTTTTTTTTTTTTTTTTTTTTTTTTTTTTTTTTTTTTTTTTTTTTTTTTTTTTTTTTTTTTTTTTTTTTTTTTTTTTTTTTTTTTTTTTTTTTTTTTTTTTTTTTTTTTTTTTTTTTTTTTTTTTTTTTTTTTTTTTTTTTTTTTTTTTTTTTTTTTTTTTTTTTTTTTTTTTTTTTTTTTTTTTTTTTTTTTTTTTTTTTTTTTTTTTTTTTTTTTTTTTTTTTTTTTTTTTTTTTTTTTTTTTTTTTTTTTTTTTTTTTTTTTTTTTTTTTTTTTTTTTTTTTTTTTTTTTTTTTTTTTTTTTTTTTTTTTTTTTTTTTTTTTTTTTTTTTTTTTTTTTTTTTTTTTTTTTTTTTTTTTTTTTTTTTTTTTTTTTTTTTTTTTTTTTTTTTTTTTTTTTTTTTTTTTTTTTTTTTTTTTTTTTTTTTTTTTTTTTTTTTTTTTTTTTTTTTTTTTTTTTTTTTTTTTTTTTTTTTTTTTTTTCGTGGGGATGGTTAGGTTTATTACCGTGCAATGTTTGTTAATCGAGTGCTTCTGTTACTGACAGTTTTCAATGGCTTTTTCATTGGCGTTTACGAAAATTTTATTGTTATTATCGATTCAGAGCATTCCTCCGATCGACTCTCGTCTGTCAAAACGTTATTTTTGTAAATTTGAAATTTGCAAAAATTGAATCTCTAAGTCCAATATCTTTTTGAACATATTGAAAATCATATACTTCCTTACACGCCGATTATTTATCTTAATTTAAAAAAATTATAATTTCTCAATACCGTATCAACTACTGCAGGTAGTCATTAATTTTTTTAATCATCTCAATTTCCCACGGATCAATGCTAAATCTAAAGCAATCTAATTAAAAAAATTATAATTTTTGACACTTGTATCAAGCAATATCGGTATAATAGATTTCACTTCATATGCATGGAAGTCGAAAAACGATACTTCGAACATTACTAAGATACAAATTTTCACATAACTCGTACACTTTTTGTCATTCACATATTACATATCACGTATCCCATAATCACCATGCACTATACCGTACAAGATCACCAGTAAAGCTTATATTACAGTAATAAAAACAACACATCAAGTACTTAGTCGAAATACAATATAAAGTTCAATGTGCTTAATGAGACCTTGCATAATCATGCACCTGTAATTCAGGGAATTAAATTCGCATAATTAATACCGTCGAGCTCGTATACTATATGTATATATGTATACATATCCACGCATCTATTGCGTATAATAAAGGCAGGGCTATAGTTTCCCATTAGAAAAACTTTTGATTAAAAAAAAACTACAGTCTCTCACTGTAATAACGTATTATTATCGTATACCAATATATGCCTTATATTGTATAATATTTGTATTGAATTATATTTATCTATTTCAAGTTATATAGTTATATCTATACACTGTGTACCGTATACAGGGTCTTGTGTCAACGTTGGCTTTTAGAAAGTGAATTTCAAATTGTTAATAAAGCAAAATATTTCTTTACCAAAGCCATTGCACACTTATTGCATCCCGATCCAATGTTTACGCATGCAAAATTTTAAGCTGACGAGCAATTTTTTTTGTATGCAAATAAAGTTTGTCAATCGTACTAATAGTACTATGAAACTGACATATATAATTTTTAATATCAGACTGCAATTTGACGGTTGGATGCAAGTTGGTTGAGAGAAACCAATTGAGAACGAGGAACAACGGGTCTCATTCGACTAATGGAAAAAGTTCCAAGCGCCAGTGACAACGTGACCTTTCACTTTTCCAATGATGAACTTCCTAAAAGCTTTTTATCCCTTATAGTTTTTCCATTCCATTCCCGCATAGAGAAACGAAACAAATAAAAGCTTAAATTGAGTTTGACCATTTTAATTGATGATTAAAAATTGTCGCGCTAATAGACTCTTGAGATTCAATTTTCACTTAACTTTGACTTTATCAACTTTACGTTTGAAGTTATGTAACTAGAGCTACGTTGCGCCCCGGAAAATTAAATTTTTTAATTTTTCTAATTTTTTTGTATTAATTATTATTCAAAAAGATCTTGATCGCGCGTCTCATGCCTATGTTTGAATAATTCCGCAATATAGCGATTACCCATCAATCACTGGTACCACCATAGTAAAACGAAAAGCACCGCTTCATAAAGTCGGTAAGTGTTTCCGAACGCAACTTTAACGTCGATACTAAAGCGTTACAAACTCTTCCAAACAGTTGACAGATTTTTTCCTGAGCACGTATTGAATTTAAAAGAAGAAAAATTTACTTAAAATTCAATAACCCAACTTTCAATTATAGTTCACAATGTTCACAAATATACGATATATGAAAACGTAATAAATATCAGTATCACTCGTAAAAATCTCCTGGTAAGTATTTGCTTGAAAATATTAAAACTATACATATATTTAAATCTACAAAAAACTCGGATTTTAAAGATTAAAAAAAACCCGCTCCATGAGTGTTATTGTTTCTATTTTTTTTTATTTTTTTTTTTTTGAAAATTGTATAAAATATTTTTATAAAATTTATTTACCTGAGCGTGAAACTGCGTGACCGGCCATGCGACGTACGTATTCAGATCTTGAGGATATGTTGTGTCGTGGAACGCGCAACGGAGACTGAACAGAAATCTGCCACGCGCCGGTTAAAATGGTTAAATTCACAAGCGTGCGCAAGAGTCTGGAATAACTAGCGCCAATTTTGGATCTTCTAGAAAATAAAGCTGTTGTGAGTACGCCTTTACGATATAATCATTCTGGACCTATAGAATACGATTGTAACGGTGATACAAAAAATCTTGGTCTATCTGACGTAGTGATCTAGTTGAGTAGTATTTCATGTCAAAGAATCACTGATGACTTAAAGTGGTCAAACGCAGCACTTAAGTGCACTTTACACTTTGATATGACAATTGCCGTATAGATTTATCTTGCATATTACACGCGTAACTATACGACACGGTTATCTACATGGTATCTTGATAATTAATAGATAAGACAATTTTCAAGAGTTGTACGCGCGAAATTGTTTTTTCAATCGATTCATAAATATGAGAATAAATATTTTTCCTGGTTGCCTCTTGTCAAAATTAATGGCGTCTCTATGTAACGACTGTCTGTATTAGCGAGCTGACGTCGACGTATATAATTATTATGAGAATGTTATTTTCACGTGTTCCTCCTACCTTGTTTAACGTACAAACAGATTTAAGTTCCTCGAGTCTGTAATTTTCCTTCGTGCCGTTTATTGTTATAAAAATATATGCCGCTGTTGCATTTCTCAGAAAACACGGAATACGCTGCTTCGTTGAAATTATCAATTTCGTATTCGCTCGAGTGTCGTTCGATTCTCCATAAATCGTCGGGAGTACAGTTGGAAAACAGTTATTATGGTTATTCAATTTTGCAGCAGAACAAGGAGAAAGGAAGTACAAGTAAAATTTCCATGAAAACGTTAATAACGTGTACGACGTTTGTCTCCATTATTTTCAAGAATTCTTAATGACTCTAGATCTGAATATATCGTAACCTCATGGATCATAAATGGCTATGTCAATTACGGTTTCCGATCGTTAGCTGCTCTACGCGTTAAAAATGATAATCGAGTTTCATAGAAATATAAAAAGTTGCGAAAATTTTCAAAAGATTGTGAAAATTTCCAAAATATTTCCAAACATTCTGATTGGAAGAAATGTGGATTTAAAGTATTTACAAAATAAATTATGAATCCAGGTTAATTTATTCAAGTCAAATTTAATTCACACACCTATATACTGTATGTGTATACTGTGTTTTATATAGAGTGGAAAGTATCGATTGCAAAAATTACTTAACTAGTCCTTGTATCGTTTATTGAGGGAAAGTGACAAACATTCTTATCGAACAAATAACCGAGAAGAAATTGCACCACACACCATTTTTTTGATTCGACGTCCATTTTTTTATGCCAATGACATATAATCCACGAAATCCTCGCGATAGACATGAAAATAATTGACGTTGCAAAATATTTTTTTTACCATCATCGCCAATTCCGTCGATATTTCAGCAACAGCTTGACATATGCGAATTTTGGTCAAGGAACGTTTTTCGTCTCTGCGAAAATTCATAACCCAGAGCAAACAAGGCCTGTGTCAAAATTGGACAAATATTTTTATTTAATCTCCATCGAAACGATAAAATTACATTACGCATAGCCTCTAAATTTATTGCTGGCAATTCGCAATAAGCTTTCTGTTTAATTCGATCAAACTCCAAAAATGACTATTAACTAAATATAATTCATCTTAAGGCACGTTTAGTCACCACCGTAGACGACTCTATCGAAGATACGTACACTCCTATGAATTCACTAAGGAAATAACCAGTTGCAGAATGTTAGGTGTAAAGAACTATTGTATATTGTCTCTAGTAAGTCTGGCTGCTTACAGAATAGAACATATCAATATTTGATCTCGTTCACGAGATCTCGTTGAATATTTATAAGTATACTGTATACCCAGCAAAAACATTTTTCACGTTTATATTTTTTTATAACCTCCAATTTTTTCATAACCTCCGTGTAACAATACAGAACTGATCCAAGTGTCACAAATTGTATCTGTTGGGTATTTAGCTACGGATACCTTATAACAAGTTTAAATAAAATATTCAAAGTGCATACCAGTCCACGCTTGATAAAAATCTGCAACGTGCGAAAAGAAAAAGAAAAAAATGTAAAAGAAACAACAACAAAACTCAACCAGTCAACCCGTTACGTGATCTTGAAGCTACAACATTTCCTGCAACAATCAGTTCAACGAACCATACAGCAATTTAGGTTACTCACCTAATTTAAAGACAAATATACACGTATACAATATATATGTAGTAAAATGTAGTAATGAAGTGTATATATGTATAATTTGATAAGTAGCAACTTTCTAGCAAGAGATAAGTGCCAAGTAATCTAATTATATATAAACTGTGATCATTAAGCACCGGTGGTGTGAGCAAGAAATAGTCTTAAGATTTAAATTTTAGCGTGTCAGATGTCGAATTACAAAATTGAAGGAAGATGGGAAAAAGAATTTTGATGGACCGTGATTTGACGCAGCCTCCATGAATTTACTTTCAATTTGTTCCATGAGAGCTGGAAAGGCAAGCTCTGAGATTTCATTAGCGAGCATCCTGGGTATACAGGAGGGAATCCTGGCGGGTGGTTCTAGATTGTGGACGGGTGGTTGGACGATCCTTCCTCTAAGCAACTCACCTCGGCGAATCTTCATTAAATCCTCTACGAAATGAAAACACGGCACTACGGGCGACCGTAATTTGCGAATTGCGCGCGCTTGTCCAGTCATATTTGTACGGCAACGCTAAGCTAAAGACTACGGCTTTATTGCGTAACGCAAGTAATTTTCGCTAATTGAATGGAACCGAACACACTGGAGCGACGTACATCGTACAGCATTGAAGAAACAATTGCGACAGACGAAAGAGGAACAAAGAAAATATAAGTCATTGAGAATATCAACTTTCAATCAAGTAAGATATGTTTGCACAGATATTTTATTAATGATGAGACAATTTTACGGGCAATTACTACTCGGTGGCAAATTGATATAATAGAATGAATTATGAAAAACTATGGATAACATGGTATTTTTTTTCTTTTTCTTCATATTAACTTTTCAGTGAATGACTTTGTATTTACTTTAAAGGCTCACTTATTATCGAATTATAATAGGGGACTAAATGAATCATGTATGGTGGAAACGGCTCATCGGTCTACGGTTAATGGAATTAAAAAATAACCATTACTTTTAATTACACTGTATCTATATTTCAGCACTAACCATATATCATTCTTATTTGATACAATTTTGGTATCGCGCACTCCCTTTTCTCTTATTTATAGATACGACTTCGTCACTCGCGATAAATGAAATAATTTTCCCAACTTTTAATTACACTGAAAGCTTTGTACTCTCGTAATACGTAAACACGACTCGCGTGATAGCACTGATGTTTCCGCGTGCGATTAATGCTCCTTTCTTTTTATGAAAATCAAGTAAAGAGAAATGCATCTTATATTTGGAATGGACATTGTACGCCAGGCTCTCGTTATCACGGTTAATATATTCAATCACTGCTGTTCTGCCTGAATTATCCTTATACATGGATATTTACAAAATTTCAATCGGGAATGTATTAGACTTCATTTATTGAAGATTTGGCATTAGTATAGAACAATATTAGACTGTTATATAGGAGACGGTTCCGCACCTACTTTCATCTATAACCCCTTAAGTGTTACCCATGTCTTTAGGCGCATAACAAAAAGATTTTTATACTCTTGCGATTCGCAGAGAAATCGTTTTTCTAAGGTTTTTAATGTCATTAAAGTCAAATGAAAACTGATTTTTTTTTTTAATTCAAATTAAAAAATTCAATATCCCAGTTTTCTCAATTAAAATTCTTAACCAACTATCACAGTCGCTGATTAGAGTTCAGTGATCTTGAAAACCAGCAAGAGCGAGTCGATATATAAAATCGAATATTTTCCTTCACACTTGAGGGGATAAGAAAATACGTTAAGTTGAAAAGAGCCTGAATAATTAAAATGACAGTATCTCTCGTATCGATCGGTCGTTTAAGTATACAAATACGACCGGGGAATTTTTGGCATTGTGATAAAAGTGACGTAAAACCAATCGCACGTAAAATACAGTGACTCGGTGCAGCGTGGAGAGATTAAAATACATGGTAAATAATTAATAAAATGTACGGTGGTGCCACCTATTCTTCGGCATCTTCAGCATCGAAGATAGTCTTGAAGCAGAACGGCTGGAAGAGGTAACCTTCACCCGTGTAGAATTTGCTCATGAACTCGACCCTGCGACAGAAGAGAACCATAATCAATCAAAAAGAATTGACCTACATGTACATCCAGATGTTTCAAAATGAATACAACAATTATTTTTTTATTCTATGGAAAAAATTGTTTGAGTAACTCACCAATGAAGCCGAAGTGTATGAAGAAATGCAGAAAGGCCTTCCATCAGAACAAGAATGGCCACAGTAAAGAGGGCCCATGCACCAAAAGCAAAGAAGAGTATTACGCTGGTGACGTAATTACCATCCTCAGCATTAAGGCCCTGTTTTAATACCATACTCCATAAGACCTCCGAAAGCTGAGCATGGGCCAGTGATAAGGCCCACAATCGGAGATAGGAAGCAGTATGAGATACGGTTGAAAGAACGTATTCGATGGTATGGATCGCTTGATGGACCATCATATCCTCCAAACTTTCATTATCGTGACCATGGCCACCATCCGATTTGCTGCTGCTAGTAGGATTCGGTAATCCTTCCGCTTGCAATTCAATATCTTGAGAAGCAGCAGTTCCATTTGTCTGAAAGAAATTAGAAGCTTGTGAAATTAAAATCATGCCGACAGTATTTCGAAGCATTCTTTTGTAATTTGCAATATAAAATAATAATATTACATATAAATGAAAAGTGTCTAAATACTCACCTGAACTTTCGTCGATGGCTTTTTCCTCGTGCAGAGCATGTAAAGCGGCTTGCCAAAGAGCATGACGGGAATGCAAAGAAATGCACCAAAAATAAAACCTTTTTGCACGTTTTGTTGATATGGGAACATATATTCATCACAATTTTTATCCACCTCAGCCGAAGTGAAGAGCATCATATTAATGAAAGTGATAAGAACAGATGGGGCACACGTCGGCCTATCAGCTATAACTATAAGAAGAAATAAAAATTTTTATAAAGACCTCCTACAAATACTTCATATAGAGGTATTCCAAAAGAATCTTACCAGGATTCGTATCCGCGTAAAGTACCCACTTCATCAAAATTAAGGCAACCATGTAGAAGAACAAAAGCATGAGGAATAAAAGCTGAGGTAAAAATTCTAGAACGAGACTGGAATACCTCTTGAAGTGTCTGCAGCACAAAACAAACCATGCGGATCATTAAAGACAATATGTAAAACAAAAAAATTATATATTTTTTACCAAAGAAGTATATTCGTCGTATCAGCATTGATCCTTAGAATGTTAATCAATGTGCACTTAACAAAAACTTACATTATATTGATGACGTTCGTACAGACACCAAATATCATATGGACAACGCCAAAGACGATGGACAGTTTCATCTTGTACGAATTGAAGAAGATAATTTTATTGTGAGCTACCGACCAGACAGGATCCATACCCAAAGGATACGGCACCTGTACGTAGTCAGCCGTACCCGGAGCCAACTGAAGTTCTTCATTCCCTTCAATTGTCGATATATTGTAATTGATCTTCCAACTAGATCCGAACACGTTAGTTGACTTTGAAAACACGTCGTTATAGATGATACCGGTGTAGATGGAAAACAAACCCATGAGGAAGATGATATAACGACCGCCGAAGAAGATCTTCCAGATTTCATTAGTGGACTTCTTCGCGGTGAGTTTCTTCTCCCAGAGAATCATATATGAAGCGAACAACAAGACAATTAAACCTGTCGGGAGAAAACAGAAGATAAATATAAATCAAGGAAATTTCTTTAAAAATACTCATCGACATTTTAAGAATAAACAAAAAATATTTCTCACCGTGACCTGCATCACCAAACATAATAGCGAACAAAAATGGGAATGTAACAATTGTATATAGTGCAGGATTAGCCTCGCGATATGACGCGACGCCATAAGCATCAATTAATGCTTGGAAGCCTTTTGTGAACTTGTTTGTTCTGTTGAAAGTTGGTGGGTTTTCATCCATTTGGATAACATTGAGAAAGGACGGTATAGAGCTACCGCATAGACGCTAATGAAACGTAAAAACAAAACAAAAATAATTAAAATCGATGAATTAGAAATTAATACAAATTTCCAATTGCGTCCGTGAATGTATAGTAAAATTTATAGACTCTTACCGACCCTTCCGTGAGGCAGTTTTGTACAATGGCAAGATCTTGCATCGGTACCCAGCACTCTCCAATAAGACATTTCTTGGATACATCCATATTGAACAAATTCATTGTATGATAAATGGCTTTCATTTTGCGAACCATGATGCTCCAATTTGGCAGTTCCTTGGCGACATTATGTAAAACTCGTTGACGATGATCTTGGGTTTGATTAAGGACCTGCGGAATATCAAATATAAGTGTTGACAACAGGTTACTAAGTGTTTATGGACTTTTATATTTTCTTTAAATAATACATACCAAATTCAAATCCTCAAGACGCGTACAAACGCCTTTAACCATATCCTCTCTCTCTGCATGACTATTGGGACAAGGATACAAAGACGCGTGAAATCCACTACATACTTTCTTGATTCGACTCTTCAACTGTTCTCCTTGGAAGAAAGCGACAAAGGCTGTCTTATACATTTCATTACCCTGCAATTACACGAATGAATTAATGATACAAGAAATTAACATATACCGTATTAACAATAAATTATTAGCATACCGTTGCCGGATCCTCCAATGGCTTTTCAAGCTCAGCCTGGCGAAGAAACACATTTCCACGTGAAATACGCCACAGCATTCTCTCAAAGGCTGGTACACGTTCACGGTTAATGACGCCAGCAACAAATCTACAAAGTTTAACGATTTCACGATAAAATCCACGGAACAGTAAAATCAATGAAAAAGAGGAAGCTAGTTGAATGCTCACTCAAGTCGACCACGAATCGTTGTACCAGGATTCTGAGCCTCTTCGTTAATAAGAGCTCTACTTATGGAGTCGTGAGCCTCTTCCTATAATTGAAATATAAAAAAAAATGTTTGAAGTTCTTAAAAATATTAAAAAAAAAAAAGAAAAAGTTTTCAAGATAATTTCATTCGCACCTCCGTAAAGAAAACCTGTGTCTTCTCGAGTACGTGTTTGAGTTCAGTAAGCTCCAAATAATTGCTCTTCAAATTAACAGCGTTGTGACTCAATTCCAATATGTCGTTTTCCGTTTTCTCAAGATGCGCCTAGAGTGAAAATAAAATCCAGCTATTAATTTCTTAACCGGAATCTCGTATGCATAAATACAATACTTTAGCATAATAAAGTCAGCTACCTCAAGATCAATGATCTCACGTGGATTAGGTGCTCGTGGAAGTTCCACCATGTCATCTATAATGGCCACGCCATCTTTTTTGACTTCAGCTTCGATGTAACGAAGCTTGCGCTCCATCTCGTCGCATCGTCGAACTTCATTGACGAATTTTCGTTGAAAGGAATTGACTTGGACGTTCAGCTGTAACCAAGAGGAACAAGATGAAGTTGAAGAAAAACTTTTGAATATAGCAGAAATAGCCCTTTGATCGTTCCACTCTTAAATTATAGATCATTTGCATTTACTTAATCGTTTAGAAATTCTTTAGCAGTCTTACGTCACGAAATTGCACGGTGCCCGTTTCCCCCAGTTCGGACACAGAAAGATACGCAGCTTCGGGTTGAATGAAGAGCTGGCACAAAGCCATTTCTTCGCTACGAAATAACGCCCCCATGTTGAAGGCGATTGTTGTTCAAGCCTGAAATAAAAAAAAAATTGAAAAGTTGTTAAAAAAAAATTAATCGTTTTAAAAAAAAAATTAAACTCCAAATGAACCCAATATAACTAGGTCACAACTTCATGAAAATTATCACGAACTCTGTTATCCAAACGGAACTTACAATAAACTTGTATTATGAAAGCATTGCCGTTCGATAGTCCGTCACGTTGAATTATCGTCACGTCAATCTTGCGATTTCGATGGTTCAAGCTGTCAGTGAAAACAAGATAATATTAACGTGACGATAAAGCTCTTTATCTGTACGATTGGATCAGGTCGTGAAATACGGAGATGAATGTCTAATAAAACCTCCGACATATCAAACTACCAGTTGATCGGTCATCGTCATACATAGATATTTCACATCGAATGACACCAATACGACGAATTTAAAAAAAAAAAATTTTTAATACCAAGCATGTCCTCGTATAATATTTTCACCGTCTTACCTCACCGAGACACAATGTTTCCCCAACTTTTGCCTTAATTGACCTGCCAAGACCTTTAATGATCAACTTTTGGAACACAACCAAGGCAACGATTCGACGCCAGTACCTAGTTAGGAGCTAGAGCGGTACTGGGCGAATACATTGATTAATTTCGATAATGTCAATTCAGCTGTGCAATTCACTTGGAAAAATATGAGTCTTTGACGATACCACGATAAAGTCTTTAAAACAGAGAAATTATCTTATTGCAACGTCTCTTTGAACACTTGTGGATCCTCGTAATAGACTTTTCGTGAAAGACCATGTTTTTACGAACAATAATACATGTTAATTTCGCAATAGAAGCGCCGTAGGAATAAGCAATGAAATCACACATCATACGCGTCATTTGACGAATCAAAATGGCAACTGTCGACGACTGGTTGATAAAAATCGCGGCCAATTAATTTTACATGAATTTTATAATGACCTGAATGATTGAAAAAAAAAAAAAAAAACAATTTTCATCAATTTTAAACTTCAAGTTGATTACTTCCAATCATTTATGTCTGATGCTTTGAATTAATGACTTTTCCTTATTTTTAACTCTTTTAAAACTTAATAAACATCCAGCTTTGATCTCTATCTTTCACGATTACCGGATAACGTAGTGAAACGCACGCAGAGATTCGTATCGTACTGGCCTGAAAAATTATCAATATGATTTGCCACAACTCGACGATTTATTGTTGCCTGATAGGGCATCGATACGTTGCGTAACAGTGAAATCAGTTATCAAAATTATTATAAATTATGAAACCTGTAACGGGCATATAAATTTTATTTTCATTAAACTTTTTTTTTCATTGCAACAATATCCTATCTCACTGCAAAGCAGATTACAAGCTCAACGCTGTGAAAACGATACAAATGGATCAGCAGTATCGACTGTGATTTATCAGTAGCGATCACGAGGTTGTAATCGAGGAATTATAAAACGTAGAAAAAAGTAAGTCCAGTAAGTATTAACGAATGAAATAAGTAATATTGCCAAATTATTCTCTCTATATATATATATATATTTTTTTTTAGATGTCCACGAGCAAAGAATGGAATTCGAACAGCGAGATACAATTTTTTTAGTAAAATGAACCAAATAAAATTTTTTTTTTCCTAAACTCATCTTAAAACTCGTGACATTTGCGTAACCTCCTTATCGTAAAGAATTTCGCTTCAAGTACCAGTTGAAGTGTTTTCAGCGTGGTTAAAAGTCTCAGTTGCGTAAGTCTTGTGACATTTTAGTTATATGGCAGTTGGAAAAACGTAGACAGTACAGAAGAGACACTATAAAATCCACGTATCTCCTTTGATGTCAACGTAAAGCATTGTAAAAATAATACGGAAAGAATTCAATCATAAATTGATTCTGGTCCAGATTATACATAGCATATCCTTATCAAGTATCACGTATTCGATATGACTGAAGTGGAATTTAACGATCAGCTGATTGTACTCAGATCGCAGCTAGTGGTCACTCTAGAATTTATACGATGATTGATTCGTGCGAACGTTCTAAAAGCACGATTGAGTCATTAATTAATGTTATATAATACATTAAGAGACGTTCTTTTAATAAATTCGTCAAAATAAAAACTATATCGATTAATAACGAAAAATAATTATCGTTGGCCATGATTATTGTCTCTCCTCGCAATACCAAAGTTACTGATAAACGGAATTGCAAGCTACGTTACGTGGAAGTCAATTGAACCGTTTCCCAAGACACGAGTCAAACGATAACCGTTGAATATATTCGTGGATGATTATTGATAAGGGCCGTTCGTAATTTTTGATATTAAAAAAAAAAAAGAAAAAAAAAAGAAACTAAACATGCCCGACCAAGCGTGACTAGAGATACAGGTGCACAATTTTTTTTTAAATTTTCGTTTTGCAAAAGAAATTTTTTTCATTGGCAAATCTTCAAACGTTAATGTCCTGAAGAAGCTGTCAGATAGCGAGTTGATAGATATATAGGTCAAGTCAGCTGTTATTACTCAACAGTTATCAATAATTAAACACGACCTGACGTTCTATATAAAACAATCGTCATAAGCTTTGGTACAGGTATAAATCATATTAAAAAGAAAAAATACATGAAGTTACAATAATAGTCATTTTTATTCCAACCGCATAATTCCGGTTCTCTTGGTTGAGTTGGGATTTCGCAAATTTTTTTTAGCCTTGTACGTAACGTTTCGGTCAGACGTTAATACCAGTGTGTATATGTATATATATATAGAATAGTCCAATTATTATTCCGAGGTCTGATAAGAATAAATCCAGAAATCCTTGCAATAACCTGGAATTACACATTCCGAAATATCGTTATACCCATTAAACAAGTTTCTCGTTCGTTAAACGTTTGATTCTCCTCCAAGAAATATATATCGTCTCCCGCAAGAAGATCGTTAGTTAACGTATTTTGACAAGGAAAAAAAAAATTAATTAACAGTCACGTGAATCAGCGTCCAACGATACTATAGGAGGCACCCACTGTGGATGCGTACGTCACGATGATACGAATAAGAACGAGGGGCTAAGACCCTCGAAGAAAAATGACGTAATTGCATCAAATAAAGACGCCGTTAATTAAACCTACAGGATAAATATCATAATGTCAATTGTCCCAAGTAGAGCTGACTTTTGCCTACGATCTGCAACAGAATTATCATCGTGACCGAGTAATACCGGGCGTGCAAGATAAAATCCGGCGAAAAATAATAATAATGCGAAAGATGCAAGATCGAAAAAAAAAAATTTAACAAAAATTACATGACAATTGATCAGAGACCTGTGAATCGTAATCCACGAGAGTCGAGCCACACTTAAAATAATTTACAAAAAACGTATGAAAAAAAGGAAAAATATAATTGTCTGGAAAGTCATCTGACAGTATAAGGTTAATAAAATTTAGCTTGATAAAAATTAAAGTCGCCTATAAATCTTGTATATTATTGTTGTTACTTTGATAAAAATAATTTTCGCAACGACAGTCCATGCGACGAGTCAAAACTTACTTACGATCTTTTTTTTTTTTTTTTTCTTTTTTTTCGAAGCAACAATCGTACGTCGATGCCAACAGCCGTCACGCACTACGAACAAACTCGAACTGGCTCAGCGACGCCTTCGGACTATAAGAATAATGGGCAAAGCTTTCTGTATACTTATAATTTAGCTGGCTGTGTAAGCGCGCACGAGTTCCTTCTCATAGAGGAAGGAAAAAAAGGAGCAGGGTTAACGGTGAAACCCGAAGGTGAGCTAACAAGACGATTGGACCATAGATCGCGATCAAAGATCCCATTGGCCCGCTTATCGCCATTTACGACACGGCCGGACCATAAAGTCATTCGTAGAGGGGCATATCTTGGAGCAATTAGAACTTGGAAGATCGTCGCCCGAACCTGGTACAGGTTCTTTCTGAGCATGTGTGCGAGGTGGTAATGATAAGCTACCTGATAGTAGGATGCGTATTGTAGCACGTAACTTTTCCTGCTTGACGGTACAGTGAAAAAAAGAGTAAATAGAAAAAGACTGTTGATTTCATAAAAGATAATTAAACTGCAACTGATAATAGCGAATTCAGTTAATATTCTCGTTACTTTTCCGTTGTAACATTTCGGCGAGGCTCTGTCATATTTTTATCAACATTTTTCGTATTTTTTTTTTTTTTCTTTTTTTGACATCGCAGAACACGTAGATTGAACTTTGACCATTTTTTTTACAAAATTATTGACCTGCCGCGCGTGACTTTTTTGTTAGGTGAAACACTGGGTTGGATTTCTAACGGGTGGAAATGAAATTTTAATAAGCCTAATTGTACTGCGCATAGACCTAAATTAACCGGTCGGGCGTTATCTTTTTTTACTTAACATATGTACTCGAAGTGCAATCTTCTGAAGAAAAAAAAAATATTTACATGTACAAGATAATATCGTATACGGTATACTCGTATTATCGTGTAACATCTCGAGCTAGCTTCTTATTTCAATCCACAGAGGAATATCTCTTGATTCGGAATTTTTATTAAAAAAATATTAAACATTTGAAATCATTATCAAAATTTATTTGTTTGTTTCCCTAAAATCATCGTCAACTGGACTGTCCGTAAAATTAATGCAGTCGTCTATGATAATTTAGCTATGTTGTTAAGAACGGTTTTACGTTAAACTGTTAATCACTTGCTGATTAATAGTAGCAATTAGCGTTTAATCGTCAGCCTTTGTCTGATAATGTCAACTTGACTTTTATATCCATTCCACGGAATTACTTTAACGAGTACCACCTGCTAAGAGTAGGCGAAAATTCTATAAGCGGCAATTCATCACACTTATAAAGAAGCAAACGGCGAGGAGTAATATTTGCGTCATAAAAAAAAAATCATAAATTTCATCATTCACGTTTAGGATACACAAAAAAAAAACCAACTGCACTCAAGGCGATGGTAATGCGATGATTAAGTAACGTTCGAAATTATTTACACTGTAGTTACGAGTTTCTATGAAAGTCTATACGAAGTGGGGGAAGGAAAAGGAAAGAATTTATTGGGTCATTGCCAGAAACATGTGAACCACTTTTCGAAGTCAAGGACATATTGTTACCTCGCTGTAGTGTTTGTCCTGGTCAGCTGATTTGGATGATGATCGATTACGGTTAAAAAGTGTAAGTGAGTCGCAAGTGGGATGAATGTAAAAAGCTTCGAATTCGAGATTACTTTATAGTATGTACCAACTGAAACGCCAAAGCTTCGCGGAACTACCGCCAGATGGCCAGGCAAACCCGCAAGGATATTTCGATCACGTACTCCATAGATATATGCAGCGCGAGATGAAAGAATCGTCCTTGTCTTAGGGGAGCAGAGTATTCAATGATCGTTTCGTGAGGGTACTGTTGCTGAAACCCATTATAAAACAATTTATCGCATCCGTACATTAATTTGTTACGCGGTGCAATTTTTGGGAGCCTCTTTACCTGATAAGAGGCTTTATTTTTCAAACCGCATACAAAGAACAAAAGAAGGCTATAAAAAGACCACCCTCCCTCTCTGAAGCTTTTTGGAACAAAAATCTGTGAACACGAGTCACTGAAAATTGTGATAAGTTGATTTTCAAAGTTTTTCTGACTAGAGTACAAGAGTTACGGTCGAAACACAAAAAAAATTCCGTTACGTAATTATTCATATTGCATAAGAGAGAAGGTGGTAAAACTGTCAACTGATAATATGACAAACTCGATTTTCTGTTTGACAAAATGGGTCAGTGGACTTGTTTTCTGGTTTGTGGTTTTTCCCAAGGCATATTACGCACATTGCATATGCATATATGCCCGTGGACCTCATGCTGACCACATAAAGCGCAATAATACACAGAAATAATAATAAAGCTTAACCACGCAATCCGTAATATGCTTACAAGATTGTCAAAAACTTTTTCCATTTGTCGCGTCACGCTCTACGTACTCGAGACGTTATCGCTGAAGCATACAAAATTCCATAACCACGTATTGAAAGACTTAACAAAAATCGCGCGTAACAAAATAACGAACTTTGAAAAGAGGTCAGTACATTCAATTATCCGCTTAACATGCATTGACACGCATTTACGTGAAATGATTGTGCAGCACAGCAACCGTAAGGAAAGGCCGTTGTACGCCAATGCAGCCGTGAAGTGACGAGGCACGTAAGAGGTATGCCGCAACAACAACAAAACACGTGATTCTCTAAGTAAAGGCTATTTCGCATAATCGTAGCTCGCGAAGGAAATATCGTCGTCCGCTGAAAGGTCGAGAAGAAACGGCATTAGAGGTCGATTATTTTACAAAAGGTCTTCGACGAAATTCATAATCAAACGATTAACGATTGCCAATCACATTTTAAAAAACTGACAACGAGTCGAGGAATTTAGTCGAAAAAAAAAAAACAAAGTGTAGAGCTCGTTGTGAGCATAATTGCTGGCAAAGAACCGTGTGAAATATCATGATTACAACAGCTGGACCTAATGGAGGTATTTAAAAATTTCCGCACGTCAAAGTAAATACAGCAATGTTGCAAGTTTTTTTTTAAAACAATTTCCACTATCTCTGATAGATGTATGCCAGACGTCGAGAACGCAAAGCTCTTATATACGTTAAAGCGGAAAAAATTGAATTAATGAAATTCGATAAGCGTCAGATGACAAGCATGGGGGGGGTGGTGGTGTCCACTATCGTTCATTCAAATGCGAACCTGAAACCCATGAAACATTTGACGCACACCGTGACCAGCTCAATAACCATGATACTTGATTCTGATGGAAAAACAAAATGTCATCCCCTCAAATTGTCCAAAAACATTGTCTAAAGACTATCCTAAAAGCATTTTTTTGTTTTCGGTATTCCTAACGTCGTACAGAGAAAAGAAATACTTTAAGAAATACTCTAGCCAAGCCCTAAATGACGTAATCGTTGTTCTATTTAGAAGTTTTTAGTATGCGCGAGACGCGTCTTAAAACAACGCCGAAAAATCAAGACAAATGTCAACATTGCAAGACAAAACGCTATTGGTACAATATTTTCGAATAAAAATCTCTTCGCTCCATCGTCAGAGCCATGATGGGTCTTATGAGAATTCTCGCATAAATTGTTTCTTCGCTTTCAAAAAGAAGACACACGCTTGGGAAGAGCCATACCTCACAAACGCGCTCCTCACGCATATCGTATCGAGCAACTCTGCCCACAACGGACTACTCAAATGAAATGCCTAAACAGCAGCGACAACCTTGTAGAGTAATCAACGGCAGAGTGGCCCTAATAACCATGTGACCAGCCATCACGTGTCGCACCACAAAGAGACACTGTAAGGAATCGCTTGATGGTTCGTATCGGTACAGTACAAAAATCCGTTTGTGTTACACGACGTAAAAAGAAGTACAGCAATTGTATCAAACAACATTCGCACGACAAATTTCATGAAAACCCAATTGACAACGTAATCATACAAAATTTATACCTGGAAACAACAGTTGAGAAACACTAAACCCAGAACTTCGAAGATCCAACTGTTATGTTCAGACTGGATGGTTTGCTGTAGAAACCAGCTACATTAGCCAGTCTACGTAATTAAAAAATATTACAATTGGAGGGTCAAAAGACAATTGACATTTATGGTGGGGTACAAGAATTTGTCCTTGCACGTATGTTACTGAACGTACCGTCGGTCATTTTGATCCAATTGATCCCCACGACCACGTAAGGAATTCGAAATACAAAATCGCTTAGTGGTCGCGACTACGAGACCTCGCTGTCAGTGATTTCGAAACGAGCCGTGGAACGTGTTAATAGCTGAAATAAGCTGTCATCGAGAAAAATGAAGTTACGGTAATCAAAGATGGGGATCGAACAAACAATTCCACAAGTGAAGACGCATGCACGTCCCATAACCCGAAGCTAATATTACGCGCACGTTGACGTTACTTGAGATGAACCAAACAAAGGAGAATGAGTGCTGCAGGATTGATTTCAATAAATAAATTACAATTGTTTACAAAACAATAATTAATATATCGTCTAACCTACCGAGAGATTCAATCGCAATGCTTAATGGACTCTGTTCATATTTTCTTTGTCTGTTTCTTTTTCATGGTAGGTTCAATGCACCGTGAGTACCAACTGACAGCTGTTCCATACAAACCGTCATATATCTTACCTCCCGAACCCTTACGAGGCATGCGCATAAAAATACTGTGAACTAAGTATAAACCCAAAATTGTTCTCGAACAATTTTGTATGAAACAACCACAAAATTGTGATGACCAAAGTGCATTCAACTGAAGCAAATTTTGTTATCGCACAGCCATCTGTTTGTAATTCCTATCCCAGGACTTCTGCGGTGCCTCCTGAACCTCCCCCCTTTAAGAACATCGATAAACTATCGCTAGAAGGACTAGATTAGCACGGTATTTTCAAACGAGGAAAAAAACGTTATCCCGTTTTGCGGTCAACAGTCAGCCACTAGGGAAGTGTTCGTTACAACATTGACGTAATCAAACACTAAACACGGTACACCATAATGTACTAGATAGAATGTGAAATAAAAACTAAAATATACATACGAGAGATCAGCGGAAGCCACTCCCACACATCGTGCAGCCGCAAATTGTTCGTTTTAACAAAGTAGAACGGAAGGTGCGTGTCTGTGTAATTTTCACTTATGCAGGAGGTTCGCGGGAAATGACGAAGAATGAAAAATTCAAATGAATTCAGAAGGCATAGTAAAATATCCACGGGGACTTTGCGCGCGAATTTCAAAATTGAATCGGTAAACGATTTGCATTTCTCTATGAAAAATAACGATAAGACAGGATATCGCGATTTTCACGAGTGCAATTAATTGTGAATGGTGAATGCAACTCTCTTTTTTTCTATCATAGATTACTTGCGCGTCAAGGTCAAACTTTTTTTTCCCCAGGAATTTGTGTAACCTTCTTAAATTGTTCTCTCTATCGTGGTATGACGTCACAACCGATGGTAGACAAACATGGCGGGGCGCGAGGCCTAAGTCAATAAACGAGCAGCCCCTTTGTGTGTCGATTTAGTCGACGGCAACTCCAAGACTTTTCGAAAGCTTTTCTGCGATCCAACGATAATAACAATAATGTGCAATTACTCGGGCTTGGACGTCACAAGCGTTATTCTGTGTTCACGGAGAGGACGCAGTGCGACGTGACCGATTTCTTATTTAAGTATACTGCTGGCAGTTGTCTATCTATAATAAATTATAACTATCTGCTATCTATAATTATAACTACGAGCTGCATATTTCAGACAACAAGAACTTCGGCGTTTACATTATAAGTATTAGTTATTGTTTGACTGTACAAAATTCTATATTATGTAATATACATGTGTGTTTGTGTGTTGAACAAATGTTCCTACATCACAAAGTATCAACTTGTTTAGCAACTATTGCAATTCCGTATCGGATGCTGCATCCAGTCAAACTGGTAACGTTTTTGCGAATCGAACAATTTTTTGCACCTCGCTCAGCTCTGTCATGCCTGACGATCAGCAACCTAGTTCAAAGATCGTGAAAAATTTGTTCCTAGTCAGGAATCAATGCTCTTATGAGATTCTTCGATACTCATTGATTAAATGAATTAATAGGTGCTCGGTGTGATATTAAATAATCCTGTATCTCCATCTCTGACTCTTTTAACGAAAAACTGCTAAAGTGTAAAATTTACATGGAATTAAACATTTTTTTGTTCTACCGCACCTCGTCCTTTATATTCGTACGATAAATAAGTGACGTAAAAAGAAAGCAGCGAAAAACAAAGCGACGAAACACGTAACGCCGTTGTGAATGGTTTGAAATTTTGTTCGTATCGGCATACGAGTTATAAATAATATATTATCCAACAGATTACAGGAGCTCCAATAGCTTTGATGGGATCGAACGGAATTTAAAATGTTGTTTTACTGGCTGATTTGGGCGATAAAGTTGTGGCGCGCGTGTTTGCGGCTACTTTGTGAATCAAGTCCATGATATTAATAACCCTCTTATCTCGTAACGTTTGTACAATTTCTGACGCTCTCCTTGAGTTCAACGTAATTCTATAAAATCTTTAAAGCCTCGTAGACCCTCTTACGCCATCGTCGATACTCTCCGAGCGGATGCCAGCTGCGAAATGGCAAAGTAATACGCAATTGCAACAGTGGAGAAGTGCGCCAATAAATCTATTCTTACCAGCGTGTTAACTGGCGTAGAATTCTCGTAACATGTATCTCATTGTTCGTCCAAGCTTACTGTCCCTTAAGCCGTACGAGGGAAAGAGCCGACGTAGCGTATTACTGTTCAGAATTGTTTCCATAGTTCAGGTCTAACAATTTTGTTATCGGCTGTACTTATCGTGAAATACCAATGTCTGGGAGGCAGTCAGGTATGCAGATCGCTGATTGGCTATATTTAAGACCGGTTCTGTTCGTTTCCTGGCAACGCGTAAACAATGTCAAAGTCAAAAGGATGAAACGTTAACCGTTGCACGTGAACATTTTACATCGGAAGATCTCCTTAGCGCACGTGTATGCGCGTTACGCTTGTTCGCTCTAATCCTAATAATGATTCATGCATATTGCATAAGATCGTTTGTCATGTTAAGAAGGAAGTTATTTTTCGTTCCATGATTGAACGGAGAAGTTGTAAAAATTGAATAATAAATCTAGCACGCTTGTGTTTTAGTAACAGAAAGTGTAAAAAGCTCCGAATAAATCAATGTATATGGGAAATATTAAAATTTATAAGACAAGGCTCAATGGTGAGTGTTATCTTTTGAAAATAATTTTTTTTTCTTTTCAGTTATTATTTTATCGAAATTCATATCGCGTTCGATTCAAATCTACTCTGTTACACCATTGAGTGGTGCACCAAGAATCTCTACTTCATCATAATGCTCGAGAACCTCCATGATAATAAAGCATGGACTTTCTATTCGTTCATCGAAAAAAAAAGATAAGCCATGCATTCCAACAAACTGGTAACAGGTACGAGAGTCATACGCGAAAGCTTACCCAACATTTGAACTCAAAAGTTCCACGCATAAATAACGTCTCTTAAACAACGTATACAAATTCCAGTATTCTCAAAATATATTCAAAGATCGAACACGCTTTGAACTGACATCAAACTGACATCCAAAAACTTGTCACGTTTTTATTGTGTAAAAGAAACATCAAAGAAAGAACCAAACACCTTTTACCTAACCAACAAATATCCAAAAAATTTGTTAAACTTTATGATCCATCGGGAAGTAATATCAAGTCATAAATCGATACACAGATTTTTTCACCGACCTGCTTCTCACGTGAAGAAAACAAAAAAGGAAATAACCAACAAGTTCAGTACACTCGTTCGTCGAGTGGTCTCGCGATCACTTATAATTTTTCTAACTCATTACTTACCTGCAAATCAGGAATTTGTTTATGGAGTACGATGGGTCATTTAAAGAGATACACTTGACACTGGAAAACTATTAAATACTGTTACACGCGTTCTGCACTCTATAAAGACTGGTGTGCTCGTCGCACTCGGAACCGGTCGACGTGCCGCAAAAGACTGGCCCTCGGTCGTGCGACCCCACCATGCGTTTCATGATCGCCGCCGAATGTAAACACCAATACAGCTGATCGACTTAACATTTTCTTTCCTTGCCACTCTCTCTACACCATCCTGTCGAAGTGACAGCTATAGGTGCATATAGAAGTTATGACGTGTTTACCGTTTGTCAGAAAGTTGTTGAACCCTTTTCTGCTACGCAGCGAAGGTTCATTTTAGATTGTCGTATAATTACGAGAGGTTATTGTATCATAATTTTGTAACTACTGTTATTGATGATATCGCTACAACGTCTGCTAATATATTTAGGTATATATTATATTATTGCCTAATAGCTATTGTTTATTAAGATCTCATATCTAGTTTGTATGGCTTTCATTTAGGTAATATATAATATATGGTTACATATGATATGGTCCTCATGCTTGGTGTATGTTATGCATGATGTTTTAAGTCATTGTATTATATAGTATAAAAATGTTTTATATTGACTTACAATGTTAGTTTTCTTTGTGAGTTATGGGAATGCATTAAAGAAGATGAAAATGATGAATGAAGAATTAAAGGTGATAGACTGTTTCATGGTCAGGCGATATTGGTGCAACCTGACGGAATTGTAATGAAATGGGACGTCACGTGATCATACTCAAATGATGGCTTCTTGTTGGTTCGTATATGTAGAATTTATCGCAACATTGAATTTGAAAGTGGAGTAACAATGATATCACTTTGAATAATTGATATTTTGTGAAGGAATATAACAAGTGTATGACGACGAAAAATGGGGGAGAATATTCAGGGATCTTTCGTGTCTGAAAAAATTTCTAAAATAAGGTGGAAGCACGAAGACTTCACTGAAGCCAAAACTTTTTTAACCGGCAGTTGGGATAATCCGGTAATATATAGGCTAATGGAGACTAGCTTAAATTTTTATAAGAAATCATTAATTTGTTAATTGATGAACAATTTTTTCTATATAATTTTAGGTCAATAAAATTACATACTGGACATTTGAAACAAATGAAGATAATGAGACATACCCAGCTGTTATATCTTCACATGCTTTTCTTGGAGATGTAACGGAATTAAAGGTATCTTGCTTATTTTCATATAATGACAATAGCAAAATTGATGCTTGAGCATTATTCTACTATTTCAGTTTATAAGCAAAGACTTCTTTGTCGCATCATCATCATTAGGATCAGTAAGATTATTGCAAATCCAAGAGAATCCATACGCACAATTTAAAGAGCACATGTCATGGGATTTTATTCACAACTTTAAGTGTGTATAAGAAGAATAATTATACGGTATAACAATTTATGAGTAAAACAGTAATGTAATGTAATTTTATTTCTAGGACAGGAGATTATGCATCATGCACTGCCCTTTCCACCTTTGAACAGGATATAGTTTCAGTAGGCGAGGATGGTAGAATTAATTTACTTACAGCCCGTCAAAAAAAACCAGTCAGAACTATAGGTAACATATTTTATATCTCAAGATGAATAAATCATCATACGAAATTCTATATAATTCACTTTCAGAGAATGCAGACAGTTGTTCACTATACTGTGTTGATTTTTTGCGGCACAGTGAAATCCTTACAGGAAACTTACGTGGGCACATGAAAGTTTGGGATCTAAGAAATGACCAGGATATACCAGCAACTACTTTCATGCTTTCGGAACAATTAAAAGTATGGCTTTTATGATATTATTATTATCTATTAAGCATGCACAAATATTTATCAACAATTTTACAGACAGAAGCAGTAAGCATAGCACATCATCCAACTCAAAGACACATTGTTGTTGCTGGTGGTGGGGATGGTAGCTTAACTGTCTGGGATTTGCGACACAATACTTATCCGATCTCGCAACTAAATGCTCATGCAAGATCTGTTAGCGAAATATTATTTCATCCAGACCGCCCTGAAAATCTATTTACTTGTTCGGTCAGTGGGGAGTTGTGGCACTGGAACAACGCACAGAAAACAAAAATGAAATTAGGTAAAACTAAGGAATGAAAAATAATATATTGAAACTGCACTAATCATAAATTTATATTGTATAACTATTTCAGATTCCATCGATTCACATTGGCTGAATACCATCGGTGCAAATGGAAAGGTCAGTGTCGTTTCACTTTGCACTGCAATGCACAAACCAATAAACAGCATCGATATTGATAGATCAACATTATTATTTGGATGCGATAACGAAGCAATATATGTCGTTAAGGATATAATTGTTTGAATGCACAAACAGTACCTAAATAATTTTTACAATTGTGTATTGTGTGAAATAAAGGTTATTTTCAATAATATCACAAACTCTATTGTATCTCAATGTGCAACAATCGTCTAAAACATGAAACAATGTAACAATTGAAAAAAATGAGGATTCGAATAGCGCCTTCTCTCGTTTTTGCCACAGCAACTATGTTACGCCAGTGCCATCTAGATTTGTATGTGGATACAGACCAGTTTGACCGATCATGAAAGCTGTGAGCTGTGGCCTGCTGGCTTGCCATTTTGTGACGCCTCGCGTGAAGTCCCGTAAACAAATTCTTATTTTTTAGTTGTTCGCGGGCAAGAACGCGTGATGTCCAAGCGTAGAATTGAAGTCGTGGACCCATATATCAAGAGAAGACCGTGAGTGTATTTTAAAATGTATTTACTCGACTCCTAATGGAATGGCTGGTTTTGCCATGTGCATTGTTAAAAAATTTTTTTTCGATATTGCCGCGCGATTGACTACTACAATTTTGTTATCTCCAAGAGATCATTTCGAAAATTTTATTCATCACTATGTTCACTGTAACATCTCTTTAGCCAGGGGACTTAAATCATAATCTTTTTCGAACGTCGTATTTTCTGTTTTCTAATTTTCCAAGTTTCTACCACTGTCTGTAACACGAACAGTGGTTCTCAAATTCATGTTGAAACTTATACACCTGATTCCAGAAATAAACATCCGATGGCAAACTATGCCGAATAAGATAGTTTTCTAATTTATGTTTACTTATAACCAATAACGAAGAAGAGTTAAAAAAGAATAGTCATAGGTTGTGAAACTACATTTTAGTAGATTTTGTATAGTAGTTCACGTGTCTTGATTAAATTTAAAAGGTTTTTTGGGATGAATGTAATTGGTTTTGTCTGTTTACAATTTTAGAGTTGGGTCAACATCTAATAGTATGGCTGTCGTTCCTCCAACACCAAAAAATCAAGTTCAACTTAATCCTTATACGGGTCTACCATACACACCTAGGTATCATGAATTCTATAAGAAAAGAATCACGTTACCTGTGTTTGAGTATCGTGCAGACTTTATGCGGCTTCTTGCCCAGCATCAATGTATAGTACTTGTGGGAGAAACTGGTTCTGGTAAAACAACCCAAATTCCACAATGGTGCGTGGAACATTCTTTATCTATGGGAACAAAAGGTGTTGCTTGTACACAACCAAGAAGGGTTGCAGCTATGTCTGTGGCTCAGCGAGTTTCAGAAGAGATGGACGTTGCTCTTGGTAATTATTCACTTTACTTCCTAATATGCAATAACAAGTCACAGTAGTATTATTTCTGTAATTACTTTGTAGGTCAAGAAGTAGGATACAGTATTCGTTTCGAAGATTGTAGTTCATCAAAAACTGTATTAAAATATATGACCGATGGTATGCTTCTTCGAGAAGGAATGTCAGATCCCATGCTGGATACATACCAAGTAATATTACTTGACGAAGCTCATGAAAGGACATTAGCTACCGATCTATTGATGGGTGTTCTTAAAGAAGTTATCAAACAAAGACCAGACTTAAAACTCGTTATTATGAGTGCAACCCTTGATGCTGGCAAGTTCCAGCAATACTTTGACAATGCTCCCCTTATGAATGTACCGGGCAGAACCCATCCTGTTGAAATATTCTACACACCGGAGCCAGAACGCGATTACCTTGAAGCTGCCATTAGAACTGTCATTCAGATTCACATGTGCGAAGAAGTTGCTGGGGATTTACTCTTGTTTCTCACTGGTCAGGAAGAAATTGAAGAAGCTTGCAAGAGAATCAAAAGAGAGATGGACAATCTTGGCCCAGATGTTGGTGAATTAAAGTGTATACCATTATATTCAACACTTCCACCGAATCTACAGCAAAGAATTTTTGAACCCGCTCCGCCAAACAAACCAAATGGCGCCATTGGTAGGAAAGTCGTAGTATCTACTAACATTGCTGAAACGTCTTTGACTATTGATGGAGTAGTGTTCGTCATAGATCCCGGTTTTGCCAAGCAAAAGGTACAATACTGTAATACAGCCAGTAAATATATACATTGCTGTTCATGACGTTTATTATCTACAGGTTTACAATCCTAGAATTCGCGTAGAATCTCTACTCGTTTCTCCAATCAGTAAAGCATCCGCCCAGCAAAGAGCAGGTCGTGCAGGACGTACGCGGCCCGGAAAATGTTTTCGATTATACACAGAAAAAGCGTACAAGAACGAGATGCAGGAGAATACCTATCCAGAAATTCTACGATCCAATCTTGGAAGTGTAGTGTTGCAGTTGAAGAAACTTGGAATTGATGACTTGGTAAGTAAAACTTGATACACGAATAAAGTTTATGATGACAAATATTTGAATCTTGAATAGGTTCACTTTGACTTCATGGACCCTCCAGCTCCGGAAACTCTAATGCGAGCGCTAGAACTACTCAACTACTTAGCAGCACTTGATGACGATGGAAACTTGACCGACTTGGGTGCCGTAATGGCGGAATTCCCACTGGATCCACAATTGGCAAAGATGCTCATCGCTTCGTGTAATCACAATTGCAGCAACGAAATACTCAGCATTACTGCAATGCTCTCAGGTATAATATGGGGGTTTATCGTTTCATAGTTTTCTTATGAAACCCGCTTGGTTCCTCGGTAGCACAGGTTACGCTAGGTCTTATTTACAAAATTCTATTTGCACTCTATAACTTAATATCAACATAAAAAATTTAAAAAATACTGTTGATACGTCAGATTAAGATATTAGATTCAGAAGAGTGGTGAGGTAATATGGTGGTGTATTGACGATTGACATGGTATTAGTCCCACAGTGTTTTGTGAGACCTAACGAGGCCAAAAAGGCTGCGGACGATGCCAAAATGAAATTCGCACATATCGACGGTGATCACCTGACACTATTGAACGTTTACCACGCATTCAAACAGAGTGAGTATCTCTGTCATTTTGAAATGTTAAAAAGAACAACACTCGGCTAATAAATATTAACAATGCTCAACAGATGTTGAGGACCCACAATGGTGTTATGACAATTTTGTGAACTACCGGTCATTGAAGAGTGGTGATAACGTCAGACAACAATTGAGCAGAATTATGGACAGATTTAGCTTAAAACGTACTTCAACAGAATTTACATCAAAGGATTATTACATCAATATCAGAAAAGCACTTGTCAATGGTTTCTTTATGCAGGTACGCGTTTCGTTCACCATTCACAACTTTCACAACTCTATACAAAACTTAAATTTTAACCCACTTTATCATGATCATTAATAGGTTGCTCATCTAGAGAGGACAGGACATTATCTTACAATTAAAGACAACCAAATTGTACAACTTCATCCAAGTAGTTGTTTGGATCACAAACCAGAGTGGGTCATTTATAATGAATTTGTCCTGACGACCAAGAATTACATTAGAACTGTCACAGATATAAAACGTGAGTTCATAATAACCACCAAGTGTATAATTCTTATCATAACATTTGTATTGCTCATTTATTGTTCAATTATTTTATTTTTGTTACAGCTGATTGGTTATTGAAGATAGCACCACAATACTATGATCTGCAGAATTTTCCACAGTGTGAAGCTAAAAGACAGCTAGAAGTGATTCAAGGGCGATTAGATTCCAAACAATACCAGGAAGGTTTCTAACCTCAATAGCCTTCTAGCCCCCTTTGAAAATCACAAAAAGTGGTTGATGATAACATTTGTCTATCGTACCATTTCTGTCCTGAACGCTGAAAATTAATCACTCTGAACGAACGAGTATACTTGCAATTGCCCCTGGCAAATTATGAATCCCTCTACCGTCGATCTTTTAATTTTATGGAGTAATATTCAACAGAATTAGATTTTGTGTTTCACCGTGAAGAAGTGATAAGTCGAGGTAAATTTGCATTTTTTTAAGAATCTTGAGGCAAAATTATGTACGGTGGAGGATTAGAAAAAGTACTTTATGGTTACACACTCATGCCAGGAAAAATAAGCCAATTAAAAATTGAGAATATTCACAGGCTAAAAGCACGCAACCGCGTGAAATCACCTGACGAAGTTATTTATGTACAATTTCAAAACTTTAGCAACTAAGTGATTTTACTGGTAGAATTTGTTGATAGACAGTAACGCATTCGGAATGTCACGCTAGGCAGAATAAACGAATTTTTCTATTGAATATTAAAGAATATGTCGAAACAGGTTATATAAAAAAGAAACAGAATTATCGACCAAAGGAGAAGTGCACTAGCGTGCTCTTTCTTTAAAAAAAAAACCCATCGATTTTTCTGTACCAAACTAATCCGTGAAAATATAAAGATGCCTTCGCTTTCGAAAGTTTACTCCTCGCCGAATTAATAAAATTCTATTTATTTATGTTTTAACGACTTCAGCGAAGATTGTGGTTCCTTATGGTCATGGTGTGTCCAACCACGAGTATGAAACTTTAGAAAGCGAATCGTTAGAACTATAGCAAAATTATTGTATAACAAGAAAAGGAAAGAAAATGTGATAATAGTTGAGCGAGTAAAAAAATCTTACGTTTTCAATATTCTTCCAGCATCTAAGAAAGTGACGTGAAACAAAGCATAAAGATATCAAAAGTACTTTGCAACAGAGTATAAGTTGGATAAATCCAAATTATCACAGTTAGCAGCGTAGTACCACTAAATACCTTGTAGTCCCACATAAATGACGTTTTGTCAAAATAAAAAAAAGTCCAACACGTAGAACGTTCATCTTACTCCAAACGCTTGACTTACGGGACGTGTGCTCGAAACGTAACTTACGGTTAGAGTCTGTTTTTTTAACTAAAACTGCACCCTGATATCGTAATACAAGTTTTATTTTCTAAATGGAAATTATGCTTCAATGTTCTACGTTTCGCATTTATAAACATGTTAATAAATGCAACACTTGGTTTTTTGTAAATAATGCAAGAGAACAACGTACGAGGGGTAAAATTCGTGATGATTTCATTAAGTTTATTAATGTGGACGGTGTTTCATTATAATGTATCACACTTCATTCCAATAAAATAATAACGAAATCTTGTTACCTTCTCTTTATGTCTCGAAATAGTTGTGCGGTTTTTCTTTGAATTTTGTATACATTATAAAATGTTTAAACGTACCGCTGTTTTCTGAGATTTAAATTGTTGGTTGAGAACCTCTATGAGCTTACCAACTCAGATAAATATTCTACGATCACATGAGGTATGAGAATACTCTAGTATTTCGTCAGAAAGTTCCGTCATTGCAACGAATTTTTTTGTCAATCAAACGAGAGAATATCATGGCATCAATTACCTTGCCGGCTTCTGTAAGATTTGTACGTCTTGCAGTCGAGAATTTCTACCAAATTAATAAAAACATTAGTCTACGGTGAGTTTTTTAAGAATTTTGTAACCTGCTTGTGTTTGATTGCTTTTTTTAGATGGAAAATGTACGTTACCAAAACGTGATTAAGGTTAGATGTTAGGTAATGTCGAAATTTTTTACTAATTGATACGTTTCCTACGATTGTTATATAATTAACACAATAAATTTGATAATTATGCACTTTTATAACTAATCTATAAGTGCAATTCATTGGGTTCTTTTTTTTCTTTAACGTTGCACAAATCACGTTCTTTTCAGTCGGTTGAACCTTATACTTTTTTGAGTTATTCAAAAAATGAAATTGTATACTTTTATTCATTAATAGAATGTAAATTTTATGTTTTTATTTGCAGGACATTACGACCAAAATATGCTTCATTATTTCCACAAAAAGCATTTAGCACAGCAACTGAAGAGAGAAAGACAGAAGGTGGTGAGACGCAGCCTCCAGTACAAGATACTAATGAAATAGAAAAAAAGTTTAAGACTGAACTAGAACTCTTAAATAAGGAGATTGCTGAACTCAAGGAGTTTAATGCCAAATTGAATGACAAATACAAGCGTGCATTGGCTGATAGTGAAAACCTAAGAGTCCGTTTGACCAAACAGATTGAGGATGCCAAACTTTTTGGTATTCAAGGGTTTTGCAAAGATCTCTTGGAAGTGGCAGATATCCTTGGTAAGGCTACAGAAAGTGTACCTAAACATGAGCTTACAGACAGGAATCCTCACTTAAAAAGTCTATATGAAGGTTTGATAATGACTGAGACTCAATTACAGAAGGTATCTAATAAATAAATTTATGCTGATTCATGTTAAAACCAAAGCTAAGATAAATGAGTTTAATATAATTTACATTTTTGGTTATAGGTTTTCAAAAAGCATGGGTTAACATCAGTTAATCCACTTAACGAAAAATTTGATCCAAATCAACATGAAGCCTTATTTGAGCAGGTAATTTTCATACATTTTTTAATGTGCATTTATATATTTAACTCTAAGAACATTGTACAAAATACGTCAATTCTGTTAAACAGGAGGTAGAAGGTAAGGAGGCAGGAACTGTTGTGGTTGTATCAAAAGTTGGGTACAAATTACATGAACGAATAGTCCGACCTGCTCTTGTCGGAGTTGCCAAGGCGTAATTCAGATCAAGCAGCCTGTGAAGAAATCCTAGGCATTGAAACCCATATTTGCACTTTGGTGTTAAATGTTATCCAATAAAATATCCATAACTCACTTTTATTTAAATTGATTAGGACACTTGAAAGGTACAAAAACTAGAGATAAAAAGAATATTTTTACTTAGGCAGCAGAATATTATAAAAACAAAAAACCAAGTCACTGATCTGCTTATGGGGTCTCAAGAGTTACTTTATATTCCGATAGAGTTTTATTCAACAAGTTATGCAATCTTATTATATTAAATATTTTTGCCATGATTAATGCTAATGCAAGATGCATTATGAAACATTCATATAGACTCTTGCATTGTATTATATGCATGATGGTTTGAGTTTTTGTGCAAATTTATTCTATGAACATAAAATAAATTACATTGAATAAAACAGATGTGTTATGAAAAAGAAATACAAAGTTCACAATTTGGCAAAAACTAAAAAATATCTTAAGCAGCAAAACAGATTGTGTTGAATGCAAAGAATGGTTTGGAACTGTAAACTTAGATCAAACATAATTATTAGTGTATTCATTTATTGTGCATTACATTTATACAATATATCTCAAAGTACATGTGTGCACTTGCAAGTTACAAATTTTTGTGTGGAATGCTTTTTTCACTCAGACTTCTTATTTTTATCACGCGTTTTCATACAATTTAGAATAATCCTTTGGAAAGATATGAGATAGCAGGCACTCACAAGTCTAAGCAACCCCATAAGTAAGGATTGCAGAATCAACTCACTAAGCGAACTAAATGGTGACATTCCAGCACATAAAGTAGTAAGAATGAAGCCTTCCATTCCAACAGTGGAGAAGAATTTGCCACTCTGGAAAATATTTATTCTAATATTAGTTACATAGATCCTTCAAATTTAATGAATTCTTTATTACCAAGGCATCTTTGATCAGCTGATCAGCAACATCTTCTGGATTAACAAGACCAGCAGCTGCTGAAATCAACTTAGTTTCCAAGGGCTTTGAAAGCTCTTCTATAGCAAATCCTGGTGTGTCTGTATCCGGTGGTAAGCAAAGAGTTACACTAACATTGTGAGGATTTAACTCCATTGCTATGCTCTCGGCCAGACCACGAAGGGCAAACTTAGTACTCGAATAAGCTGAATAACCAAACACACCTAAACAAAGACACTTCAATCGCATTTTATTCATTAAGTTAATAATGCAAACTAACACAATTATAAATAGGTGTGATATGTTTAGCATGACAATGTTATATATGGTAATCGTACCTACGAACACTATGATATACAATGTATTATATGTCAATTATATTACTGACCTAAAAGAGCAGCTTGAGAAGAGGTTAATACAATGATTCCTTCCTTAGTACTTTTCATCCTGGGTACCACAGCTTTAATACAGTAGTAAGTACCAAGGAAATTGATGTCTATCATATACTTCAAATTCTCTGTAGTGGTATCTTCAATTTTTCCACAAATTGCGGTACCCGCGCAATTAACAAGCATATAAATCGGTCCCATAGTTTTTTCTAGATCATTTAATGATTTCTCTACATTCTCATAACTCTTTCCAATGTCCAGCGAAAGGTATTCTACCTTTTGAATATCTCTGTTTCGACATGCTTGTAAAATTTCAGATTTGGCTGATTCCAATTTTTGTACATCTCGCGCTATAATTGTCACATGAGCACCTTGTTTAGCGGCTAACAATGCCACACATTTTCCAATTCCACTAGAACCACCAGTTACCTATATAATAAATGGTGTCAATGTACATACAATTGTTTATAAAGCACGCGATATACGAATTGTACTATAAAGATCATAATTTGAATAACTTACAACGACATGTTTGTTTGCGATACTTTTAAGTCGGCCACGCCAAAAAAGTTGTTTTATGATTAAAATAATAATTAGAACAACGGAACCTGCCAAAGCAACACCAAGAAACACTCCCATTTCGAAAAAAATCTTGTGAAGCTTATTAATTTATAATGTACTGATTGTGACGTACACTACTTTTATAAATGCAATAGCCCAGCGACTTTGAATTAGTTAGGAAACGTAAAATTGAATATAATAGATAAGAATTGATCAGTTTTTACAGATAGTACTCATTCTCAAATATTAGACTTCTGCTGCTCGTGACATCTTTAATATCCACCGAAAGTTGCTGCCGATTACAAAATAAAACGACACTGAATGGCGAAATTAACGGGAAGTAATATTAAAGAGAAAATAATTATTTAATGTAATAAATTTATATATTAACACTTAGAAGAGAATAACACGCAAAACTCCTTAGAAGGATTGGAAGTTGCCAAAATTACCGTTGCGCAGCTTGCTGCGCAGAATCCGGGGAGTGGGAGAGAGTGCCGAAAGGAGTACTTGGTCTCTGAGCGCTCATTTTTCCACGAGCCGGCCTTGTATACTGATTTCTTGGATGTTCCCGTATCATCTATTTCTATCCTCACATTTTTCTATTTTTTACTTTATCCCTTGAATTCTTCCCTTTTTTATAACTTTATTATTGCTTCTTTATTTTCCTTATATCTCGATTACTTCTTACCTTTTTCTGTCAACGTTGCGCCACTCATAGTGCAACTTGATCCAATTCTCCTATTTGATGATTGGCTGAATAAATGGTTTTATATCCTTTCCACAAACCGATTCAGTTACTAGAAGAGTAGTAGAAGGAAAAAGTGAGATTGTAATGCAAGACTAAAAGGAGAATGAGGAAGTGAAAAGATAGAGAAAAGATGTTTGAAAGGGAACGAAGAGAATGGAAAATGTGAAATGGGCCCTCCCCGCCCCTTTCCGTGAAGTCCTACCTCTCCACAAGGAAGATACGATCTCTCCGAGGCCGAACAGAGGACCGTGTTTTGGGGATGAAGGAAAAAACCCCTGGGTCTTGAAACTACCAATCTTAGAACTCCGAGGAGAAAAACCTCAGGAACCAAAGGAAGTTTGTTCGAGCAACGAGAAATACGCAAATATAAGATAAACGTGAAAGTCCAGTTTCAAAGAGAGACTGACTAATCTAAAAGTTGCTTGAAAGCACTTATATTGCTTCAAGTGAAGTTGACCCAGGACCTTAAGCGCAGACAGGACTTTACCCAGAGCCAACGGACTACACCTCGACCTCCCCACCGACACATAGGATCGTCTCTACCCATACGAGTGCTCAAAGGTCAACAACGTCTTGGAACATTTTTAGGAAAACGAACAAATTATGCTTATAGTTGCAAAAAGTAGACACACTGTCTACAATCACTGCACGCAAAATCATGTTCGTAGCATACCCCGTGGGTGCTTAAGGCCCCCGTCGGAAGCTTCGGAAAGAGCAAATTGCGACCATAACTTGAGCAAGCTCAGCAGATGAGGCGGAAAAGCAATCCCCTTCATCATGTTCTACGTATAGTTAATCTAACAGGGTGAAAACCTTTATAGAACTACTCGATTGAATATGCTCAGCCGGATCAAAAAAGTAGGAACAGTAAAACAAGCATAACGGATAGTGAGGGGCGTAGAGTGACACTGAGTGACACTGCTAATTATGGCATAAAAACATTCCGTCATTATCTGCGGTTAGTAAAGTAAGAGATTCATATATAACTTCATCATGTTGGGTCGGTATATCAGATTCGCGAAAGTACCAAGTACACGGTAGAGCCAGGTAGAGCTTATTCATCTTTCATCACATTCATATTTGTGTGGTACTGACAAACCGGAATACGTAATCTATCTCTAGTCAACAGTATTGTTGCTCTGCTAAAAAGTTTGCAACAAAAATTGGTTGATTTTGCTCTTGCGTGTTACTGGAATAGGTGGCGTAACAGCTCTTGTGATTTAAAAATCAATCATATGTGGGAAAACTGTCAAAAAAATGTTCAGTAACGTGCCAAGAAAGTTTTTGAAGAACTCGGACTCCGCCGAAGTATGTTTTTCATTGAATTTCTGTAAATATTAAAAGTTTAATTATCTGAACGATATTTTCATACTTTATCAGGTTGATGTTCGTGAAGATGAAGAGCAGGCAATTAAGTTTCAAGAAATTATTGATCTTTTGGTTGCTGCTGGATATTTTAGAGCCAGAATAAAAGGCCTGTCAAATTTTGACAAGGTAAGAATTTAATATAGAAGTTTCATTTTCATACGAATTAACAAATTATATAATTTATCAGGTTATTGGTGGGATGACTTGGTGTATCGAATCATGTAACTTTGATGTCGATGTAGATTTATTATTTCGTGAGAATCTGACAATTGGTCAGAAAATGTAAGTGCAGTTACTCATCCATCAGATGCTCATTTCAAATGGAATATTTATATTATTTATATTTTTTAGTTCCCTGACTGAAAAAATTGTTGTCATGTTACCAAAAATGAATTGTCCACATAGAATTGAACCTCACCAAATACAAGGTTTAGATTGTATCCATATATTTCCAATTATTCAAGTGAGATTTTAATGATACATTATAGTTCCATGTAAATGAAATACTTAAAAAAAAAATAAATAAATTGATAATTTTTAGTGGCTAGTCAAACGCTCAATGGAAAAGAGGGAAGAAACAGGTGACTTAGTCAGATCATTTGCGATCAGTCAGTTTGACAAGAATTATTCCTTTTTGGAAGATCATGATAAAGTCATTGAGAAGAAAACCATCATTCCCTACATTAAATCAGCTAAGGTAAAGACAAATATTTTATAAGTTTGATATTCTATGCCTTGTACAAAGTGCATGTCTTTTATGATCTTTGCAAATGTAGAAAGCATTTGAACCACGACGTTGTTTTAAACGGAAAGATCCTCCTTTGAGTGATGAAATTGATCAAGTTCGAAGTACTCTTTTGGAATATGGTTCATTGGCGATTACATCAGTACTATCAAAAACAAGCACATTGCAGGGTGTATCTAATTCCAATGCAAAAGAACAAGAGGAGAATAGTGATGACTTAATGAAAAGTATGTCCATTGCTGATGATAATATAGTAAGTCTTTTAGCTCTTATTTTATAACCTTTATATCAAGAAGCAAAATGTTAAATATTTCTTTATTTCACAAACTTATCAAATAGAGTCGTCTAAGTGCCAGTGCAGTTGGAAGCATTGTAGGTATGCAGGCACAAGAAATTGCTGAAGTTACTAAGCAATATGCTTCCTTAAATGTAGGAGCTGAAGTATGTATCCACTTAGCATTTTTAATTACCATATGCTATATCAGCTCATGAAAACCAACTATTCAGGAAAATTCTATGTCAACGTTGATTGGTGCAATTGCTGCGCTGGACAAGCAAAAAACAAATCTAAAAAGCAGAGAACAGAAGTTGAAAAAGGAAAAAGATGCCTTATTGGAGAAGGTATCCGAAACAATTGAGAGACTGAATAAAGTTCGCACAGAGGAACGTAGTGTACAAGATGCATTCCAAGCAATGAAAGATATGGAAACTGATGAGAATAGAAGGTAAACAAATAAGTATACGGTGCAATTTAATTAATAATGCTCATCTCGATTATTTCTAATACATTTTTTAGTATTATACAAAATTTGGAACAGCTTCTCCTGGTGCATGATAATATGAAAGATCAGGAACATAAATTTCGCGAACAATGCAAAGCAGACTTGAATGTATTTCAAGAAATGGTCTCACAGGTTGAGAGTAGTGAATTACGCGAAGAAGAAATGCATACAGTGGAATATGAGGAGCAAAAAGAAATTGTCAATAAGTTGCGATTACAATTAGCTAAAAAAAATCGTGCAATAGCATCATTAACGAGGCAACTTGATGATGTCCCAGGTCGTTCTGAATTAAACCAATATCAACGACGTTTTTTGGAACTATATAATCAAGGTACACGATATATGTCCTACAAGCATCAATATTATTTTTATATAAAAAAAAACCTCCAGTTTCAGCGAAACATAAGGAAACTAAGCAATATTATACCTTGTACAATACACTGGACGATACAAAATTGTATCTGAGCAAGGAATTGACTTTGTTAAATTCCATACAAGATAATTACAACGAGTAAGACGATTATCAACCACTATCTCTATTACTTACAATGTTAATTGTCTAACGAACCCACCGTATCTTAATTATCTTTTCAATAGAGCTATGTCATCGACAAGTGGCAAGGAACAATTTTTAAAGCAGTTCGAAGCTATTGTCGCAGGTGTGGATAAGAACAAAGCAAAGGTATGTACCATAATTTACTCAACAAGTAACAAAATAAAAAGTATGTACTTCAATATCAAGGTGGAAAGAAGATGCGCCGATGAAAAGATCAGAAGGGATGCTCTGAGTCAACAGCTCGTTACATTAATAGAACAACAACGCCGTTACGTTGTTGCAGTTCAACAATTAACAACTGAGTGTCGCAAAAACGAAGCGTTATTAGCTCAACTTCGTGGACCATGAATATATATACTGGAGACGTCTCCGTCGGGTACTCTTCTCTGCCGGGCAACTAGGTACGTCAAGACTATCTCCCCACGGTAGATTCGAGCCTCTCGACCTCAACTAAACAATAACGAAATCTTACGAGAGCCTTGACATAACTGTACGAATCAACCCGAGAGCGTAGCTTCTGAGCAGGGTGGCGACCCGAAGGGAACCAGAAATCGAGAACGTTATCTGTATCGGTAACCGGAGCCGCCTTGGGACAGTGATTCGAAAAAGCACGTCACAATATATATATATATACACACACACTAATATATGTCTAACAAAAAAAGATCAAAAATCATCTTGCTAAGTGCAACAATGCAAAACAATGGAATGAAGGACGAGGGTGATTGGTGAAAATAACAAGAAACTTTGCCCGTTGATCACATCAATTTATTTAGTCGATCCTATGAGCGACGCAATATCTTCGGAACAAAGTTCCATAATAGAATTAAGAGTTACATGTTTTGATACCCCACAATACGCCATTACTTTCTCATACAATGTGGGATAATTTTATGAGTTTGACATCTACATATCGAGACTCGTATCGTATCGAAGTGGAGCGTGTGAAGCCATACTTCATAAACATCATCATAATCATCACAATAATAAAGGAGACCGTTCACGCAAACATTCATTCGCGTCGTTCTCATATAGAATTCTAAAATCATTTGCACTCTTTTCATTAATCAGATGTCATCTGTTTCGCGCTTTTGAGTGTCAGTCAAACATGCCGACCAGCAGTAATAAACAATAACGCCTACCACCCTCCCTCTTTCCAAACCCTTTGGAAACCGAGTGTAAAAAAGTTATCGGCAGTCAGAGAATAAGAAAATGTACAAAATCACTTGGACCAAAGGTCACGCCGTTAATTGCTCGTAAACGACACGTTTTGCGAGAAAACCCAGAATAATCGAACTCCCCGAGTTTGATTGAGTGCCTTTGTCGTATATATATGTATATATCTTTTAATCTATATATGAAATGCGTCGCAATTATACACGCGTGCGTATGCCTCATTTGCGCCGAAAATGCACAACGAATTTTCGATCGTTGGATCACTCATCCACATGGTTATTCTATGGCTTAGAATAATCAACACAATCATATGCATATGTATAAACTTTACAGTATGACAATCCTCCTTTTTTTCTTATCATTTTCTCTCTCTTTAATGTTCTATAAGCATTTCCTTCTTGCTTTAATCATTTTTTTTTTTAATGTCTATCCCTCCCCCTCATTCATTCGGTCTCATATATTACTTCATTTTCATTTGCTTCGTAATCATCCCATATATAAGAAGTCTCCTGGTAATTCATTTGACGCATTTATCTGTTTATCGGCAAATAAAATTCCATACCCCGTAATTTCGCATCTCCCGTTCGGACGATACGAAATCTCAAATCGGTTTCATCATCCATCATGATGCAAAATGGATACCTAAATGATTTTCTCCATGTTTGGTACGTATAAGTCTTTGGTCTCGGATGGGAATTTACACGCTGGGAACTTGTCACGCAGCGGTCTGAGCAAATTGTCGTTTGGCACATACACTAACAATTTTGCACAAAAATTATTCATACTTGCGTAATTGCCTGGCGTACATTCAGACCTACATACTTCTTATTCACGTTCCTTCTCTTTCTTCTCACATTTATATTCATTCTCTCGCTCTCACCATCATCGTTCTCTTTATTATAATTAACGCTTACCGCTCTCATTTTGTCAGACACCGATATCGTGGGAAGAATTAAAAATATCTAATACGACCAGAAATTGCCGATCAGAGTCATCTTAACAACAATTGGAAATTATTAGGAAGGAATAGTTTGTTTTGTTAAGTAACGCCAAAAGTGATATTTTTGAGGGTCATCGATTGGTAATGGGTGTGATTGATTGATTGGAGAACGTGATCAGGAAGACGAGGAAAGGTACAGCTTGTTGATATTTTTCCCGCACTAAGTACAAATGGGAAGTGACAAGCCTGCGTACGATTGTATAACCATGTCACGTGACGATCCAGTTGCGAGGGGTAGAACCATCCCCTTAGTTGATTGCGAAATGAGAATCCGAATATTGGTTACGCGCAATCTAGACGGCGATGGAGTAATCCGAGGAGGTATTGTTCTGCGTGTTGGGTCTGGACCAAAGAGAACTGCGCAGGCCTAATTTTAGTTTCTTCAGGGAATCAATGTCGCACTCTGCTTCACTGAGCTCGGGTCGATCACCACGTTCACCACTTCCAGTCGAGGGTCTCACACTCGTTTGATTCCCGACGAAGGCCGTTTCCGCTACCGATATCGGTGGGAGAAGAGTGCGCAGTGAGCTCCTGCTGGGAACATGCCATCTTAAGAGATAGCCGTATCGATGATCTTATGTGGATTGTCATTGTGAGATGTGCGGAATGAAATGATGGAGGTTTTGTATGCGACTATAGATATGGAGTTAACCTGCTTACCTGGAGCGTCCTCTTCTGGGAAGGGATTTCTGTTCGGACATGGGTGAAATATCTGAAGAAGTGCTGGATGTTCCATGATAGATGAAGTCTGAAACTGCTCGGACTACAATGGAAAAGATATCAATATAAATTTTTCATTTCATTCGAAACAATACGAAATTATTAAAAATTGATTAAAACTTACTATGCTTCAATTTCCCGGCGTCCAACTGATTCGATGACTCCGTTCTTGAACTCGTCAATTGATCTGGGTCAGACTCGCTCTCGTCGCTCTCCACATCTCCTGGTGCTTGCTGCTTCCTTTGATGACGTCGACGGGACGACACACTCTTCATACTCTAAAAAAAAATAAGCAAGCGTTATTAGAAATATTTTATATAATTCAAGTTAGAGAGACGCAGGCATTTTTTTACTGTTGAGATATTAGCAAAATTTTATTTATTTAAAGAGATTTTACCGCTGCGGGTGGCGGACTTGCGCATCCTTCTGTCATGGCGTGCTCGTGATACATGAAACTGTGAAGAAGTGTATTGTTGGGATGAAGTCCGGCCGTTGACGCTTCCGCTGCCCCTCCCAGTCCTCCCAATCCTCCCAGCCCTCCCAGGCTTCCCGCGCCACCCTCCGAAAGCTGGAACGTAGCGTACGGCGAGATGTCCTCCGCCGTCTCTGTAACCCATCAGAGGCATTGCCTACCTTTTAAATGGCGTCAGGTTTCCATTTAGAGTGATAACAGAGTTACGCCGGCCAACGGGCCAGGTTCACCATATTAATTTACTCCTTTCATATAATCTTCGCGCTCTCTCTTCTTTTTCGACTAATACAATTTTTTAAATATTATATATACTGCCTTCCTATGCCAATCGGATTCTTCTATTTCTTTTTTGCACACTACTTACTTGTCTGTTGGACATATCGAACCTGTCCGCCGTATCGTAATAAACGTTCACCTGGAATCTTGTCTGGTCCACCGGCGCTCGTTGCTTGTTGAAGAGCAACCTTGTGAATGGTTGCGTAATATCTTTCTCTTTGCGTTTCAGCATTCTGTTGATTCTCCTGGGATTCCTTCATAGGTCGTTGTACTCTGTCTCCTAGGTATCCTGGAAAAGAATTGCATCAACATAGTTACTCGTTCTTAAGGTACCTGGTGAATGTCATATTTACTGTTTCTCCAACGGAAGACAACTGTCGCTGCAGCTGCCAATAATGCCAGCATGGCAACTAACAATGGAAGCATGACCTTCACGTCAGCATAAAACGGTATTACTGAAGTGATACCACGTTTTGATAATTCTGGTGGTGGTGGATCTGTAAAAGAAAATTTTAGTAAGCAAGACTATTTTGAATGGATACTTATACTCTTTAGTAAGGATCTTACCGCCATCTTTTGTGAGTGTAACAAAAGTGAATTCTGCCTGATTGCTACCAGCTACGTTGTATGCCTCAACTTTAAGCTGATAGACTGAACTTGGTGAGAGATTTGTTACAATGTATCTTCGCTGCATCTTTACATTGTTCGATACCAATATCCAGTGAAAACCATTGATCGGTCTATATTGAATCACAAAATAGAGAATTGGACAGCCATTGTCAGGCCAAACATGAAGACGCAGTGTTAGAGTGGTGGAATTTGGACCCAGTAATGCAGCAGCTGGTGGTATACCAGGTGCTTGACCTTGAGTGCGAACTGATAAAACAGGAGACGAAGGACTGCTACCTATTTTATTGTGAGAAGTCAAATAAAGGTGGTACGTATTGCCGCATAGTAAACCCTGAAAAGAGATACTTAAATTCCCAATCCTTCCAATTGCGTGATACAATTTTATAATCTACACTAATATACCTTTAATTCATGATTCGTTGCACGACGTGGTAACTGAAGTTCTTCCAAATTTGCATGAGTCCTACGATGATGAAGAGTGTAACCAGTCAGTGGAGCTCCTCCATTATGTCCAGGTTTCCAATGGAGCAAGATACTGCTGGAGGTTGAACTAGTTACGTAAAGGACTGGTGCACTTGGTGGAACTGTGAAACAGTTTTTCTAATCAGTAATCAAATTATATTTTAATTAATTGTCACAGTCACCTTGTACGATAAGAGTATACTGCAGTCGATCGCTTCCTTGAGAATTTTCTACTTGACAAGTATAATTTCCACTGTCGTGAGTCTGAAGACTTGACAAAACAAGTTCACCGGTTTGTAAAATTTGTATATTTCGATTAGAATCCGCTCGAATTTGTTCAACACCCTTGAACCATTCACGCGTTGGTTCACCAACCGCATTGCAGGCAAGCGTGGCCGATCCTCTCCAAGGACGTATAATGTGACCTCCAAATGACGTGATTCGTGCAGCTACACGATTCGTTGGTACTTGAGCAGCTACTCGTGAACTTTGACCTTCGCCTACTCTTGTGCTCGCTGTTACCCAAAATTGGTATTCAACGTGCGACTGTAGTCCTGATGCTTCGAAGAAGGTGTTCGTTGCTGGGAGTACTCTTTTCCCATGATTAAGTTCTTCGCGTCCATTTACGATTCTATGATACAATAAATAAGAAATATGGAATATAGGATTACACAATGAGTCGAAAATTAAAATCATTAATAGAAAACGAACAATGGCTTGCCTTGTATATAAATTGTACGTCGTAATTATTCCATTAGGTTCTAAAGGTGGTAACCACGAAATTAAAAGTGCCTGGGGTGAACTTACAACGACCTTTATATCGGCTGGACTTCCGGGAACTGAAAATTTCTCAAGATAATTAAAATCTCGTTACCGCAAGTGTTAATTAATTATATAATTTAAATACACCCGCTATATAATTAGTTTCAGGAGAAAGTAACATTAATCACCGTCTTCTTCTGTATGACAATAAGTTGTCCTAGTTGGTACACCATCGCCGACTCTTGTAAAAGCCAATACTTGTATACTGTAGTTTGTATATCTTCTTAAACCAGTAAGAACGGCAGTCAGAGCACTAGTCTTTCGCACCTTTACCATAAATTAAAATGATCCAACACACTTTACACGTCGTTCATCCAAAAGCTTACAATGGACATGTCAAAGATAGGAAATACCTCAATTTCATCAGCACCACGCCATACTTCAGCTAAAACTGGTTCATAATGCAACTTGTATCCTTGAATAATACCATTGCTGTGTGAATTAGGTGGTGGTTGCCATGAAACCTGCAGAGACTGTGCAGTCAATGAGGCACATCGAACATCCTCGGGTGGCATGCTGGGCACTAATAAAATGCCGATTAATTAATATCAAGCTAAGAGAAATAATTGATAAGAAAACAAGCTTTCCTCACCATCCTCAAGGGTCTGTGTAGTCAGCGGCTCTGATAATGGTCCTGAACCAACCTGATTGTAGGCCTGAACAACAAGGGTGTAACGTGTATAAGGTCGCAGTGCAGTCAGGCGTAGTTCACCGCCTCCATCCTCGCCATCCCCGGCAACGGAAGTGAAGTTGTAAGCTGGATTTCCAGAGCTGCGACAGGTTCACGTTTGGTTCGACCGCACCGCCATTAACGCTTTAAAGTAGGCGTTGTAGGAGCGTGGAAGGGTAGGACATTGTGGAAGGATTCATTCTCGCACCTCGTCTCCCTGTAACCGACGTTGAATCCTTGAACGTCCCCGTGTCTGAGTTCAGGTATAGGTGGTGCCCAGGTCACGAGGACTTCTGTCGAAGAGAGTGCTCTGGCTGCTAGGTTGATAGGTGGTCCAGCTGGTCTTTGAGGTTCAGTTCTAACCATCAGTTCAGATGACGGTACCGATCGTCCAGCTGGTCCTTCCGCGATGATACGGATCGTATACCTGGTTGCTGGTTTCAGTTCGTCTATCAATGCTGCGTAGGGTAAGGGTGTTCCAGTCAATTCTTGTTGCTGCCAGATACCACCTGATCAAATCATGAAATCTCGATTCAACATTCTTATTCCTTAACAAGAATATTTTGCATGTACAAACTATCAAACAAATCTACTATACCTTCACCCTCTTTGTACTGAAGTATATACTTGGATACTTCACTAGTATCCTGAGCTTTATGCTGCCACTTTACATTGATACTTCGACTAGCCACCATTGCTGTTTCAAGAGAGTTCGGAGGATGTGGCGGTTCTGCAAGATTCACGATAAAAATAATTATACGGCCTCGCTCATAGTAATTGTCATCTTAAAGCTACGTTCACAACAAAAGTAATTATACAACCTTGAACAAGAAGCTGGACCAATTGCTGATCTCGTCCATAAAGATTGCTAGCTTGACAAAAGTAAGCTCCACTGTCAGAAGCTTCCGCGGACGCAATTTGTAACTGTGCAACAACCCCATCTGGTATCACTTCCTGTTTAACAGTGACTCTATAGGAGTAGAAAAAGAAGGAAAAGTCAATCGACTTAGATTATTCGATTGATATCTCCCTGCAATGTAGAAGACCTCTAATCACAATATCCCACCGATAATTTGTCGAAGGATTTAGTTCGATCTTTCCACCCTTGAGCCACGTGACGATAACAGGCTTATCGCCATGAACTTCGCAATGGAGGGTGGCAGTGTCTCCCTTTTTGACGGTGATCAATCGCGAGGGTGCAGCAAAGTAGGGCGAAGCTACGAAAATACAGATTTCTCATGTTTAATAAAAAATCTTTTCATCAAATTCTGTATACCCTTAGAAATTCATCGTCATCCCCTACTTACAATTGACTTTAAGCTGGACGACCTTTCCGATACCAGTACCAATACCATTACTGGCTTGACACAAATAAAAACCTTCACGATCCTCCTTGACATGTTGCAACAGAAGAGTACCGTTGCTCAAAAGCTTTGTGTAAGCTCTATCACGCAATTCTTCGTACTCCCCCGATTTACCACCTGTGCAAAATAAAAGAGAATATACATATATATATATATAGTATATTCGACTGCTGTTATCCTTGGATGAATTTTATACATTAAATATATATTATATATATATTTAAAAATTTACCAGTAGCCTTTTTCCAAACTATCGTCGGATTCGGCACGCCCTGTGCTTGACAGTGCAGTGCCACGTGTCTATTTCTCTCCACGTTCACGTCAGTCGGTTCGACTATCCACCGTGGCGGCACTGAAAGGCAGATTGTCAAATTTAAATAATAATTTCCGGGTATTTAAAGACGTATAAATCGTTTAATTATCTTAATTAATATAAATAGGTATGTAGGTAAAGCGCGTGATTTTTGGGAGGTCGTCAACAAAGCGCGGCACGACGCCATCAAAGCACGGACGGTGCTGTCGACAAGCGTGTACTTCTATCGTGATTCTCTAACATCGCTTATTTACGGTGGTATCAACTGTGATTAGAGATATAAACACATCAACATATATATACCTATAGACATGACACATGTAACCGCACTTATCATATGATAATTGTGCATTTTATTAATAAATCAAATACAACCTTTACGTCCATCCAAAAACAGGACGTTATATATCACTTAAAAATTTCATATCAATAATAAACTGTATATAAGTTGACTATGAAATTTATTTTGAATAAACATAATAATCTACAAAAAAATTGAACTTCAATAAGCACTGGTTGAGTACGGGACTTATGTCACTTTAGCAAGAAACTGTATGCTGCACAAACTAAATGTAATTTGTTAACATGTGTATGCATAGGATACATATGAATATGAATATACCAAATGTATATAAGGTGTACGTGGCAATGTACGAAGTGGCAATATAAAGGCAAAGAGCAAGATAGACAATGATTATTACGAAAGGATATTATTTGGTTCCACCTGATTCAGGAAACAAGGAATATAAGGAATCCGGAGTCAAAGGAATTGACGGTTAAACGTGGGGTGTTTCGTCAATTTGTCTGGTTAAAAATTTTGGAAAATTATCTGACTTTTATATCGTATTTGAATAGTATGACGAGCACCCCGCCGTAAAACGATCAATGATATTTAGTGATAAATTTGACAGGTGAGTTCAAGGGGGTTCCGGGTTCTACTTTACGGTGATTGTCAAAAGAAAACGCTGCACAAGCGATATTAAGTACTGTGAGGGTAATTCAACGTTATACAAAACGGCAATATTTATATGATCGTGAACGTATATATCTTTACTCGTGTTACACACGTAGAATTGTCATGAGTGTAATAATGATTAATGCGTACGTTAAGAAAGAGGAATTAGTAAGACGTACGGGAGGTTATGTGGTTAACGCTTTGTGTCACTGCGACAAAATCCCGTCTCTAACGACTAGGTTCGATATACGTATATATATATACATACTACCTACAGATTAAGTGGTACAGTGATACAGTGCAAACGAGAAAGGTCGGAAGTTCATACTGAAGCAGAAGTCACTTCTGAACTGTCAATTTGACTGGATGAAAATACGTGAGATATTACGGTAACTTCAGTTTAGGAGTGAAACTAACCTGCCTTTCCAGTTGGCTCTGGACGATAATAAAGAATGTAGAAAGAAAGTCATGCCAAAGAGAGATAAAGATGATCGAAAGATTTAATATACAATAAATACCAACAGTTAAGGGTGAACAAGAAGATAAATAGAACAGGAACGGAATAAAGTGGTTGTATACTAGTAGATCGTAGATCGCAAACATGCAAAGTATTCTTTCACACACGCACACAAGAGGTACAGTAGAGAAAAACGTTTTAAATAAAGGAAGGTGCAACTGTTACCTTATTATTCGGTCAAGTCAAGCAAACCTCAGGGGGTCCACGAGATACCGACGCATTCCCAGAGAGCCAAAGCAACGCAAATGTAATACACACTGTGTCTGGGGAATTCTAGGTTACAGGGTGCGACTGTATCGTCACCAGAACTTGGCCGAGGTGCCGTGTACGTTAGAATTTGTTTGAAAAATATTATCTTTCTTGGAAACTGATCTTTCGTATCTTTTAATACGAGTTTTGTACGCTACAACGCAAAGATAAAGTTTATACACTGCATTTAAAATTGACACTTGAGCTGTATTAAAATAATTTTTACTGGATATAATATACGTATACGTTTGATGTGTCATATTGGACATGTTGAAATTGATAAATCGTTATTTCGATGTGTACAATTTTTGACATCGCATTACGAGCGAAGTATTGATGACGACACACGATGGCAGCTGATGGCGCGGGATTAGAGTCGAAAGCGTGACGTCGTGACGATGATGATGAAGACTTTGTGTGACGGGATTCGCCAGGACTGATTGGATCAGGAGTAATCGAATTTGAAGTGAACTTTTTTTTTTGTAAAATTACATTATAAATTGAAACTGTATCGGATATCATAAATAACAGTTACCGATTTGAATGAATATCTTTAAAAATGAAATATAAACAATGAAATTTGTCTCATGTGAAATATTTTTGTATATCCAGTTGAAATTTATCAATTGGACTTTCCATTTGTCAGATCATCATTACAGACTCAAGTAATATTAATATTTTAATATCAGTAATTGCACGATGATACGCAAGGACAATTTTATTCGAATAAATTGTCAATTTTCGACGTAAGTCACGAATGTTCTAAGTATACAAGTCGAACGTAACGATAGGTTGAAATAACAGCTGCAATTTGACGAGGACCTTAAGGAAAGATTTTGTTGGCAGTATAGGAGGTTGGATAAGGGGTCGATCATCTAGTTACCTTTTACCTGTAGCTTGGCCGTGTACCTGACCTCGGCGGCGGGGTTCGCGGCGACGCAGGTATAGTCGCCAGAGTGTTCGGCCGCGAGGCTCGATATACTGAGTAGACTGGAATAAGGATCCAGTTGGGAGACATTGGCGACGGAGGCCAGCTTTGGTGGCAGAGGAAAAGGAGTTTGGCCGTCTTTCAGCCAGGAAATGGTAAGTGGTGGATCACCCGCCGCGACCCCGCACACCGTCCGCGTCCGCATCCCCTCGGAAAGTCCCTCTTGGAAGGTAAATGGCTCAATTATAGGGGGTACTGGAAAAGGTCAAGAGAGAAGAGAGAACCATACGTGAGAGCGAGAAAAAGATTGCACCAAAAACGGAAAAACTTTCGTACAGGTAATAATGATGGTAGTACGTTCATGTATGTATATGTATATATACAGTATAGGTATAGAGTATAGTAACGTATTATGTAATATGTATATACAAGAGAGAGAGAGAGAGGTTGGCCCCGCCACGGACTGCTACCTGCCGCCCTTGTACATAGAATATCGCACGACCCCCGTGTCACACCATCGTTCAACGCAAAAGAGCAGCATTCAACGGGCATTCGACGGCATTCGACGTTATTTCACAGCATCCCCAAGATTCCCCCCTCCCGAGCATCCCTCTTCAGTCGCGAGACGGTTGATGTCTATTGGATAATATATACAGCAATACCGACTGCCGTGACAACCCCGAGCAGTGATTTCTCCGTGATTTCAGCTGGGGAATGGTCTTTTTATTGTCCCCCTAGCGGTAACCACGAGAACGAAGCGGATGCTCGAGAGAGCGGACGACCTGCCGGCACAGGAAATTCGTTTCGTCGCCGAGGGGTTGGTTTCTTTGGATGTGTCGCTCCTGGTAGACAGGAGGGGGGTTGAAGGAGTCAGTGGGGGGGGGGTAGCTTCGTGCAAAAAGGTCGACAGGCGAAATCGGCATGAACAAACATCAACGCCGTCGAGTTATGCGATTCGGTGTGGATGGTAGTAGATGGCAGGAGGTGGTGTAGTATTATGAGAGGGTAGTAGCGGTAAGGGTGATGGAAATAAAAATAGAAAGGATCGACGGTTCAGAAGATAGACTGTATACTCTGGCAGAGTGGAGCGAAGGGTTTGTGTTTTATAGTAAAGAGGGATGCGCCGGCCGGCCGTACGTCACACCACTGATACAGACGCTTTAACGCATTCGCACAGACGCACGGGGGTGGGCGGCCAGGGCGTCGGGCGATCGTTGGGGCCTAGAAGAGGATTACCATGAACCACAAGCCGTTGCGTGTGCGATACCTCTGCGGCGAGATTCCGCGCAACGCACGAGTAGTTTCCGTTGTGATCTGGAGATAAACTTTCAATCATCAGTATGCTATTGAACTGGTCCACATTGGTGACAGTGACACGTTCCGAAGGACCCATCGAGCGGCCGTCTTTCAGCCAAGAAATTGACAGTGGCAAGTCACCCCGTGTCACGGAGCAGGTCAGGGTCGTTCTCTCTCCAAGATGAAGATCACGGTCTGCCGTGAATGGGCTAATTTTGGGAGGTACTGAAATAACAATAAAACCAATACACGAATACATGATGATCATCCTCCTGGTGACCGCGATAATGCGGTCCATGGATTTTTCATTCTTCTTCGTTCCTGAAAACCCCCTTAGATTTTCATGTGAATTCCGGGTATTCTGTTCTTTAAATCTGATTGGTTCAGCTTCTCGTCCAAGAAGATGGCGACATAGGACGTCGTACGGGGATAGAGTTTGTTCTCGGAGAGCGGTACCTCTGGTTCGTCTTCGTGTAGGCAGAGTCATCAGTTTCCTAAGGTATATTTTGATAACAGTGTTATCGATGGCCTTACCGATTACAGCTACGTCCCCGGATCTTCTGGCACTGTGTCCTTGCTTATTGCTCGCCCAGCAAGTGTATACACCGGTGTCGCCTTCCTTTTGGACGCTGGAAACCACCAGGGTGCCATCCGGTAGTACCTTCTGACGTAGATCATCCGGTAGCTCACGTCCGGCACGTTCCCATTTGATTTCTTCTATAGGATAACCAGCTACCGGGCATTTCAGTCGTAAAGTTTCACCAGCCACGGCAGTTACTTTTGGGATGAATCGTATGTAGGGAAGACCTGATATTTTTATGTAAAAAATAATTATAATTATTAATTGTTGTCTTTCTTTCATATTTATTTAGATTCTGTACAAATAATTTCTTTACCATAGACATTCAGTCTTGCCGCGTGAGTCACTTTTCCGGCGCGATTTTCCGCAGTGCACGAATACTCGCCGCCATCTTCCACCATCACGTGACTGATGTTTACATGAGATATTACGTCACCGTGAACTGTTACATATTGTCCAATAACGAATCTATAACAGAACGATTAAATGTTTATCTCGAAATTTTTTATTCTTTATTTCAACAAGAATATTTTAGCATCTTCTTATTTCGTCACGACGGAAATTCATACTGCAATTACTCCCCAACTGCAATATGCAGTGAGATACGCGTTTAACACGATACACATGTCAAACGTTCCTGTAAATATTGTATTTCAATTATACGAATTGCGTATTTGTGTCGGTGTATGCACTCTAATTTTCTTTAATCGATCTGCTTTCGATAAATTACGTATTCCAAATCCTCATTGTAGCATACAAATCACGTTTCATACATAATAATGTATGAAAAAAAACGATACATACATAAATGTCTGCAGTTGAAAATATTTATCCGCTTGAACGAATTGACTTTTGAATAAAATTATTACGAAATTTCTCAATACAATTAATACTTGCCGTGCATTGATAGGTAGAGGGAAACCATCGAGGGTCCATGATACTTGGGGCGTTGGATTTCCGGCTGCTGAACATTTCAGCGACACAGCTGGTCCCGGCTGAAGTGTCTGCTCTATGAAAGAGTAAAGAAGAAGCGGCGGCGCGTCTGAAACAGGAAGCGTGAGAGACAAAAATAAGAAAAAAGGATTCGACTTTTAAACTCAAAACTAGTAGCTGTGAATTCGTACTACGACAGAAGGAAGAACGGAGAATGAAAGAGAATGAGATGGATAGTTAATGGTAGTAAAGAAAAAAAAAAAAAGAAATGAATAGGAAAGATGCAGAGAAATAGTGAATAAGGGAAAAGTAATGAGTGCCGTAAAGAAAGTTCACTCGTTCCAAAAGAAGTTCATGGATAATTCCGTAGGGGTGCAGCACTGCAGCAATTAAAAGAGATTCGAACGCGACTCTACACTCGTTATCATTAAAAAGGTGAAAACGAGTCCAATTGTAATTTCGAATTGAACCAAATAATGTACCTCGCTTTCTCTTTCTTACTCGTATAAATACTTAAATAATAAAATTTCTCCAGAACCCCTTCGGCATTGTTGAAAAACTCCTAAGTACCAGCTCGATCCGTCCTAACGACATCAGTCGTCATTGTTCCAGCTCGACAGACTGTATCGTGGAATTCCATCGATGATCAAATAATTATTATACGATGAACAGAGACATCGTGAGTCACGTTAATTATTTTTAGGACTGAATAGACTTCCATAATGTACAAGGACAGTAGACGCTTCTTTGCCCTGGTGGAAATTAAATTTTTTCTTTCCAGCTTACGTCAGCGTTCTCGTTCTTTCAATTCATCTTTTTATACCTGTCTTTTCTCTCTCTCTCTCTCTCTCTCTCTCTCTCTCTTTCTCTCCCTTTCTGTCTTTGTTACTCTCTCCCTGAAATTCTCGCTCTTCCCACACCAGTAGTAACGTCCCGAGGCAGGCCGCCGATTTCGAGAATTCTCTTTGACGCAAATTCCATGCATTACCGAGACTGACGAGCGGGACGCTAACTTCATTGTTGTTTGAAAGAGCCACCCTCTCACCCCATCCCGACATCGCCCACTAGCTTGTTCGCTGATGGGTGCAATAGATACAAGATGACACGAGTTCAAGTCAAAGAGAAGATGAGTAGGCGTAGAGAAGAGTCTACTAACGTGCGAACGTACGTGTCAAGGCTCGAGACACAGCCCTCTATTATGTATCCTGTACTCGCATGAGTAGCCCACTTGAATTACCCAACTTCACGTATTGTCATGGAATTCTAGTTCAGCGTCCCTTATGAAAATCATTAATTGCTTGAAATTCTAGGAAAATAATAATCGATGGATTAGACAAGAGAAATTGGGCGGTGCATGAATACTGTAGGATGGAAATAAAGAAAAGTAAACAAATTTTACCATAAAAAATAATTACCAAATTCTGTTGTTGCTCGAAAAAAAATTTTTCTTATCAATTTACATACCGCCCAGTTGAAGTTCTGCCGAAGCCTGCGCTGTCTCGCCTTCGGATCTTCTCACGATGCATTGATACATCCCTCTATCTTCTCTGACGATGCTGTTCAGTCGTAAAAGCTCGGATTGTCGTCCGCTGCCAGGAAGTTGTCGGCCATCTTTGTACCAGGTGACGAAATGAGGTCCTACTTGTGGATGCGTCCCAACGACGCAACGAAATTCTGCGTTTCCACCAAGATGGACGCTGAGTAGGGTCGGACTGACTTCAACGTGAAGTGGAGCAGTTACGATCAGTCTGTGGGGTTAATTAAAGAGAATTGAGATCAGCCTTTGATTGATATTCCATTAAGATCCTAGCTTTCTGATGTCCAGTATTCTTAATAATTGAATATTCAATCTGCAGACTCCGGTGTACTTGGATTATCGAGTTTTAGTATTTAATCTATAACTTTCTGATTGCCGATCTGAAGTCGTGTAAATTGTCACTAATGTCGCAGTCGCTAGATGGAAATTGACCCTTCACCTTAAACCCGACGAATTTCAAACTTTCCTAATTTCGTGGGTGTAACGTCGATAATTCTATTTGGCCATAACAAACTATAGTAATATTCCATATCGTACCAGGTACCAGATGGAAATACCTAGGTAAAATTTTTCAGATATTTTTGTTCCCTTTATTCTTAATTTAAAAAAATATTCAATCTCACCTTAGTTCAGCACTAGCTTCGCCACCCTGATTTGCAGCAGCACAACGATACACCCCACTGTCTTCAAGGGTGACAGCCTCAATAGCTAAGACCGGTCCAAGAAGTCTTGTCCTAGGTCCAGGTAGCACCAGCATCGGCTCCGCCCCGGTTTGTGCGTACCATCTGAGAAGAGTAAATGAAAGCCACTATATCACAGTAAACTGGAAAACTTTATAGGATCCATATGTGTAGAGTTGAAAAAGTCTGTTTAAGCTTTTTTTTGTGATGCTCAAAACTGTCTGACTGAACTATAAAGTTTGAGTAGGGGTTGATCAAAGGGGTGAAGAGGTGATGGTAGAGTCAGGAGGATACGGAGGGTGTATGAGGATCTTGAGCATGGGGTAAGCGATCGACCCTCAACCGTTTCACCCTGATGCCCTCATCCCTTGTGGATCTGCAGACCACTTGGGGTAGCAATCGAGGCACGTTCCGTTACGGGTGTGCACCCTTCCTTCCTTCCTTTCGGCGTTGACTTACTTAGGCAACTTCAAGCCATCCTGAACTTCGTCATCGTGGCAGAACCGCCCGCACTAATTTAGATCAATAAGTTTGATAATGTTGATGGTACATATAGGTATAGTAGCTATGCGTATAAAGCTAACTTTCTATAAGGACTTTACAGTAGTTTTTCCAAGCCGTCCATTCCCCGAGATCAGGCGACTCGCAAGAAATGAAAATGGAAACCAGATCCTGCGAATGTTTTTGTGTTGGAATAGAATCCAGTAAGAATTTGGCGAACTGTCTTTGAGGATCGAGCGTCTGTCTTAGTTTTTCTGCCATTAAACTTCCACGAACTGGTTCTGTGTGGCCACTGTGTACTTTGCGTTCTTTTATTTTGGGAATGAAAGCCACCATTTTTTTGTTACTCCTTTCGCTCCTGGTTCTTGGTGATATTTTCTTCGGTGTGATTTATGGTGCGAGGAATGCCACGTCGGAAGGGGTCGAGTGGTATTGACAAGAATTATTGAGCGCTGAGGAAACTTTGTGCAAGCGACACTTTCATTTCCGTACTCTTGTTCCTTTACTAGAAATATCCCGAATTGTCGAAGTTTCCAATAATTATCGCTTTTTTGCGATACCAAGTGGGCGTCGACGTCACCAATCCATACGTATGAAACATTCTGGACATACAGTTGAGAATGTCATTCGATCAATGTGAAGTTGTCGTTGATGAAGGTTGAGGGTGGTAAATGTGTCATCGAAGAGCAGCTTCTTGACGAGTTATAAAAACTATAAGGGTTGATATACACACAAACAATAATGAAAAGAAATCAACCTCGAATGTATAAGACTAATGGCCGATGCTAAGGAAAGGCATATGGAAAAACTGAAAATTGAATTACCGATATTCAGGCGGTGGACAGGATTGAGCTACGCAGACCAAGGACGCGGATTCGTCCTGAGCGACGTGTATAGCGCCAGAATGTTCTAATATCACTGGAGCCATGATCCCTCTGTGATCTGCAAACGTCCAAATTTCTGTGCATGGGATTTGTATCACTTTGCGAAAAGTACTATAATTTTTTGTGATATTGTACTTTGCGAAATTTTTCATTTATAGGAAACTATTGGAAATTGGTTATTAACATGACTTTCTATTATCCATAACCTACCTGCTATCCTGACGTTAGCAGCTGAACTAACGACAACTTGTCGTGTAAGACGATGCATCGTCCGACACTTGTACCCCAAGTATTGATCACCAAATTCCAATCTGTGCACCAGGAGTTCACCCGTTGGCAGTAAATGATACTTTCCATCTAGAAAGATAAAGCAAATCAACCGTCAGAGATCAACATACTAATAAAATTAATATTAGTAAAATTATATCCCAAAGTCCAATAAAAAATTTACAAATTTATTGGAGAACAACACAAGAGTCATAGCTACCAAATTTATCTGAACTCTCTAGTATCCACTGTTGTAAAAAATAATTTAGACGAAAGCCACGTTTCACTGGATCGCCCGATTTTGTCTTTTATTACTAGGTCTATATTAAATCCTTAGTCTTACTCGGACCGAGGTTCGGGGGTCACTGAGTTCCTCTCTGTACATACCGAATCAGCGTTCATTCTCTTAACCCATAGATGGCAAATTTAAAATCTAGTATCTCACGCAAAGAACAATTATTCAAATGATTATACCTCAAGGAGATAAATTACAAAATAGACTTTAACCAAAGCTTTAGCGTTTTTCTTTCCAGTAGTTACAAAAAATTTATTGGCGCATCCATCCATTCGGATAACCGCTGACAATAGAGTTTTGGACAAATTCCAAGACACGTTAATCCCTTGTTTAATTTATCGCACAAGGCACATCCAGTTGGCCAGATACACGACAATTGTATAAGAAACCCAGTAAGATCAAGCAGAATAAGATAGCATGTAAATGTAACACATAAAGTGTAACTCTCATTACAACGTTATGCCATGCACCGCGGAATTTCCCTGTCAAACTCCCAAGCTATCCAGGGTGTAGCTACTAGGTTCTCGGTTATGCTGTGGCTTGGTAGATAGGTGTACCTAGGTATCTAGATAGGTAGATAGGTACATATATATATATATATATATATATATATATATATATATATGCACGACTATGTATATTACGTCGGCCTGGATATTAAATTTTAGCGTCGGCCAGCGGCCATATTGTAATACGGTTATATTGCGTTGAACGCGTAACTCTTTGTGCTTGTTCATGTCGCAGCCTGTGCAGGTTATGTTTCTTTCTGGCCAGAGGCTGGCTCGTAAATTTCATTTCCTGCTTGGTAGGGAGAAGCAATATTCATATAGTTATGTAACAACTAATATATCTAAGTGACTTACCACCTTGTAACGATGGATATATGTAGAAAGATGGCTCCTGAAGCCAGGATACCACGCGTACCAAATCCTTCACAAAACGAGGAACGATGCATCGCAGTACCGCTGTGCATCCTCTTGCAGCACCACCAACGACCTCCACTTCGACCTTGTAAGCTTGGGCGACCACTAAAAACAATTAATTGTAATTAGTGAAAATTATCAATAGATATATCTACGATGTTAATTATTGTATTCATGAAATACTATATTGATAGGAGCCAATTGGTTTTCTAAAGATTATGTTCAAAGATTGAGTTTCAATGATAGTCGAGGCGCCATCTGTCTTTGAACTAAACTTCGAAATTGAATCTGTAATAACATTTCAGTCGCTATAGTCTGTCGATGGTAACTTGATTAGGTATTTTTGATCAAGGAACTATTCACATGGTATCTCTACTATCTCTTTGAAATCGATTATAGTATCTAGCCAGATGGGTAACCGAAAATGATTTTTTTAAATTGACAATGCTTTTATCATGAGTCTATGAACGTAACTGCTAATAATGATATCTGGCTCCGAGCAATTCTCTAACGTTGTCACGTGAATACAGTATCAGTTTAGTATTGGATTAAAAGGGATAACTCCATTTGCTCATAGAGCTTTGTGCTTTGTATGAGCGGAGGCTTAAAATTAGTTTCAAAATAGGATTGACAATTATCCTCTATTAGAGTATTGTATTTTGAGACATTGTCCTGTGCTCAAAATACTAAACTATTATTGTACAAGTCTGGAAACTGGATGAGGATGATTTTCATAGAGCACGAATCCCTCTATCAAGTATGCCAAAGAAAAATAGCATAGAACAAAGTTTTTATCGTTCTTTCATATCTGCAGTACCCAGAGTACTTTTTTTGTCAAAACTTGATCAGTTGCCTTCAGCATATCTATATGCAAGATCACGTCGACCCATTGTGAGAGAAACTCGCTATTTTGTACTTGGCTGACAAAGATGTTCTTCAGCTTTTGTGGTGATTCTTGTTGGCTTATTTTGAACAAAATAAAAAATACCATGTCCAGTCGGTAATGCAGTTGGTCCAGATTTTCATTTTTACACTCATCTCTGTTGCTCTGTTCCCAGGTAGGAAGATCCCTGGAAATGCAGTTTTGGCCGCAACCCGTCATCCGTTCTCGTTCAACACGAACGATTATTATTATTATATTTGGACGTCTGCCAGAGCGTAATGCCTTAAAGGCGCAGCTCTTCTTTCTCTCTGTCTTTCTCTTTCATGCTCGTGCCCTCTCAACCACACCCCTCTTCTCTTCGCAACCTCTTTTTCTTCTCATCCCTCTGGAGCTCTTCGATTAATGAGAAAGGAGTTCCATTAGGAGTTCGTCGGAGGAAATGGAGAACCGGCGATCGATGCTCGCGACGAAGAACAGAAAAAATTGTCGCAGCCCGTTTGCAGCTATATTTTCGCCAACTTATAATTTCGCGAGCTCCTGTAAAATGTCGCCTCGCTGATTAGCGTGCTCATACTTTATAATTTTGCCAACTTTCCAGTATCACCTGATATGCTGAAATAACCTACACGTGCATCAAACGAGTCGCAAAGTTTTAATTAATGGCTCATCCAATTGGTTTTTCCACTGGCAATAAATTCCTCAGAAAAAAAATAATAACAGAATCGTTCATTTAGATTGAATATTTAACGAGACAATTATAAATTTCTTGAAGGACTCACTTTTTGGTCCTGACTCTTTTCTTTGTCTAGGACAATACTCACCAGCCCTGACTTGTACATCTCGGCTTAGTACTCTGCCCACAGAATTACTGGCTACACATCTGTACGCGGCACTGTGAACATCCTGCCTGAAGGCCGCCGCCGGAAACGGAAGTAGAACCAGGGTACCATTCCTGAGGACCCTCCGTACGCCGGGGACATCCCCCACCGGAATTCCATCTGCAGTCGACCAGTCGATGTTGGGTGGTGGACTTCCGGTTGCGGCGCAGTCTAACCAAGCGCCGCTTGAATTTGAAAATTCGATTTTTGCTGATGGTTCTATGAGAAAACTTGGACCCCGCAGGTGCGCGTCGAATCCGTGATTACCAGCTGATCTCACAACCGCTGCTGCACCTGTAATACAAAAATTGAGCTGTAATTCATCATACTGTATCAATAAATATACATTCACATTATTTTACCAAGCTTCCCTAATATTTTTCAACTCAACTAGTACTTTCACTTAGTTCAACCTTATCTCTTATATGACGTACCGGTGGTGTATACTACCAGCCACCACATAGTACACGGAACCAGACGCTTACCCAACTTATACGCTATCCAACATGTAACTTCAACTATACTATAGAAGAATATATCCTTCACGGCAAACTTTATTAAGCTTCCCGTAGTTCTGAAAGCAGGCAGATTGCAACACGTATATATCTATAGCTAGAAGATACAAGTTGTTTGAGTGATTGCTGCTTGTTCAGCACTGACGAGTACGAAATGGAGTACAAAATAGCATTGGTACCTGAATAATTTTTAGACATACTTAACCTATATTTGATAAAGATTGATATATACATATATGATTGACAGATTCATATCAAATTTGTATGGGATATATAATATTCATCCTATAAACATCCCTGGACACTGTATTACTACAGCGTCTCTTCCTTAACGTTATTTCATCAATGCCAGTTTCCCTCACGAGTATCGTGCGACGGTAATGGTTGCAGCGTCGAGACGCTTAACAAAGCGTATAAAGTCATCAATGGCACGCTTTGACTCTCCCCTAGGCACAGTAACCAGCACGACAGACTAGACGGACTGAAATGTTTATAGGTTAAATGACAGTTATAACGGGTGCCCGGCGCCCCTCGAAATAATTACTTTTAATCTACTGCAGGGAGCGCTGGAGGGCGAAGAATTTACGAAAAATTAGGAGTTTCGATCGGGAATCCAACCAGATACACTAAAAGCTGCCAGCGAAGACAAAGCACTAACCATTGTGCCACCAAACCTGCTGTTTGATCTGGTAAGTCCTATTTATTTGTCTTTCGGTAATTCCTAGGACCACCTTCCAGCCTTGTATTGCCACGTTACACAGTATATATAATAGCAATCACGTGGGCGAGCACGTCCCAAGTAGCTTGAACGGACAAGCAAAGAAATGTTAATCCGACGTAGACGTCGGTAACGTCGATTCCGTCGGTATCGTTTGCAGAGCACTTATTCACACAGTGAAGCAACCAGTTCGCCCATCCCTATTTGCTACTGAATTCTGTATATTTCTCTCAGAGAACTCTATCAATGCCCGAGCTACAGCCACCCCAATTCACCCTCCGAATCAAACCAAGCTCTGCTGGAAATCTCAGGTTGCCTTCTATATCCTTGGAAAGAGAGAGAGAGAGAGAGAAAAAATCTTGTAGCGAAATAACGTAGGATGCGAAAGATGCTCTGTCTATACAAATCCGAAATACATTTCGATGTAGATGAGGCGGTTCACCCGATTCGCTTTTTCAATTTCACTTTGCTTTCTCTTTTGTTTGCTATTACTTTATACAAATGGCAGGCTGAATTGTATACAGTGTATAGAATACTTTTTATATATGGATATATGTCTTTTGTGTGTATATATATATATATATATTTAAGTTAACCTCAATATAGGAAAAATATTCTTTTACCAACTTTCAGAATATTTCGTCAGCTAATGGCGGATCCAATTTCATTCTCTTTGATCATCACTGGAAAGACACGTTGGGATACATGGCTGCCTTCCAATTGTCACAGGGAACTAGACAATGCTTTCATGTTACTATTCAGATCGGATTAACTCCCGTATAACATCCGCTTGTGCTGCTTAGCGCATCGTTATTAATTACAGTCTATATACCTATAGCGACTACTTGTATAACGGATAGACGATTCGAATCGACAGATCGATGTTTCTGGTATATTAGAGGTCTGGCTATTATCCACGTTATTGTATGGTTAATCAACGTGAAGAACGACGCATGAACGAAACCAATGATTATATGTATCTATTTATTATATCAGATATATCCAGGTATTATTAATTTCCAGAAGAAAATTCATACAGTCGATTCATCGAACCGTGATACTTTTAAGTAAAAAACTTAATAATGGGAAGCGAAAAAAGTGGATGTAAATTTTGATAATCACTTGGTCCATCAGGCTACACATGTAACGATGACGGTTAATATAATTTCTGATGATGATTTGAATTAATAGCCGAGGCCGAGTAATTATTATAATTGGATACTACGAGACCGTGACGTAGCGATTTATTACGTTTATAACTGACGAATGGATATTAAATTGATTATCAGTTGGATAATAGATTTTTATCACTTTTAATTGTTCACAGTGAAATTTATAGGGAAGAAAAGTATTTTTTTAATTTCAAAAGTTACGAAATACTTACTAATGCGTTCTAATGATTATTTATAACCACTCCAGAGGAGTTCTTATATCCAATGGAAAATTTGTTATATCCCATAAACGTCGAAAATTAAATTTGCACGAGTTCCCTTTTCCCGCGTTTTCCTTCTCACGAATGTGAAAATCCATCTCGTTACATTACCCGTCCCGGTACTCTATACGGGAAACACAGAAAAAATATTCCAAAAATAATATTCTACGGAACACGGGCACTTCTCGAGTTGGGAGTTCTTGGGAGTTGGGCGAAAGGGTTCATTTTTTGACAAGATTATTACTATGAAAAATACAAAAATTGGTATCAGGGTAGCAAGTGGTATTTTATTCGTCTTATCAAAAATGGCGCACCTTGAGGGCTTACGTAATCGCGGGCCTTCTGAATATGGCACTTCATTCTGAAATATTCACTGTGTGGATGACTCGAAGTAAGGGTTGGAACGTCTCGGTGGAGTTTAAAGTTTAAGAAGAACCAGCCGACAAAGACACGTCCGGGGCGGGGTGGTGGGGTGCAAGCTTAAGGAGATGTAGGACTCGCTTGGTCGATACCCCTTTTGTCGCCATCTTAGGCTGTACCCGGTCGTGGAACAATGCCCCCCCCCCCTTTCATCCCTTTTAGTACCAAGTTCTCGTAATATATATATATATATATGTATATACACGAGACTAAAATTTTCAACCTCTCCCTTGACTATCCTTGGAATCCTTTAGGCCTGCTTACAACCCCGTACTACTACTGTACCATCGCACATTGGAATTCTACCCCTGTTATCCTTCGACTAGCTGCAGTATACATTAAGCGACCCCTTATACACGGTGATTTTACTAACACTCACTATAGAGGGCTATTCAATTAATCTAGGGGGATGCTTGTTGGCAAATCGAGCATCATTTGGCTTTAGTGATTGTGGTATTTTGCGTGACCGATTCTGGTAATTGGCCCTCGTTTAGTTCTGGGATTTCTGACTCCATCTTCCTTGCCATTAGCGACAACGTTATCAGGGGGTTGGCACGTTATGATTACAAATTTTTTAAAATTTTAATTGATGCCTCGCGATTCTTTCGTACGAAGGTTACGTATTGTTATTGGCAATTTGAAAATTGTGGTATGAAAAAAACGCAAAAATTTCGCAGTCTCGCATTTACAAATGTCAGCCTCTGTCAAACGTAGTCACGGTGCTTTGCGTTGCATTGCGTTAAAATTATACGATGTTGAAACGAGCATCAGTCAATTAGAGAAAATGGGATCGGGGATGAAAGATACATGGAGAACAAAAGTAATAGGTCATAGGTTCGCAAAATTTTTTTTTTTTCATATAAAAATAACAAAAATAAGCTCAAAAACATTTTGAATTCCCAATAAAATTTTCTTTTGATCCAACTTCAAAAATGACTCGATTTTTTTTTAATGCATCATCAAGAAGAAAATGAGAAGTAATTAGCACCAATATCCGATTCCAATATGGATTTCCAATATGGGAAAAAAAAACGTAAATAAAAATTTAAAGCAATTCCGTACCTGGCTTTGCAGTTGAAAACAAAAATTGTCTCATCTCAAAGATTTACCACGACGTAAAAGAAAATACGACGTTGACGAAAGTGTCTCCGAGGAGACGGCAACGTTGGTCGTCGTGAAACAATTGTCGCTCAGGGCTCAGAGAACACGAAGTCATACCCCTAAACAGTTTTCCATAAGACGAGACGCATCCTTCCAGGAGCGTAGCCATCAAATTAAAAAAGTTGTTTAGTCAGGACCGTAGTAGAAAAAGCCAGTGGAGAGTCAGGCTGAGGGGGATGACTACAGTATAGATACAACAAACAGTGGGTACCAAGCAAACCTACCTAGTTAACCAGGAAGGAAGGAAGGAAGCAGGTAGGTAGTCTACCATCCTAACTGAACCTAACCTAACCCAACCAGCAAGAAGACGGAAAGCGCCTTTTTGTCTCGAAAGTTGGCTGGCTTTTAGAGCGTTTTAAAATGTCGACTGGCGTCGGGTCAGGTCGCGTCATAGGGGTGGGGTCACGCCTCGAAGCACTTTGCATGTAGCATGACACGCGGACTCGTTTTCAAAAGCCCCTTGGAGAACGAAGAAGGGGGGGGGGGTAGTGAAGACTTCCTGAAATTTTTTTGGGTACTCAACTTTTTGGAGATATTAAAAAAAAAGTATCTATGAATTTTATTTTTTTTCCCCCATGATACGTTTATCCTTTGCAAGCCCTCATTGACGGGACTGTACTCGTACTAGTCTATTGGAACGTGAATGCAACTGCGACGGGGTCACGTGTGTGCGCGTCTGTATCCAGGAACAATGGGTGCAATCAGTGCGACGCGATACTCTCGGCACCCTTCGATGTCAATCAAATGACCGGCGTGTGCGCCACTACCCCATTGGCCTCGATTGCCTTTTGTCGTCCCTGGACGAACGTGGCGCGTGCTACGGCCTAAAGGGTAATTCACATTGAACGGTAGTAGCCGGTACTACAACGTAGTCCAATAGATAGTTCGAATATACATATTAAGGGTTACTGTTATAATATTGGGATTTTGTGAAAGAATTTTTCAAAATTCATCATTGCTGTAGATAATTATTGAGTAGGTATTATTTATAAATGACATGAAACTAGGATCGTCACTACAAAAGATTTTCATTAACGATATACCGAGTGATAAAAATATAAGCGTACCGTGAAAAGGTAAAAATTGCCAAGGGCGTAGGAACAATTGCAAGAATTCCTAGTGGCCCAAAAAAACGGTACTTGAAAAAGCTCTGACAGATTCTCATGAAAAGCTTCGGTCCTCTTATAACGAGCCAGATTACCAGACGGAACGACCCAATTCCAAGCTGGTACCTATAGTGCCTAGTCCATCCGGAAAGCAAACCAAGCCCGGTTGGTCAGTCAGTTGATGGATACCTGGGTTTTTGGTTATCCAAGGTATACGCCTATGCGAAATAACAGAAGCCAAAAGTGACGTGAATATCGGTCACCTACGCCAATGTCAAAAAAATTCATCACTGCATAAACGAGTTTTAATACTTCATCATCATCATCATCATCATCATCATCATCATCATCATCATCATCCTGAATCACAAACAGAAAGACTTCCCCTTGCTGCCTAGAGAGTACCTGGGAATAAAAAAAAAGAAATCCAAGGACATTTAATATCCCATTACCTCACTGATATCATCTTGTATCTCGTTAATGTGAAACACGCTACAGTAAAGTTTACGGTTGGCAGCCCGTGTCGCGTTCTGAGAGTAATACGCAGAGGAAGCACCTACGAGGATGAGGAGAATGAGATCTAGGTAAAAGGAAGGCCTGGCGGAGGTAGAGAGGACACCGATGATTTCCCAGGAGACCAGGTCGCCTCTTCCTCCGTATCTTACAGTGCCTTCCTCCTCTTCTTCATCTGCCATACTCCTATATATATATATATACATGTATACTATACACCTGGTTAGGCTCTTGGATCTTCGTCCTTATCCTGATCTTCGTCCTCCATCTAAACACAGACTTTCTCTCTCTCTCCCTCTCGTATACTCCACCTTCGCATCTCCCGTGACTGAACCTACGCCACCTCGTTCTCTGTACTTCTACGAGCAGTATATCGTCTCTTGTAACACCGTCGTTAGTTTATCCCAACATGATCTTCCATTAGCTTCCAGGAACTTCCTATCCAGGATAGACGTTCCTCGATTCTTCCTGAATATGGCATCAAGAGATACGTAACAGTCAACTGTCAATGCATTGGAGGAATGAAGTGTTCCGAAATAGATGAAAAAAAGTATATAAACTTTTGAGGTTATAAAAACATATCTTAACTTTCGCTAATGAGATTTTTACAGTTTACGATGAATTGAATTATTATAATTTTATTTATAAAATTTAATTCCCAAACGAATCGACTGGAACGATGATTAAATACTTTTGCGAGTATCAAGAGTAGCAAAAAGTTTTTAAATTCTTATTGGAATTTTATGACGGACTCATTCGTCTTCTTATCGCATGACTGATAACGATAAAATAAATGTCCGTTTCTCCACGTCGTATAAAGGATTACCAGAAACCTGGCAAGTTACCCCGTAAAGGGGAACGACTGCGAGGGAGTAACAAACTATATTCTCTTCAGTTGACTAGAAAATGGCAGAGTCACTTAAGATAAATTCGTCACTAGGTTGGAGTCCTTCATTTTGAAGATGGGGTTAGGTTGTCCCCTACGATCTTTCCGACTCACCCCATGTACCTGCCCGTCATCCCTTATCCTTATCTCGAACCGCCATACACACCCAACCATTGCCAACCGACCTTACCTTACCTTCAGACCATCCAAGGGAAAAGGTAATCGAAGAACTTGCTCGAATTCAAGGTATAGGGTTGAAGGTAGAAATTTACGAACCCAAGTAAGGCTTCCTATAGAGTTTCACAGTGCGTCCCATTTATCGCAAGGGATCGTCACTTTCCCCGACGCAAATTACAACCGTAACCTAACAGCTTAATGCAATTAGATTTAATTGCCGTACCGGAAATTCATCGTGTCTCCAGACTAATACCCTGCAATTATTATCGTTGAATGTGAATCGAGCTATAAAATATTTTTCATTCCCTAAATAGTATAAAAAAATTATTTTTCTATTTTACAATTATAATCCATCTACCGATATTCAAAATCATAGTCTTACATCCGGTTCACTCTTTTCAATGCAGACGCATTTGACTTCCGGCTGCGCAATCGCTTTGTACCGATAAGAGTACCCAAGCAGAATATCCGGTCAGACTTGCCTCAGGCTAAATCGAAATGTGATTCGAATTCCCTATACTCCATATTGATAGTAATGTACATAGAACGATACACGCGCAGGGGAGTGTGTGGTTACATGCGATATAGGTGATAACTACATTGACTTGTAATAAGATGGAACCACCTGCATCTCGCAGATAAGGTTGAATCACCCTATAACCCAACTGGTAACGAGGTCGATCGACTGTGCTGCCATCTATACGAAATTACGTATTTCGCCCTATTAGACATAGCATAACCTCGATTTGACAGAGTTCAATTAAGAAAAAGTAGCCAGTAAAAATACAATTCTCCCTCCCTCGAAATACATTAAATAAATGTACGTGCTTCCGAATAAAAATAAACGTTTCCTTTATCCGTACAAATTTACGAAATTCTCCGCAACCGGCAATCTTAATTTATACTTTCGTCCGTACAATGAAATAGCCAAGGTTGTTCCAGGATATCCTGAAGATTCTCCTATTGTCAATACTCCACTATCCAGATCTATTTGCAATCGTAGAATTCAACTTCTGATATCCCACGAAATGCCATGCAAATTGGTATTCCTGTATCGAAATATAAATTCATCGAGTGAAATTGGTAACCATGACAATTGTAAGTTACTTTAAATTACTTCGTGCATCTCGTTAAACCGATAACTGGTTAACGATGGTATTTTCTAGAAAATATAACGAATCTTCATAATTGTGCGATACTGTAACGTGAACAAGGATGACAGGAGGGTAAGAGGGGCTTCGGGGTAAGAGAAAATAATATGCAAATCGATCTCTTCAATCAAAGTAGAAAACTTTGTGAATATCTTCCACGGTATTCGTTCGCAGACGCAATCTAAATTCTAAAACGACGGATAGCTTACACAGCCACGTTATAACCCACTTTAACCCCTAAAACTTCAAACCTGAAACTCCTACCTCCGTAAGCTCGCTCACTCGTCGCTACACTAGTTCCATCAACACTTTGTCCTACGTCCTTGTACGGACGGAAGGATCTGTGGACTTTCAACGATGTTAATGAAAGCTCTGAGCTCGCAGGTTATACGAGCGTTATCTACCGGTACTGTAACTCTTGCGAGGGAACGTGAGCGAAGATGAGGTTAGGGAATTGAGATAAAATCAAAGAGCCAGAAAACTGAGAAAAGTGGTTGTAAAAAAAAGAAGATACGAGTAAGAGGGATGAAACTTGAATATTATCATTAAGAATCATTTGTGGTATTCATATTTCATGAATGTATTAAGTGGTATTAGTATTGTCTGGTAGAGAGTAATATCTCGTTTGTGTAATTAATTTTTTTTTATTCTCTTAACGACGAAGCACTTTCAGTGAACCCCGACGATTGCACGGGGACGAGGAACTTGTCTAGGGGCTCGTTAAATTTTTTTTGTTGTTCTTCACGAACGTTCTGATGCTGCTTTGATTGAAATGAGGATTTCCATAAAGCGTGAAAAGCGCAAAGATATCTCTTTGTTCTTGACGTTCCTTCGAATAAGAATTTCGATACTTGCTTGATGATACTTGAAAATCGTGTGGTTAATCCTGGAGAATTTATTTCGAGCATCGCTGGATATGCGTATTGTTTTGTTATGTATGCACAATCGAGATATGTATATACACTGTCTAGTTGATTCTTATGTATATCTTTGTTGATCTTTTTTTGTGTGTCAAATATCTCATTAGACTCGTTTTTTAACTGAGTTTTGTTGAATGGGACTTTAAGTGCATTTGATATGCATATTTCATGTGACTGGATATAACAGAGAGGTCAACAACTGCAGTTTACAGTGTTATTATTTAAATATATCTCTTCACAAGTAAATTGGCCATTTTATTAGTTGAAGAGGGTCTTATAGAATACATCTTATATTATAATTAAAATATAAAGGTCTACACTTGCTGCAAGGTTTTCGAATCCACTAGTTCAGCGATAGCCTTTATGCGAACAAATAATAATATGAAAATTACGAATGGAAATGCAAGATACACAACTTGAATGCTATGAATTTTTAAAAGGACTGACGCACCAAAGTAATTTCAGTTTAACAATCACTGCGTCGTAGACGCTACTGCTCTCCAGCAAAATCTCTTTGACTCTTTCCTTTCCAAGCAAAAACTCCTCTCATTCTCCAGCTTCTTTCATCCTGCCCCTTATCACCATCCGTATGCCTTTCTTCGCCATTGCACCAGGGCGACGTACGGATAGACTGGTACAATCAGTCCCGAAAGTTGCCCCATAAAATTTCGATGGATATCTTCATGCCCCAGGGGTCAGAACGTGTCAGAGGTGACGAAGGAAATTTCTAAGCTTTCTACCATAATTACGTAGAATCTTGCTAAGGGTCGAAGGTTGACACGTTGCAGAAAAAATGAAGAATAGAAGAATAGGCGATGAAAAGTCGTCTGAGGTAAAGTGTGACTAAAAAAAAAAAGGTAAAAAATTAATCTCGGATCGATTTTCCCCCATAATAAGAGATATTCAATAGGGTTCAAAGTGTCGGATCCTTCCTTATATTCTGCAAGAGTCTGAAAGTCGACGGCAAAGTGTACGGAGGTTCGAGAATGCAAAGTGTAAAAATTGCAAAGGGTACATATAGATATATATGTATATGATCTATAATACAGAAGGTAGGTACATACACAGTTTTCTCGTAGAATAGAAGGAAAGCTGGAAAACTAGTGTTGGATACCTGGAAAGCAGCTCGTACGACGGTGGCGGAACGTTTCGCTCGGATGCAAAAAGGATCCAACGTAGTCTGAACTCACGAGGGAAATGTTTTGCAGTATTGAGCGCAGCACTGGTGGCACACAGGACAGCCCAGTCTAGTAGTAGGTAACGTCCACGAGCATCAGTCAGTGTGTTGGTGGATGGTCGTGGCCATTCTACCGCTTTTCACCAAATTCTGCTTCCCGCTTTTCCTGGCTTCGCCAACAGCGCCCTCCTCGTCCCAGTCCATGCCGTCCATTGGCGAGCACCTCCAATTGCCCAACCGAAAAACTAAACTGGCTTTGCTAATTTTTTTTTGTCCCAGCTCATTCCTTTTCAGACGACGAAATGCTCACGAGTATTACTCGAAGGACTGGATGCCATTATAAATATTTAGCAGGAACTAATATCAACGCCATTTTCCCTGGAGCACTTCGTTACTGTAAGAAACGTAAACAATATTTTGTTTAACATAAAATAATTGATAATTTCGATAAAAGATAAAATTATATTTCAAATCGTACCGAACCGGGATGTATTATATATTTATGTGTATAAAAAATATTTTCATCTCTATTTACCTGGTAACGATTCACGAAATTCATATGAATTTCATATCCGATTTCGTATTTCAATTACTAGAGTATTTCGGTGAAGATATAACAACGTGATAAGCGAATTTGATGCCAACCGAAAATTACAATACGTAATAGTGTATTTCATTATTAAAAAAAAAAACTTCATCTATGATCTACACCATTCACTTAGATATAAGTATAACAGATATCATTCCGTCCATAAATCCTCAATATTTCATTGAAAGGAGACAATCCATCGGAAAGTGAAAACCTATCGATTCAAAGGACCTCTTGAATTTAAAGAAGGTTATCCGAACAAGGTTACCAATGGCGGATTCCCTAGAGAGAAATGCGAGAACCACCAGAGGGTGTAATAGCATATAAGCCATACATAGAGTCCAGTTACTCAGTCACCTATGTAGAGAACCATATACAGATAAATATATATGTCGATAGGATAGAAAGAACATAGAAAAAAATGATTCCGAAGATAGAGTTTGAGAGGAACAAATGGTGGATATAGAGGAAATATATAGAAATAGAAAAAAAAATGTATGCGAGCAATCGTCCGTTTGTCTGGACGTCCCGGCCGAGAAATGCGAGACTGCGATAGGTGGGTACGTATATTTTTGCGTGGTCCAGGTTATTGCACTGCACAGCATCCATTGAGATGTATATATATAGGTAGGTGTATACCTAGTATAGATATAGGTGGGCTGTGCGCGTACACGACCATTAGAGTACAACAGTGGACCGCTGTACGCTTTTATATATATGTATATATATGAAACGAAGTATATCGTATCTTTATTGCTGAGAGAACGTAGCTGGCGCGACCGTCTATGTAATATAGTGGAATATAATTGCCGCCATTATCGTTCTTGCTATTGCCAGTATTATTATATTGCAGATGATATCCAATCTGTAGCGTTCGGTACGGACTAGTTATTATATTTGTGAGAAATAAATAATAATAATAGAGTTCAAGAAAACGATATAGTATCGTTCCGTTTCTTTATCCTAACGCTTAAATAAATTGGCAAATGGCTAATATCGAGGTCGAACAGAGAAACCCTAACGTGTCGCAAGCGAGTTACGTAAAGGATCGTCCCTTCGATCGGATCCCATTAGTGAGCGATTCGACGAAACGAGAAAGCAACGACGTAGACGTTGGATCCGGATAAAACGCTCAGGAAAAACACGAGTCGTAAAAGCTAGTCGACCGAACGAAACTCTGCACGTTTTCCTTGGGAGTTTCGTGAAGCTTACCGAAGGAAGAAAGAAAATGTAAAGAGAGGAAAAGAGCGAGAGAGAGAGACTGAAGATCTTCCGCCGAATATCGCTATCGTAGCTTGAGGTTATTGTATTGTATTCTCTGATTACGTCACTCCTTTGTGATAATACCCACGCGAGTTTTTTTTTCACGAAAGGAAATTGAAGACACTGACGACATCCCATTCGGTATTTTCTTTCACTCCACTTGTCCTTTACTCCGCTTCAATTTCACCATTATCTTTTTCTTCACAGTCGTTTACCCTCTCCTGTTATCAGCACAACTTTCGTATCATTTGTCAATTCTGTTTGATGTCTCGCACGGATAAAACTTTAGTGTCTTACGTAGTGAAGAAGTTTGACGGTTGGAGTCGCTAGTTTAAAGGCGCGTTCACATCGCTCTTCTCTACCTGTTGGCTGGTTCGTAAGTCAGAGGGTGACACGTCTCGCTCGTCCGCGAGGAAAACGCGAAATCCTGCTCGGAATCTTGATACGATTGAATTAAATTAGGTGATACGTGCGCACGTGCTAGAGGATGGGTTTACTAGATCAGGTGATGCGGGAGAATTTCACTGAGAATGTTCGATAGGAAAAGGAATCTTCTCCGGTGTATACTGTGTACAGTGGTGAAGCATACTGGATTTATTTGTGATATGAAATACTCGTATAGGTTACCTTAAACTAATATCTACTGTGGATTCGATACAGTGCTTCTTTATTTGTCCAATAAAAACTCATAATACATACTTAACTAGGTCCTCTTGCACTGTAAGGATATCGAGGTACAATTGGCGGTGTGTAGAGAAGTGATGTGACAGATGCCGTGAATATTTTGAGGTTACCTCGTAAACGAACACTATATCTACACTGGAATTCGAAGATTGTGTTTCACCGGGAGTAAGAATTATTATCTTCGGTGCTTGGAACATGGCTGTGTACCCAGGTATGTACCGTAAATACGTCTCCAACGGGTAGCGGTTCCTCGTTAACGGGAGGTCGTCGCCGGCGCATACTTTTAACGAGGAACGTTGGGGTCTGCGTTGTTGGCGTTCTGGCCGCTGCTGGTGAGAAGAGTATGAGTGCCGGAGAGCGAACAGGATAGTAGGTAATCCAAAATATATTACCAAGGCTTTGTACCTTTGTAGCATCCCAACCCTCAGCCCAGGGGCGTCTACCCCATCCCCACACTCGACGTCAGAGTTATTACCACGCTGGCTGAGAACCGCAAGCCCCGTGCGCGCAGATAACGCGGCCGCCCTGGCAAAATGAATTCGAATCGTTCGCTTAAAAATATTCCCAGGCTAAGTCTCCTCGCCCTCTACTACATACGTCACTTTCGATTTACGGTTGCTTCGGGAACTGGCGAGCCTGGCGAGCGAACTATAGGAATTGACTAGATTATTCTAGTAAAAACTTTTGGCAGCAGCCCTTAGGAAAATTTGACGTTACAGATTGATGATATGTATTTGTAAAAATTATATTTTTATAGTTTTTTTTTATTATTGATCTTTGATGCGTTTGGTATCATCATATATCTGAAGATGTGGTTATAAATGGATTTAAAGTGCGAAACCATGAAATCCGTTCAGCTCACCAACCCTTCTCAAGAATCGCCCCAATCCAGAGGAAAGTGGATTGGAATTCCCATGAGTCTCTCTTACAGACTTAGAGGGGATGTTTCTCTTTAGGTACGTGAAACTGCCACTTAATGGCTGAGATATCTTAGTCCCTTCAATGAAATCTGCTACCACCCTGTTAGAAGGGAGGTTAAAGGCAGAGCCAGTTCTTATCGTAGTATCTGCTAGAAATGACCTTTTAACTGAAAATCGTTATCCGCCACCATCATGAAAACCGCAGCTATTCGGTCAGGAACAATTAAAATCTATATTTCTCTAAAATCTATCATTGACCCTGGCACACCTGCAGGCAGGCAACGTGCTATAAAAGTGATTTGATAAAAATAGAATTTCTTTATAATTAAATTACTAAAATAATACTCGGTGTAGAATACTTAAATGCTAGATGTTTAATAGTACAGAAATAAGCATATGTATCATTTATTGGAAATCTTAATAAAATCATATTAAAGTCAGAAAGGCGACTACACGCAGCCGCAATTTTCTGAAAGAGTCACTTTCAACAGGTGTATCCTTAATATCGTTCAGTCTTGCCAACCACTTGGAGAAGGAAAAAGTAAAAAAAATTCCCGTCAGATTTTCTTATCAAACGGACCAGAGCTTCGCATTCGTGATATTTAATCTACGTCTCACGAGCTTAAAAAGCACTTCGTTCACGTAAGAGTATATTTTCTCAGGTATATTTTGAGTTCACATCGAGTAACGAAATTTTGCGAACACCTAAATGTAAACTTGACAAAAATTGGAATATCGAGTATCAAATTTTCGAAGGTATTTAATGCCTTTACATTTGTCAATATAGTAATAAACCTTATATACAATATTTCAATTGAAGAATTCGCTGTTTTACGGGCCATCGTTGTGGTTCACGTTTGTTTTCGATAACGAATCACTAATCGAAATATACGAAACTTTAGCATACGTGCAATCGAAACAAATAATAATGGCCAAATCGTTTGCCCACATTGTTATCAAAATTTCGAAATATCGGCTTCGGCAACCACGTCGAGATTAATTTTGATTTTTAATATACATTCAAAAATTTCGCAAGCTTCGGTAGTTTAAAAAGAACATCCAACTCGCAATAGCCATAGAAGCAGTGACAGTAATAACAATCGACGCCGCGTTCCAAAATATCTGTCGGTTTTAACAAAACAATTTTGTATTTTCCTCCAAAACAATTTTTAAAAAATTAAACCCTTGTTATAAAACGAGCATACGAATTTTCCTATGTTCGCGACAGGTGTTAAATATTTAGAAACACGGAATAAAATATGACCCAACAATCACTCAAACACCAATCAAACAAAGTTTCACGATCAGTCGCAGTCTGGTAAACTGTGGTAAAAATTGATCGAGGCAAAAATTATTATTGAATGAAATATCGTGGATCGTGACCAAGTCAATTTTTTTTTAACAATTTTACCCGGAGACCATGGCCAGCGTGGTAGCCGCCATGTTGGAAATTCTCTAACACCCGTAGTCAGCACCAGCAACCAACATCAAAGAATCTTCCCTTTCCATATCCGTTCAGAGCACAGCATCCTCAACGTAGCTACTGTCGCTCTTGTACCACCTATGGGCTTGACGCACTTCATCGTCGCCAGCGACAAAGACGAGCGAAAACGATTTTCAAAATAATACACCGTGAGTGCTTTTACCCTCAATCGGCGATCGATTCCGTGTCGCTGGAAATATGGCAGTTCCTTGAAAGCTTGCATAGAAGCTTCGAGCGAAGGAGCTATGAAAAAAGTAAAAAAACTGGATAGAATGAAAAGTTCCTTTGAAATTACATCATTAATAACAGTATAACTATACCAGAAGTACAGTCCAACCTAAAATAGTCATTTTACATAGAATTTTTTTTGTCCATTTTATTATTTTTTACTCGTACAATATCTTCACTGGGGAAGCTTTCAGCAATTCCTTTTGTCTCTGTTGGTACCCTACATACTTTTTCTACATCATTTTATAAGTTTGATCTGGATAACGAATCCTGCAAAGAAAATCCTTTTTTCTTGTTACACTAACGAGCCGAAATTTCGAATTTACGACTATTCTCTATTATATTTATATTTATTATTAGTTTTATATTTTGTCCTAAAAAATATTATAGCTACTATGCCTTTTCAATTTAATGCATTTTTTTTTTAAAGACAATATCAAGAATTCTCGGTATTGTCAGTATTTCCGGATCTCTCGAAATTCCTCCAGGTTATATTCTCTTCTAAAGTCAACGCTATACCGTAAGCCGTACCGGAAATCGGGATATTTTACATTTCGCTCTCTGTCGAGCACGGCTGAAGCGGTTCGACCAGAGTGGTATGGAATTACCTACGTACGCTTTGAAAGCCATCCCCATCACATGGACTGCAGTCCGATAGTACGATCTGCCGTAAAGAATTTCTGATATCGAAAAAGGTTTTAGCAAACGAGAGACATATTTATATACGGATGCAAGCCTCTCGCTACAATGTACTTAAATACCTAACAACCCCGTTAACAGTACAAAATCAATATAATCCGACAAAAGAAATATAGCGATAGACAAATATACAAAACTACAAGCAGTGCTAGCAGCAAACGGTATAATTTTTCTTAAAACTCTTACGCAGCTAGAACAAAAAGAAACAATAAATTTCTCCTTTTCTCTTCCGAGAAAACCGGATAACGATTTCTTTTTTATGAAAATCCTCCATGCCCCATCCTGTTTAAAACTCACGAATTGAATTGCTCGATACGTTCGGATTTCCCAGCAGAATGAAATTTCCTTCAAATTCGTGTCTTCGTCTAAACCCCCGATATATATGTATATACACCCTCTTATACACTATATACTCAGAAGTAGGTGTACGAGGTGAGACTTACTATATTTATATATATATATCTTTACTATATATATATACCAGTTTATATATTCCATATATAAATATAAATTCTGATAAATCGAAACAAGTTGAATAATTCCAATGAAAAGAAAGTGGAGCCAGATTGCATTGGTTGATACCTAAAGAGATATGAAGAACCAAGAGTACCACAGCATCCTTCGGACGTTCCCGTGATTCCCGCCGTTCCCGTAATTCCTATCATTCCTGTCTCTCCCGTCACTCCTCACGCCTTCCGCCACTTCCCCTTTTTCCAAGCCGTTTACGAATTCCGATCGTCCCGCCCTCACGTGGAATCCATATATACACATGTAGCGACTACCCCTACGATTTACATACAGCGTCCCTTAGATTCGCGTATACACAAAGGGATGTTCCAGGAATATAAAAAGTCAACAATCTTTCCGAGCGCCACTTGCGTCTTTTATTCAAGCGCGAAATTCCTTTTCTGAGAAACTCCTAATATTTCGATATATTTCTCGAACCATCCCGCGAATACATTCGGAACAAATAGCCCGGCGGGTCCGCGTCGTTTCCTACTGAGAGATGTAAATGCATTGGGAATAAATATTACCTAATACATGCAAACGGTCTATAAGGAAGAATTTTTCTATGAACACGTAGAAATTGGAGGGGTAGATAGTTTTATATTGAAAAAAAATTATTTTAATTAGACTAAGTGATCTGAGCGAGGAGAAATTAATTTCAAATGCTTCTATACGCGTATATAGATATATATGTATATATTCATCTCTCTCTTTTTCTATCTATTTTATTTACTTTCAGCATCCGACGACGTGACGCGGGTTTCGACAGAATTATATCTCGCTAGAATAATCGTCGAAATTCTGCTCAGTCCCTATATACATATATACCCATCACCACACCTACGGAGAAACCTATATATACACGTATAATCTATATAGGTATACACCACCCAGTGTCGCGTTTCCGTTCTACGTGACGCGGCAACGTGACGCACTGAAAATTCAAAAACCCGAAGGTACCTAACCCCGTCAACAAAACTTCCAAAGGGATGAGTTATGTCCCGCGTGGAATCACTCCGCGCTACATATATACATATATATTCCACAATGACGTAGATTCGCCATGGGAATTGATAAAGATCCTCCAGGATACCTATATGAGATAGATAACTATATATATATATAGCAATGAATCGATTGGCATTGTAAGTCCTAGGCACATAAGCATGCATCTATATAGATAACGTAGATATAGGTTATTGAAAAATCCCAAAGACGGAAAAGCAGCAGCCTTAGGGGGTAAAAAGTCGCGAGGCGTTTGATGCCAGGATCTATCCCAGGGGTTGATTTATACTGTCCAGGTACAATTTGTATTATGTCAGTTTTTTCTGAGCTTTCAACCCCCCTTGAGTTATTGCCGGTGGTGGATCGGGTGGGGGGAAGAGG